GAACCCGGGTCTGTAGTGATGCCTCAAGCACTGTGATGCAGTGCCTTAGACCGCAGTGCCACCCGGGAGGCCCCAACAAGTGCTTTCAGGTCACTAATGTGGATATGAGCACCCGACTTTGCACACCAATGCTGATAACGGGTCATTGGTCCACAACTTTTTGGTTCTGAAGCACAGATAAGATGTTTTTGAGACAACCATTTGGTGTAATGCCGTAGGCCTATGTTAGTGACCAGATTGAATAGGCAAAGGTTTTAAATATAAAATAACAAATAGTAGGCTATACCTATGTAGCCTATTTAAATATGTATTTTCATGACCCCCCACCCCACTTTCAAAACCACTATCTCACCAGACCTGTGTTGATTGACAGTTTGCTCGTTCTATCAGAGGGCCGAGTGGGCGTTTCACAAGCCAATCTGTTGCACATTTCTATTTGCAAACTATTGTCTCTGGCTGCGTGGAGAGTAATCTGCAGAGACTCTGTGTCACAAAATGAGTGTCAAAATGTTACAAAACCTGGCCAGATTATTTCAAGTCATCATTTTCAAGTCAAAGTCGAGTCCCGAGTCTTGAGGCTCCAAGTCAAGTCTCAATTTATTATATTTTCTATCAAGTAAAGTCTTAAGTCATCAAATGTGTGATTCCAGTCCAAGTCATGTGACTCGAGTCCACACCTCTGCCCATTTCTTCAACGTAAAATGCAAGTCGTAGTTCTATCTGATGTAACATTATGAAAGACAACATAACAAGTCACAGCGTAGTAAGACAGTAGCCCAACAGCAGGGACAGTAAGCTTGCCGGTGTGGGTACGGTCACCAGTATGAGCTCATGTCAGACACAGACACACACACACAGATATAAATAAGTATGTCCCTGCATATGTGTGTCCAGCGGAATGTGTTCATTTAGATGTGACAGCAGTTTAGATGGGAGGGAGAAGGAGAGGAGAGTGCTGCAAGCTAAGAGCCAGGCTGAGGCTGGGCCAGCCCCCTGAGGCAGAGCCATGAGGCCCAGGCCTTTATTCAGCCAAGGGAAACGTATCAGGGGTAATCTCAGCAGGGCCATGTTGGTGAGGAGGAGGGGGGATGGAGGGAGGGAGGCGAGGGGTACCCTGAGGAGGATACGACAGGGGATGGGATGGGGGGGGGGGGGGGGGATTTAGGCAGCTAGCGCCCGAGACAAGTGTAGGCTAATTACTGAGGATACAAGTAGTCTTAGCATCTTAGACCCTCCTGCCTTCCCTTTTTTCCCTCCTTTTCTTCTTCATCTTCTACCCCCCCTACCTGGGTTGTGCCTTATGGCTCTATGTTCTAACCCTCCCCACCACTACTACGCCACTGTGATCCTGATAAGGAGGTGGTAATACAAACACTGTATCCGGTGAGGGGGCCCCGATGCATTATGGAACAGACAGATTGGCTTGTTCTGGAGGTGGAAAACTCCCTCCTGTCTTCTCACCCTTCCTCCTGTCTTGCAGTTGGCTTTTCATCCCTGTCTCCTCTCCTCTTTTGTATCGATTATTTTCTCCCTACTCCTCAGGCCTTTTCCGTCGTAGTCATTTGCATAGATGAGAAACAGTTAGTCTGGTGTCTTTGTGTTAGATCACTGCTGCTGCGCCAGGCTACAATGCCATGACTGCGAACTTCAGAAGTTCTGTGTAATGATTTGATTTGTGATGATAATGAAAGGTATTATTGTTGGGCTCTGTTCTCGTGCTAGTCTTCCCAAGTCAAACGAGACAATGCACTGAACTGCCATGTTAATCTTTTCAAGATTGAAAAAGTATGCAATTACAATGGTATTAAGTTAATCTTCTCTCTATTGAAGAGAAGTTACAGAGAGAATAAGATAATTGAGCTATACGCTTGCAGGAATTGTTCAGTTGGTTAAGTACTTTATTCACATCTCTAACTTTTTCTTTGTGTGTGCCTGTGTGTGTCCATTTAATGTGTGGCTGAAATTACTGTGTAAACTCTGTCTTTGTCTGTGCTTTGATGTATGAGTGTCACTGACCGCTCAGGAAGGAACCATGTGTGGAGTGGGTGAGGGAAATGCTGCCATTACTGAGCCAATGACTTCCTCTACTTTCACTGTGCTTCAAGGGCGCGTTTCCCTCTATTTTTCCTACATAGTTGCGGTGTCCTTTTCAGATTGCATTGTCCCGTCAGATTCCTCTGATTTGAAGCTATCCCTAGGATAAGTCACTCCATCACACTCAGGCGCACACACAGCTTGAGTTTCCCTGCTACTAGCAGTGCCCCCTGAGGAGCTGTGTTCGATCAGGAGATCAGGGGAGGGCTTAAGTGTTTGGAGAGAGAGAGAGAAAGAGGGAGAGATGGGTTTGTTGTGCTTTGAGAGCTGGATTTAGTCTTCCTGCTTGGCTTGTGGCTCTGCCAGCTTCCCCAGAGCTGAGGAGGAGGAGGAGGAGGAGGAGGAGGAGGAGCTCACAACATACAGGGCTGGAACTGCATTCTATAGGCAGGCACTGGAGTCTATAGTCACTGGAGTCTGAGTCACTGTGTTGGCTTTGTCACTGTTGGTTACATCTGCCACCAGGATAGTAGTGACAGTACATCGAATGACTATCACAAAACCATTAGTGTTTTCAGTACATTCTCAGGCTCAGGTAAAGATGAGCTCAGGCAAAGCCAACCAGGCTGATAATGCTCTGTTGTAGGCTAGGGTAATTGAAATAAATTGATCGAAATGAAACATAACTATAGTACATGTTAGGAGATAATTATTTCAATGTAGACTGTAGAGACAGATGCTCTGTTGTACTCTAGTTTAGCTTTCTTGAGGCGTAAGCTTACTTGGTGTCTCAAAGCGACCACTGGTAGTGTAGATTCATCTGGGTGAGTAAAGTGTTTATATTAAACCTATCAGAGAAATAAACGGTGGTGGCGAGGGTGGGTGGGTGGCAAGAGATGTGTTTTTTGAGGTGCTGTGTTTGGTTGTCCAGAGCTTGTCGTTGTGGAAGTGAACTGTTGATGGAAAAATATCTCTAGCGAAATAATATCATGTACATTTGTAATATTTATCTCGCTCAATACAGATATAGCCTATAAACTACAACTTCCCTAGAGGTGTTGTATCTAGGCTACTTCTCAGTCATGCTGTTGGGCTGCGTCCCGATTCTCTACCCTTCTCCCGAAGTGTGCACTTGCACACGTTCTTGCATGGATTTTACTATGGCTGACCCCATTTAGTCAACTGGTCGATTGTTTGGTCGATAGGCTGTTAGTCGACTAAGATTTGTTTAGTCGAGCAGTGGCAAATATATCTTTTTTTAAATGATGGCACATGAGACGCCTGTCTGAGTGGACTAATCCATTGCGGAGGCCGCATGGATGGCACACCATTATCACCAGTAGTACATTTACTGTTCATTTCTAATCTACAATGTTTGTTTGGTCACGGTAATTTCTCTTAATGTATTCAATATAATATTATTATTATTATTATTACAGTCTGACCGTTGTCATTATAGGAATGGACACGTTGTTTGCAGAGCGCACAACCTAGGCTACACTTGTGAGGGGAATAAAAGTGTTGGTTTATTTCATTCCATTTACAAGTTGGCAATTTATTAATTGTCTTTTGTTTGGAGCGCTGATGTCAATCTTGAGTAAGGACACGCACAGATCTTACAATTGTGTAAACTCCCTCCAGACAATTCTTACACCAATCCTTTAAATCCATGACTGGGAGTGTGCAAGTGTGCACTAATAAAAAGGGTGGAGAATGGGGACGTAGCCTTGGAAGAAAGCTAGTTTTTGTTGGCTTGCTTGTTTGTCCAGAGCCTTCCTGCAGGGGTGATTCTGAAGCTGAACCATGCCTCTGGGCTACTGCTGCTGCTGGGTCAGGATTTGGACCCACCATATAATAATGTGTCAGCTCGCCCCAGGGGCGACACAGGAAGCTGGGGCCTGGCTCTGGCCTGACAGGCCGGGCGGCGGTCATTAGTGGTCAGAGACACTGGGTATTAGCTCTCCCTCATTAGGACCGGTTGGCAGCCTGGACACATTTATTTAATTAATGTTAATTCATTTGCTGGCTTTACTGAAAACTGTGCTGGTTTATGGGATGTTGGGAACTTGTAACTCCAGAGGTCCCACTTACAGTCTCTGTGTAATGGTCAGCAGGTTGTGACTGTATCAAAAATGTAATAAATGAGACCGATGCAAGTCAAAGGGAATGTAGGTCTAGTACTGAAGGGATGTCAGGGCCTATCTAGGGCTAGCACAGAAGGGACCGTTTGAGTTGACTTAATGACACAGTCACTGTCTCACAGGTTGGTTTAAGCAGGTATGCTGAATGACTTATCTATAATTGAACTGTCCCCTTCCCTCCTGCATCCATCTTTAGACCCGGTTAACATCTCTCCTATATTTCCCTCACATGGAGGCTGCTTTATTTGTTTGTTAGTTTAGAGAGGGCTGACCATTGTGTTGTCAAGCAAGCGAGCGAGCGAGGACGTGAGGCATGCTGCAGGCAGCACTGAATGGAAAATCGCATGCAGCAGCCAGCCTAACAGGCCATTTGGGCTCAGTGACAGTCAGGGCCATACCCAGAACATGGGCCTTCGCTTCAGCCTAAGAAAGCACTGCCTCTCTTTTCCACTCTACTAGTGAAGCTACAACAGAGCAGAGCATGGTGGTTCAGTTTACAGTCGGCTGACTATTAATGGCCCAGGATCCTCACAAGCAGCCTTTATCTCAAACACTGATGTTCTAGAACACTTTACATTTTGGATTCGGCCCATTCAAAATGGCTGCTTGTTTGTCAACTAAAGCTCCAAAAGTCTGTTCTAGTTAGGGTTGCAAAATTCTAGTAACTTTCCCAAAACGCCTATGCGTTCAAGAAATCCCAGTTGGAAGAATTCTGGATTCCTCCAAAATCTGGGGATTTTGGGAAAGTTACCCTAATTCTAGTCTGAGTGATGGTCCTGCTGCTGGTGTTTCATTCATCATCCGCGGTGGTGAAGACACGTGGCCATGTCACAGCCTTATGGGCTTATGCCCAATCTTACCGGGGCTTACCGTACTGCCGAGGGCCACAGGCCGATTTGTGAGACCCAAACAATGGCCCCACTTATCCCGTCACCTCTTGCCCCGGTCCCACCTCACCATGTGACTAGACCACTTATGTGAAGAAGCTTAAGGACTCAACGTGTCAAATCTGCCACTCTCCCCGAATCCCATTGTTTTGGTAGATGCTTAGAAATAGAAAGGCTTTGTTGAGAGCTGGAAAAGTCACTGTACCGTTCTACTGTTATTCTGTGGAAAAGCCATGACTCATTGTTGGGGCTTCTGACCACCTGATCTGACCAGGACAAACTGGGCCCGTAGTTATAGACTATAACACCTAGGTCAGGTCACATAGTCAGGAAAAACTCCTAGCCCACCCATGGGAGATCGACTGCCCCCTCTCATTGAAGCCACGAAGTTCAAGGCAGACCGCGGTACTGCAAGCATTGTTAGCAGAAAACAGGATCCCCCATTATAGTGAAGGGGAAAATGTCAATCTTCGTGTAAATAAATAAACATTTCGAAGTATGTCCTTGAACCAATTTTTATTTTAAAATCGCACACAGGAGAAATTGTAAGTATAATTTACTAGCTAATGGCAGCCTGCAGTGCCCCAAAAATCCCAGAAATATATGCATATACACTACATGACCAAAAGTATGTGCAGTGACTTGCTTCCATTCAGCTACAAGAGCATTAGTGAGGTCGGGCACTGATGTTGGGCGATTAATCCTGGCTCGCAGTCGGCATTCCAATTCATCCCAAAGGTGTTCGATGGGGTTTAGGTCAGGGCTCTCTGCAGGCCAGTGAAGTCCACACCGATCTCGACAAACCATTTCTCTATGGACCTCGCTTTGTGCACGGGGGCATTGTCATGCTGAAACAGGAAAAGGCTTTCCCCAAACTGTTGCCACAAAGTTGGAAGCACAGAATCGTCTAGAATGTGATTGTATGCTATAGCATTAAGATTTCCCTTCACTGGAACTAAGGGGCCTAGCCCGAACCATGAAAAACAGCCCCAGATCATTATTCCTCCTCCACCAAACTTTACAGTTGGCACTATGCATTGGGGCAGGTAGTGTTCTCCTGGCATCTGCCAAACCCAGATTCGTCCGTCGGACTGCCAGATGGTGAAACGTGATTCATCACTCCAGAGAACGCGTTCCCACAGCTCCAGAGTCAAATGGCGGCAAGCTTTACACCAGTCCAGCCAATGCTTGGCATTGCACATGGTGATCTTAGGCTTGTGTGAGGCTGCTCGGCCATGGAAACCCATTTCATGAAGCTCCCGATGAACAGTTCTTGTGCTAAACATTGCTTCCAGAGGTAGTTTGGAACTCAGTAGTGAGTGTTGCAACTGAGGACAGAAGATTTTTACGCTTTGCGTTTCAGCAATCGGCGGTCCCGTTCTGTGAGCTTGTGTTGCCAACCACTTCGTGGCTGAGCCGTTGTTGCTCCAAGACGTTTCCACTTCACAATAGCAGCACTTACAGTTGACTGGGGCAGCTCTAGCAGGGCAGAAATTTGACGAACTGGTGCCACGTTGAAAGTCACTGAGCTCTTCAGTAAGGCCATTCTACTGCCAAGGTTTGTCTATGGAGATTGCATGGCTGTGTGCTCAAATCCACTAATTTGAAGGGGTGTCCACATACGTGTGTGTGTATGTGTACTGTATGTATATGTGTGTAAAACGGTGTGTATACATCACATTAGATATTCAATGAGAGGGGGCAGCACTGAGCTAGCCTGCAACGTCACTTCCTGGAGTAACTCAAACTGCGCATGTTATGTCTCTATAAAACTCCCACATGAGATGCCATCTTAAATGACTGCCCATCTGTTATATTCTTACTGAACTGTAGATATGGATTAAAACATTGAAGGCCATTTGGTTAGCATAACCTATCCCTTGTAGTCTTAACAAGCAGACATGTAAGCATTGACTCTGATAGTAATGGCTTGGCTGGGGCTGATGGTACAGTATGAGCACTGGTCTGGGTGTGATGGAGGATGAATAGGGGAATGTGTGTTTGTGTAGGGATGTGCTGAGAGATGTGTCATATGGGATGAAAATGTCTACTGTACAGCCCAAGGCCTCCAGAGATTGACACAGCCAGACCTATGGAAGAAATGAACAGCACAGCACAGCACAGCTCTGGTGTTTGGTGTGGCTGACTATGATGTCTATGGTACCATCAGGACTGTCACTGGTAAAGGCCTCCCTCTAACTTGCATGGGACACTATGGCGCTTCTTCAGTCCTCCATCAAGCTCCAGAGGAAAATAATAAACACAGTTTACGTCATTTGGCATGATCACAAAGACAGCCCAACAGTCATGCTGATTGATGGAAGCAGTAGGATTATTTTATTTAACTTTGTTTCTTCCTTAAGCTTCTTCTCATCTGGTCCCAACCCAATAGTCAGAGAACAGTTCATTTTGTGTGTGTGTGTGTGTACAGGGCAGAGCCAAAGACTCAATGACAACAGATACCCTTTGGCCAGCATTGTTTAAAATTCAACTGTGCCTCTAATCGAAAAACAAATGGTGAGAAAATAGTTTTCCCCTCTCGCCCTTTCTTTCGTTCTTTCTCTCTATTTCTTTCTTTCTCACATTATGACTCATTTTAATATTGTTTTTAAATGGGTCAGCAGATGTTATAAAATGGAGTGACAGGGGGAGGTAGGGAAGAAGAGGGTGAGGGAGGGGGAGAGTTTGCCAATACCAATAGTTTGGTTTTCCACATGGGCGGAGAGAGATGGACCTTTAAGAGAAGAGAACGGAGCGTTCAGTTCCAGACGACTTCTCCTGCTCTGCACCCCACAGACTCTCATTTACATCTGAATATCCTGCAAAATACCATTCAACAAGGAGGAACAGTTTACACATGTCTATAAAAAAAAAACACTTCCCCTTGAAGTGTTACTAATCATAGCATGCTACTTTTGGCCAACACTAAGTTTCAGTGAAGGCTCATCTTGCTGCTATTTAGCAGTTAACAGGATTTATGTTTGTATTCTGTTTGCAGTTTGAAAATATGGACTGTTTAACCATAATCCATACACACTCACTTCCCCATTCTACAATGATAGCAAACTTTGGTTTTTGTGATATTAAGCTGATCTTTGCTACGTCTTCCTTGAACTCCCCCATGTAAGCCCAGGAAATGTCCATGGTATTATGTAAAGGCACTGAATCAAAGAGCGGGACAAACAAGAGTTCCATCCATCCTGTCTGTCTGGGTGACTCAGAGAAAAACACATGATGCCATGAGCAGCCTGCCGCCCGGGAGTTTACGCTTGTCCACAGATTTACGAGCACGCTCCGAACATGATGATACGCTCGCACAAACAATGATTTCATACAAATAACAGACTGACAGACAGACTGAGGGATTGGCTGGACCTGGACAACAGTCAGTCGACTGGCGTGGTTGGACTGGTGTTCCTAATATAATCTGCTGAGTCATTCACAGAGACCCTCTTGTGGGCAAAGCCCTGGTCTGGTCTACTCTGGCTGGGCAGCCCTGGGCTGGAGTCTGGCTGTGCCCTAAGCAGTCTAAGAGGACAACTAGCCTAAGCAGAGGCCCATCTTTGCTTGGCAAAGGCTTTTATGTATTTTAAACAGAATGATATTAAATGGAGCCATGTACAGTAGATGGCATGTGTTGAAGAGAGTAGCGTTCTCTACCTGGCCTTTTTACCTACAGCAGGGCTTCCTCGTCCTCGTCCCAGTGACCTACTGTGGTGCACATCTTTAATGTTGCCCAGCACTGAAAAGCCTGATTCATTTAATCAAGGGCTTGATGGTTAGATTATCAATTGAATCTGTTTATCCCCCAAGAGTTGTACACTTTTCTCTGTGGTTGAACTTACTACAAGACCATGGTGCTTGCCTACGGAGCTGTGAGGGGAACGGCACCTCCTTACCTTCAGGCTCTGATCAGACCCTACACCCAAACGAGGGCACTATGTTCATCCACCTCTGGCCTGCTAGCCCCCCTACCTCTACGGAAGCACAGTTCCCGCTCAGCCCAGTCAAAGCTATTCGCTGCTCTGGCACCACAATGGTGGAACAAGCTCCCCCACGACGCCAGGACAGCAGAGTCACTGACCACCTTCCGGAGACACTTGAAACCCTACCTCTTTAAGGAATACCTGGAATAGTATAAAGTAATCCTTCTTCCCCCACCCCCCATACAAAAAAAAAAAAAAGGTGGTTGTCCCACTGGCTATCATAAGTTGAATGTTCCAATTTTCAAGTCGCTCTGGATAAGAGCGTCTGCTAAATGATGTAAATGTAACTTGTCTATGAAACTGCTGCATAAGGCATGTCTGTAAATAGAATCAGGATGATGTGATGGAAACTGAAATGGAAATGTTTGAAAGAAGGGTGGTGGTAGAACAGGCACATGGATAGATAGGGGAGGAAAGGAGGGGGAGGAGAGGAAGTGAAGAGGATTCAGTCAAGGTGGGGAGCTGTGGAATAGTGAATAATAGGAAAACAGGCCAGTACAAATTTGTTTGGATTTTCTAAGAAAAGTACCTCGGCTAATTCTTCTTGTTTTTGCTTGTTACTGTTGGTCTACATTATGTTTGTCCCTGTCTGTGTTTCAGGTCCGCACAGCCGTGTTTCGCGGTGCCCCCCCAACGAGTACCAGTGTGGGGGGACAGAGCTGTGTATCCACATGAGTAAACTGTGCAACGGGTTCCCGGAGTGTACCGACGGCTGGGACGAGGGGCCACACTGCAGAGGTATTAAACACTCTCTCCCTCACTCCGTTCAAGTAGCCAGTACAGATGGCTTAGTGTATTGTACCATAACCCTCCCCATACATTCTCTACCCAGGCAGGGAATCTTGCTGCACTACAATGGAGGGGAGGTGATCTGGCCATTGATTCTAACATAGCCATGCACTAAGGCTTATCTTCCTACACCCACATTAATGTACACAGCACATGCATGCTGCCCACTTCAAATACAACACTCCATCTTTTAAAATTGGATTATGATTATGACGGATTACTGCAGATTTACATGTAAAGAAACGTGTGGGAGTATAATAACATGAGTTGGTTTATTTTCCACCAAGCATAGTTGAACTCCCGTGGGGGTTTGCAAGTCCAACTACCTACAGTATTGCTCCTATTTCTGGCCCTGGTTTACTATAATTAACCTGAATGTGTTTAATGTATAATACACAGTGGACCGACGCACATTATACTGCAAAGTTATTAAAAACATTTTTGCCAAGGTTTTTTACCCTCATCTAATGTAAGGCTATAGAAAGCTTTTGTGCCCCCCCATCTGTAGCTTTCTCTTTCCCCCTTTCCCCTCACTTTCCATCCCCCTCTTTTTTTTAATTAGTCTCTCTCTCTCCTTTATTATCACACTCTTATGTAGTTTTTTCTCATGGGAGAAAAAAGCAATTATCTCATCAATGAAGATGTTGCTATGTAAGCAGGGTTGAGTGTTAAATGTGAGTGTGTGTGTGTGTGTGTGTGTGTGTGTGTGTTTTTGTTGAACTATAGTACCAGAAGTCCTCACAAGGATAATAAAACAAGGGAAATAGGGACATTTTAACGGTCCCCATGAGGAAAATAACTATTATAGGCTTAGGGTTACAATTAGGGTTAGAATTTAAGGTTGGGGTTACAGATAGGTATAGTTTTGGGGTTAAGGTTAGGTTAAAGGTTATGGTTAAGTTAAGGGTTAGGGAAAATAGGATTTTGCATGGGAATTAATTATTTGGTCCCTACAAAGATAGCAATAGAAAAGTGTGTGTGTGTTTGTTTTTTACCATCCTTGTGGGTACCAGAAGTCCTCACAAGGATAGTAAAACAATGACAATTCCGACAAGTGGGGACATTTTGCCGGTCCCCACGAGGAAAAATGCTATTTTAGGCTTAGGGGCTAGAGTTAGATATAGTTTTAAGGTTAGGGGTTTGGGGTTAAGGTTAGGTTTAGGGTCAAGTTAGGGTTATGGTTAGGTTAAGTTTAGGGTTAGGGGTTAGGGAAAAATAGGATTTTGGATGGGAATCAATTATTTGGTCCCCACAAGGATAGCAATATACAACTGTGTGTGTGTTCTGGCTTTCCCAAAACAAAAACTGGGAGCACACTCAAATCATGATTATCCGGCTTGGATTATGTATTTTCCGGATTAACTGTGCCAATGAAAGTTTTAAACATTTGCATTCCTAACTAAAACCACGTGCTCATTCTGATTCGGTTGGCCAAACGGAGAGAAAGGAAAACGTGATCATGTGAAAAGCCTACGTGTGGATTTTTATTGGACGGGCGAGCTACAGGACAGGGTAGATGGATGGATGGGGGTAGCAGAAGCGCTTAACGTAATCTAATACCCATGGCTGGCACAACCCATGGCTGGCATGGTTGGCCAACGACATAAATTGGAGGTTCAAAGACGGGGGTAAAAAGAGCCCCCTACTACTAGTACCTATTACTATACTAGAATAATATTATGTACTGTACTGTTATACACAACTCATACTCCCTCTATCACACACTATTTCTACACATACACACTCCCCCTCTGTGTGCACCTGTTTTGGGAACGCCCCGTCCCTGGGATCCTAGTTGCCATCCGGAGGGAGGCGGCCTTGGAAACCCCTCTGCTCCTCTAGCACTAACAGGGCCATTACACAGACAGACAGACGGGCCTTTCATTTTGTCTAGCGTACAGTGGCTTGTGAAAGTATTCACCCCCCCCCCCCTTGGCATTATTCCTATTCTGTTGCCTTACAACCTGGAATTAAAAATGGATTTTGGGGAGGTTTGTATCATTTGATTTACACAACATGCCTACCACTTTGAAGATGCAAAATATTTTTTGGGGTGAAACAAATAACAAAAGAAAAAAACTGAAAACTTGTGCGTGCATAACTATTCACCCCCCCCCAAAGTCAATACTTTGTAGAGCCACCTTTTGCAGCAATTACAGCTGTAAGTCTCTTGGGGTATGTCTCTAAGCTTGGCACATCTAGCCACTGGGATTTTTGCCCATTCGTCAAGGCAAAACTGCGCCAGCTCCTTCAAGTTGGATTGGTTCCGCTGGTGTACAGCAATCTTTAAGTCATACCACAGATTCTCAATTGGATTGAGGTCTGGGCTTTGATTAGGCCATTCCAAGACATTTAAATGTTTCCCCTTAAACCACTCAAGTGTTGCTTTAGCAGTATGCTTATGGTCATTGTCCTGCCTGAAGGTGAACCTCTGTCCCAGTCTCAAATCTCTGGAAGACTGAAACAGGTTTCCCTCAAGAATGTCCCTGTATTGAGCGCCAATCATCATTCCTTCAATTCTGACCAGTTTCCCAGTCCTTGCCGAATGAAAAACATCCACACAGCATGATGCTGCCACCACCATGCTTCACTGTGGGGATGGTGATGAGAGGTGTTGGGTTTGCGCCAGACATAGCGTTTTCCTTGATGGAAGTTTACATGCACTCAATTAGTATTTGGTAGCATTGCCTTTAAATTGTTTAACTTGGGTCAAACGTTTCAGGTAGCCTTCCACAAGCTTCCCACAATAAGTTGGGTGAATTTTGGCCCATTCCTCCTGACAGCGCTGGTGAAACTGAGTCAGGTTTGTACGACTCCTTGCTCACACACGCTTTTTCAGTTTTGCCCACAAATGTTCTATAGGATTGAGGTCAGGGCTTTGTGATGGCCACTCCAATACCTTGACTTTGTTGCCCTTAAGCCATTTTGCCACAACTTTGGAAGTATGCATTGTCCATTTGGAAGACCCATTTGTGACCAAGCTTTAACTTCCTGACTGATGTCTTGAGATGTTGCTTCAATATATCCACATCATTTTCCTTCCTCATGATGCCATCTATTTTGTGAAGTGCACCAGTCCCTCCTGCAGCAAAGCACCCCCACAGCATGATGCTGCCACCCCTGTGCTACACAGTTGGGATGGTGTTCTTCGGCTTGCAAGCACCCCCTTTTTTATTATGGCCAAACAGTTCTATTTTTGTTTCATCAGACCAGAGGACATTTCTCCAAAAAGTACGATCTTTGTCCCCATGTGCAGTTGCAAACCGTAGTCTGGCTTTTTTTATGGCGGTTTTGGAGCAGTGGCTTCTTCCTTGCTGAGCAACCTTTCAGGTTATGTTGATATAGGACTCGTTTTACTATGGATATAGATACTTTTGTACCTGTTTCCTCCAGCATCTTCACAAGATCCTTTGCTGTTGTTCTGCGATTGATTTGCACTTTCCGCATCAAAGTACGTTCATCTCTAGGAGACAGAACGTGTCTCCTTCCTGAGCGGAATGATGGCTGCGTGGTCCCATGGTGTTTATACTTGCGTACTATTGTTTGTACAGATGAACGTGGTACCTTCAGGCGTTTGGAAATTGCTCCCAAGGATGAACCAGACTTGTGGAGGTCTACAATTTCCTTTCTGAGGTCTTGGCTGATTTCTTTTGATTTTCCCATGATGTCAAGCTAAGAGGCACTGCGTTTGAAGGTAGGCCTTGAAATGCATCGACAGATACACCTCCAATTTACTAAAATGATGTCAATTAGCCTATCAGAAGTTTCTAAAGCCATAACATCATTTTCTGGAATTTTCCAAGCTGTTTGAAAGGCACCGTCAACTTAGTGTATGTAAACTTCTGACCCACTGGAATTGTGATACAGTGATTTATAAGTGAAATAATCTGTCTGTAAACAATTGTTGGAAAAATTACTTGTCATGCACAAAGTAGATGTCCTAACCGACTTGCCAAAACTATAGTTTGTTAACAAGAAATATGTGGAGTGGTTGAAAAACCAGTTTTAATGACTCCAACCTAAGTGTATGTAAACTTCAGACTTAAACTGTATACTGAGATCATGTGACAGATCATGTGACACTTAGATTGCACACAGGTGGACTTTATTTAACTAACAAAGGGGGTGAATACATATGCACGCACCACTTTTCCGTTATTTATTTTTTTGAATTTTTAGAAAGTTATTTTTTAGATTTCACTCCACCAATTTGGACTATTTTGTGTATGTCCATTACATGAAATCCAAATAAAAATCAATTTAAATTACAGGTTGTAATGCAACAAAATAGCAAAAACGCCAAGGGGGATGAATACTTTTGCAAGGCACTGTATATGTATGTGTCTGTGCAGGCTTGCATTCTGTGTGTTTGTATGTTTGAATAAGTGTATGGGTTGGCTGTGTATGGGTGTGTGCATTTGCCATTTGTGCGTGTGTTGGAGCATCTGGTGGATATGCAACGTGTGTGTGTGTGTGTGTGTGTTAAGTGTGTATTGTATGCATGTTGTGTGTGTGTGTGCTTGCACACGCTGGCTGGTGTGTGAGAGTTGTTGGCTGGGCCCTGTGGGGCTGGTAATGGGCCTGACTGGGCCCAGCCTCTTATGTAATCTCATGGCCAGGCTGGCTGAACTGAGGGAGGGGTTGTCTCAGGTATGGCACTGCCTACTCCCACTCCCACTCCACCTAGAACCTCTACCACTATTTTCTTGAGGTTTGACAGTGGTGGTATATCAACCTTACGGTACCTACAAAACCTCTGTAAAAACTGTTCCTGCAAAGTATTCATCTTACTGTTGAGAAACCTTTGACTTTAGCAAGCAGTCCCAGTAGCTTGGTTGTTGTTGTTCTAGTCTAGTATTTCTACAGGTTAGTGTATAGAATTTAAACACAGTGTGCTAAACACCACGACCACATCTTTGGATCCCATGAGACACCTGTCACCTCCATTCCCATTCCTCCATCCCTCCACCACTTCAGAGGGAAGGCGAGCGAAGGATTAAATATTTATCCCAGTAACAAGGAGACAGGCATGGGAGGGGACATAAAATGTTCATGCCACTTCACGGTGGCAGGGCTTTTAGTGGTGTGTGTCCGTGTGTGTGTGTGTGTCCATAGGCCAGCTTTCATCTTCCCAGAGGGTCAAATGCCAGGGTAGGGGAGTACGCATGCCTCATACATTCCTCACGGTTATCAGAGTGCTCACATCAATATTCTTGGTGCCCGGGTGTTTTAAATGGGGGTGCCCTGATTTGTTATCGGAATGCCCGACACTCCTGGGCACCCCTGCCAAGCCATGGTGGTTGTTGAATGATATCCAATATACCTTATCCTGCAAGGGGGCATATGCTTTATTGGTGTGTCTGCATTGCTGTACCTCCATTGTAACAACCCACAGTGACATTAAGGTGATGGTATGATTTGTGGTACATCTTATAAGTTACGCCTGCTGCATGGTGCTTCTACAGAGCTTTTAGAAGTTTGATAAAGCTATGTAGCTATAGATTGCCACCAGCAATAGGCAAAACTGTTGATATGTGTTTCTTTCTTTGTGCTACTAAGCAATACTGTTCTGAACTGTGGTAAACAAACAGGAATGCCAGCTACTTTAGGTGCACCACCTCTAAGAACAAACTCTTAGTTTGGCACTTGTGTTAAATATTCAATGTTCTCCTTTTTCCACAACCTATTCTCTCTCTCCGTTTCCCTCTAATGTACCACTCTGTCTCCTTTTCCCTCTCCCTCTCATTTCCCTCCCTCCCTCTCTCTCTCTCTGATGGGTAGTGACAGTGTGAATGGGCAGGTGTTGTCTCAGTGTGAGTCATAGGTATAGATAATCCAGGTTTGATGTGACCACTGTTGTTTTGTCTCTGCTGCTCTGACTCAGAACACTGGCCCTGCATATACAGGTTTTCCCACAGTATGTAGTGGTGAGAACTCATGAATCCATGAGAAGTAGCTGAGATGACTGAGGTGTGTCAAGGTGTGAGCTTGTGACAGCATTATTGAGGTGTAGGGCTGAATGACTCATCGCGCGTGTATTTGTGGTCCGCCTTGGCACAGGCCTGCCCTGCCTGAGAGCGATTGATTAGTGCTGTGCTGCAGTGTTTGCCTGTGGATTTCTCTCCCTGGCCGGGCACACAAAGACCCCATTGTGTGTGTGATTGAGTGTGCGTGTGGATGCACGCTGCGTTTCAGCTAGGGCCCATTCTCTGTATAACCCTTTACCAATCACTAAACACCCACACACAACACTGACCATCTCTCTCTCTCTCTCTCTCTCTCTCTCACACACACACACACACACACACACACACACACACACACACACACACACACACACACACACACACACACACACACACACACACACACACCTAAAACCAAACTCTGGCCACCACACACACCTAACACAACCTACTCTCCCACCAACTAAAACCACCCACTCTTTAACATGCACTTCTTTTCTCTTGGGTTTAGATCAGTTCACTGGGTTTCGGGAGCACTGATTGCCTATAGGAAGCTGAGAGATGCACTTTTCCTGAGGCCCAGAGATAGGGCTGTGGCGGTCATGAAATTTTGTCAGCCGGTGGTTGTCAAGGAAATAACTGCCGGTCTCACGATAATTGACCGTTAATTAACATAAACACATTTAGCATTTCCTGGCTTCCAGCATATCCTACAAGCCACTGATGCAGACCTTTGGAACATCTAGATTTTAAAAAATCGAATAAATCCATGTAATATAGCCTACACCATCACAATAAATCCATTATTTATTTTAGACAGGTCTAAAGAAACATGATAAGAAGAAAATGTCGTCTATTTCAGAAGAACAGAACAGCATTCTCTGAGTTGTCCTGATGTTAGGCCCTGATATGGCTATGCCATATGGCTCTGGGCTACACTAGTTCATTTAGCAGACAAGATTTGCATAGAATTCCATGGCATTATTTTATAGTATGAAGAATACAATTGAACAAAGCTGAATAAAATAAAGGATTTAAGGGAGTGCGCAAATGCGGCTATTCTGTGTTGAGCGGTTAACAAAGAAACAGGTACTCCTATAGGCTTAATTTAGAGTTATTTATGTAACTTTAGTTGTGATACAAACGTTGGGCTATATGTTTAGATGTTTTATACATTCTAAGGCTGCATGATGCGACTCTAATTATGATTTGAAAAAATGAAGGCTGTACACACTTCATATGTCTCTCATTCACAATTTGACAAGCACTTGATAATGCCTCGAATTTCCTGGCTGCATCCCCTTTGTGTGGCCGTAATGCCCCCTAAAAAAATCCATGCCTTTTGCGGCCAGTGGCCGTTGTGCCCTTGGTATGAATATAATAATTAGAATTCCCTTCTCCCAGCTGCGTGTGGGAGCACCTCTCACTCACATGGCTCTCAGTCACGTGATCGGGCTTCTCATAGGCAACAAGTGAAGACAGACACATCTGGGGGGCAACTGCGCGCGTCCTTATCCAATTCCGAGGTGCATATTGAAGATATTTACTTTTCGTCAGCCAACAAGATGAGTAGGCCTAACGAACAGCAAAAGCGCTAGTCTATGTCAATCTACTAACCCCATAGTACAAAAGTTGACCTATTCTGTGCGATAAATAAATATTCCAAACATAGTCTGGGACAATTGTGGGATGCGATAGATCCCAAATGAATACAACCACTAGCATCAAAAAACCTGTTTTAAGCAATGAGCCTGACGCAACAGATCAGAACATTCATCTTAAAATGCTATTTCTTCACATAAGCGCAACAATGTGCACACGGCAGTAGGCTATAAGCATGAATGTTCAATTAGCAGAAAACACCATTATCAAAAGTGACCATAAATGCAATTATGCATGTCATACTTTATTATAAATGTGCATTTTTATTGTGAAAATTATCTTCCCCAAACTTGAAACTCACACGCTGCGTATGTATGCCAGTTAGGCTCTACACCAGTTGTAAAGTTGATTCATGTGCTTCATTTTAAGAAGTTATTTGGCCACTTTTAGTTGTGATACAAACCTTATCAAAACATATAGGCCTATGTGCTAGGCTACATGAGGTGACTATGATTTGAAAAAGTTGCAACAAAAAAAAGCATGCACTGTTTGCCTTAAGCTGGGCATCATTCACAAGTGATAGGCTAATATTGTCACCCATCACACTATTCTTGATTTAATCTTGTCTTTACATATACAAAATAATATGTGTGAAATTTGTTTTGATTTAGAATGGACCATTATCATGCACCTGTCTCGAAAAAATATATAAACATGTCATCTATGCACATAAATAGCGAATGGAGGACGCTCTTCCGTGGTTCATTTTCATGCCAGCAAGGTAGGCTATACTCCTGTTTTAAAGAGAAGCAATGTGCTTAATATTAGGAAAGTTGAGAAATAAATATAGTAGGCTGATGGGATCCTCTTTTTAATAGTCATCAATCTGTTTTCTAATGCTATTGCATAGCCTATAGAAATGTTGCGCAACATCAGCTCATGGGCTCTCATCGATTTTCGATTATATTTGCATTGATGTCAGTGATTATAGGGACAATAGAGTGCGGGGTACCAGGCAGTTAGCACGTTTGGTAGGCTACTAATGACCATCAGAGCTTGGAGAAGCATAATAACCGTGACTAAACGGTCACGTGGAATTTGACAGCCATCATGACTCGTGACCGCCGGTGTGGCCATTTTGCATCCCCAAGCTTTCCTGTTTCCCCATGCCCAGAGGCAAGACCCCAGCTCTGTGTCTGACGGCAGACAACAATATCCTTTATGAATAGAGCCTGGGCTATTGATTCCTACATATAAAATGACTTATGTTTTGTAGTTTTCCGCATGGTTTAATGTCCATGATAGACAGACTAAGACGTTGTTATTGATCACAGGCACATCTAATGGACAAATTATCGACCTACATAACAACAAATTCTGAGCTAATCAATCTTCCAGGGTTGTGAAAACCAAGTAGGCTATTTGGCAGCAGACACACTGACGGTAATGAAAGTACACCCACTACTTTACGGTCTCATCTACAGATATATATTTCTTAATGTAATGTAACATTGGAGAATGTTTTTGAATTGTGACATTTATTTGCATGAATGCCCCTTTCTCCGCCATACCCATACCCTCTCCCTGGGTCCTGCTCTCTCCTCTACCCCTTCTCCACCCTCCTCTAACCTCCTCCACCCCATCCCTTGTTTCTACAGACATTGCCTCTTGATTGCTCAAAGTGACCACAACCGGTCATTACCTCCTCCCTGTCTCTCTACAGAATTTGCGACAAACTGCACTCTGTCAGGTTGCCAGGACAACTGTTCGGTGACTCCGTCGGGCGCTGCATGTTACTGTAGGAGTGGATATGAAATAGGGCTGGACGGCATGACATGTAAAGGTGAGTTCCACCAACCTTACAACCTTTAGCCTTCTAGACTCTGACAACCTACATCCTGCTACTGGCTTTATAAATAGTAGGCCTATACCTAGTCAAAGTCTGGTGGGCAATTGTCCTTATCCAACTCGAAAGACCATGAAAAAGAGCTGGAGGGGTTTTGTGCACTAACAATGGCTAACCAGATGTGATTGGCCCATGTGTAACCTACTGTGTGTTGGTCAGATTTTGACGAGTGCAGTGTTTACGGGACCTGCAGCCAGTCCTGTACCAACACAGAGGGCTCCTACACCTGCAGCTGTGTGGAGGGCTACCTGCCTCAGCCCGACAACCGCTCCTGCAAGGCCAAAAATGGTTGGTATTATTAAGACCTACCACTGCCACCACTCAACTCGTTATTTTATCGAACAGTCCCCTTGATGCTTTCCATGGGGCTTTTCAACTAATGTACTGTAAATATACGGATTCGTATTAGCTGTTGACCACTTTGTTGATCGCCTACCCTTACACCTTGTCGAGACAATAACCTCTGCTCCAAAGTCCACTCACGCCTTCCTCCTCCCATCCCCCGCTCTCTCCTCTCCTCCCAGTCCCAGTAGAAAGGAACTCGGTGCTGCTGATCGCAAACAGTCAGAACATCCAGGCCACGTCTTTGAGCGGTACCACGATCAGCCTACTGTCCACCACCACCAAGCAGACCACCGCCATGGACTTCCTCTACGCCCAGGAGCAGGTCTGCTGGATCCACGTGGGTGACTCGCCCGCCTCCACCCACCTCAAGTGTGCCAAGATCCCCAACCTCAAGAGCTTTGCTGACGAGAGGGTCATCAACATCTCCCTCAGCCTGCACCGTGAGTTCTATAATACAATATGATACAGTACAGTATGATACTCCATCTCCTCACTCCGCTTAGACTGTGACTACACTGTAGTATAGTACAGTATGATATAGGATTAGTTCATAGCTATACAGTACAGTATACTACATCTCACACCACACTGCTCAAGGATGCTACAGTGAGTAGCACAGTGAGATAATACACCATCCATCAACATCCACACAATCAATAATGCACTATTCACACCTACAAAATGTTAGTACAATCGAGTACACTGTTACAGCAGTACAGCATGAAGAGTAAAATAGGGTACACTGTTACAACACAGCAGGCACATTACATCATAGCATGAACATCTCCCTCTGTCTGCAACAGTTGAATATGACATACTGTAGCAGTTCTACACAGAGGTGTGTGTGTGTGTGTGTGTGTGTGTGTGTGTGTGTGTGTGTGTGTGTGTGTGTGTGTGTGTGTGTGTGTGTGTGTGTGTGTGTGTGGTGCTAGAAATGTCGTGTGTGCCTGCGTTTCGTGTGTGTGCCTGTGTTGATACTGTAGCCGGAGTTGTGTAACAGCCAGTTTGGAAGAATACCGAAGCGAGTTCTCTTCCAGTAAAAAAGGAAGAGGAAGAACGGAGCCAGTGGATCTAAGGAAAAACATGTGCGTGTGAGCAGGTGTAGCTTATAGGTCAGCTCCCCCTTCTTCCTCTGTCTCCCTTCAGTCCCTCCCTCCCTCCTCCACATCAACCCCAAGTTTACTGCACACTCATGAGCCTTTCTACTATGAATTCTGGGGTCCACACAAAACATGATAAATGACATAATACAGAACATGAATACAAAAGGCACACGTAGCCTACATATCAATACATACACACAAACTATCTAGGTCAAATACGGGAGAGGCATTGTGCTGTGAGGTGTTGCATTATCTGTTTTTTGAAACCACGTTTTCTGTTCACTTGAGCAATATGAGATGGAACGGAGTTCCATTTAATGGTACAGACCTGTTTATTACAGGACTGTTTATAGACTACACAGGAGATTAACGTTTTAAATGTATATGTTTCAAATGTATACACATGAACATTTCAGATATTCATAGTAGAAACTCTCTTTCCCTTCCCACCCTACCTCCCTCTCTCACTCACTTGCGCACACACAGACAAACACATCCCACACACACTCACTCAATGTTAGGTCTGGCTATAGCTGGTGTTTAGTCGGGCACAGTGGGGCAAACAAGCAGACCCCTGCAGCTTTAATTAATCAACCTATAGATACTGTGACCACACACACACTAACACACTCTACTGCGTTAGTTTAGAGATACTTCACCCCTGACCCCCCCCCCCCCCCCCAACCAGCATCTCTCCCCTATTCCTCCCCCTCCCTCGTCTCACCCCTTTCCTGTCTAATTGAGCAGTAGACCCCTTCAGCTCGCCTGTGTGTGTGTGTGTGTGTGTGTTAATTCTGAACCAAAGGAATGTGCAGGACATTCCAACGGCTTCAGCAGAATTCTCCGAGCACCCTTTCTCTGCCTGCCATACACACACACTTACACATAGACACACGCGTGATAGAGACACTCACACACATGGACACTCACACAGTCCCACTCATACAAAGACACACACACACGCACACACGAAGCAACACAGACACCCACGGCTATTCCAAAGTGTCAAAGAAGAGCGAAGGACCGGGGCTGTATTGCCGCAGCGAGGAAACAATAAATAAGCATTCCATTTCCTGCCGCCATGTCACCTACTTCCTGTTTCCAGAGTTATTCTCCCAGCTGGTGTGTGTGTGTGTTAGGGATGGGCACGGTTATTCAAATATTGAATTATCCGAACTAGGGCTGACCCCATTTAGTCGACGGTCGATTGTTTGGTCAATAGGCTGTTGATCAACTGAGATTTCTTTAGTTGAGCAGTCGCAAATATATATATTTTTTTCATGGTGCACAACACGCCTGTCTGATTCGCGCCTTTCTCAGTGGACTAATCCATTGTGGAGGCCACGGGGATGGCACAGTCCATCACTCTAAGACATGTGATACTGAAATTGTATATGGTTATATTATGTAAAAATAATGGTACAACACTAATAAATATAATATTATTTTATAACATGCGCTTTCTCCCACGTTGGATAGAGGTCGCTGTCCGCGGTTCTGAAACATAATCTTCAGTGCACCGTTGAATTGGCGCCTTTCCCTATGTTGCTATGAGCATAACAGCAAAGTTAACCAGCGTGTTGAGAATAATGCGGTGGAGTGAGATGAGGAAACAGCCCTTGCCTTAATTGTCTAAGAAAATTGAGGAGAGAGGAAACCCCAACTTGATTAGGTCTATAATCAATTGCCTAACTGTTAAATATGCCTGGTATTCAGACTCCTTCACTTTTTCCACATTTTGTTAAGTTACATTCTTATTCTAAAATGGATTAAATTATTTTTCTCATCAATCTACACACTATACCCCATAATGAAAAAGCGAAAATAAGTACATAAGTATTCAGACCTTTTGCTATGAGACTCAAAATTTAGCTCAGGTGCATCCTGTTTCCATTGATCATCCTTGATGTTTCTACAACTTGATTGGACATGATTTGGAAAGGCACACACCTGTCTATATAAGGTCACACACTTGACAGTGCATGTCAGAGCAAAAACCAAGCCATGAGGTCGACGTAATTGTCCGTAGAGCTCCGAGACGACAAGAATGTGTCATGGCACAGATCTGGGGAAGGGTACCAAAACAATTCTGCAGCATTGAAGGTCCCAAGAACACAGTGGCCTCCATCATTGTTAAATGGAAGAAGTTTGGAACCACCAAGACTCTTCCTAGAGCTGGCCGCCTGGCCAAACTGAGCAATCGGGGGAGAAGGGCCTTGGTCAGGGAGGTGATCAAGAACCCGATGGCAGAGCTCCAGAGTTCCTCTGTGGAGATGGGAGAACCTTCCAGAAGGACAACGATCTCTGCATCACTCCACCAATCAGGCCTTTATGGTAGAGTGGCCAGACGGAAGCCACTCCTCAGTAAAAGGCACATGATAGCCTGCTTGGAGTTTGCCAAAAGGCATCTAAAGGACTTTCTGACCATGAGAAACAAGATTCTCTGGTCTGATGAAACCAAGATTGAACTCTTTGGTCTGAATGCCAAGCGTCACGTCTGGAGGAAACCTAGCACCATCCCTACGGTGAAGCATGGTGGTGGCAGCATCATGCTGTGGGGATGTTTTTCAGCAGCAGCGACTGGGAAGCTAGTCAGGATCAAGGGAAAGATGAACGGAGCAAATTACAGAGAGATCCTTGATGAAGATCTGCTCCAGAGCGCTCAGGTCCTCAGACGGGGGCGGCAGGTAGCTTAGTGGTTAAGAGCGTTGTGCCAGTAACCGAAAGGTCGCTGGTTCTAATCCCCGAGCCGACTAGGTGAAAAATCTGTCGTTGTGCCCTTGAGCAAGGCACTTAACCCTAATTGCTCCTGTAAGTTGCTCTGGATAAGAGCGTCTGCTAAATGACTAAAATTTAATGTAAATGTAAGGTTCACCTTCCAACAGGACAACAACCCTAAGCACACAGCACAGACAACGCAGGAGTGGCTTCGGGACAAGACTCTGAATGTCCTTGAGTGGCCTAGCCAGAGCCCGGACTTGAACCTAATCGAACATCTCTGGAGAGACCTGAAAACAGCTGTGTAGCGACGCTCCCCATCCAACCTGACAGAGCTTGAGAGGATCTGCAGAGAAGAATGGGAGAAACTCCCCTTCTACAGATGTGCCAAGCTTGTAGCGTCATACCCAAGGCTGTAAGCGCTTCCAAAGGTGCTTCAACAAAGTACTGAGTAAAGGGTCTGAATACTTATGTAAATAGATATTTCAGTTTTTTATTTGTAATAAATTAGCAAAAATGTAAAAATAAAAAAAAGTTTTGCTTTGCCATTATGGGGTATTGTGTGTAAATTGATGAGGGGAAAAAAACAAAATAATTTAATCCATTTTAGAATAAGGCTGTAACTTAACAAAATGTGGAAAACGGTAAAGGGGTCTGAATACTTTCTGAATGCACTGTATACCGTTGAAGTCGGAAGTTTACATACACTTAGGTTGGAGTCATTAAAACTGGTTTTTCAACCACTCAACAAATTTCTTGTTAACAAACTATAGTTTTGGCAAGTCTGTTAGGACATCTACATTGTGCATGACACAAGTAATTTTTCCAACAATTGTTTACAGACAGATTACTTCACTTATATTTCACTGTATCACAATTCCAGTGGGTCAGAAGTTTACTAAGTTGACTGTGCCTTTTTAAACAGTTTGGAAAATTCCAGAAAATGATGTCATGGCTTTAGAAGCTTCTGATAGGCTAATTGAAATCATTTGAGTCAATTGGAGGTGTACCTGTGGATGTATTTCAAGGCCTACCTTCAAACTCAGTGCCTCTTTGCTTGACATCATGGGAAAATCAAAAGAAATCAGCCAAGACCTCCGAGAAATAATTGTAGACCTCCACAAGTCTGGTTCATCCTTGGGAGCAATTTCCAAAAGCCTGACGGTACCTCGTTCATCTGTACAAACAATAGTACGCAAGTATAAACACCATGGGACCACGCAGCCGTCATACCGCTCAGGAAGGAGACGCGTTCTGTCTCCTAGAGATGAACGTACTTTGGTGCGGAAAGTGCAAATCAATCGCAGAACAACAGCAAAGGACCTTGTGAAGATGCTGGAGGAAATGGGTACAAAAGTATCTATATCCACAGTAAAACGAGTCCTATATCGACATAACCTGAAAGGCCGCTTAGCAAAGAAGAAGCCACTGCTCCAAAACCGCCATAAAAAAGCCAGACTACGGTTTGCAACTGCACATGGGGACAAAGATCATACTTTTTGGAGAAATGTCCTCTGGTCTGATGAAACAAAAATAGAACTGTTTGGCCATAATGACCATCGTTATGTTTGGAGGAAAAAGGGGGTTGCTTGCAAGCCGAAGAACACCATCCCAACCGTGAAGCACGAGGGTGGCAGCATTATGCTGTGGGGGTGCTTTGCTATAGGAGGGACTGGTGCACTTCACAAAATAGATGGCGTCATGAGGAAGGAAAATTATGTGGATATATTGAAGCAACATCTCAAGACATCAGTCAGGAAGTTAAAGCTTGGTCGCAAATGGGTCTTCCAAATGGACAATGACCCCAAGCATACTTCCAAAGTAAATCCAAGAACAGTTTGGTGACTAATTTTATGTTTGAGATTCTTCAAAGTAGTCACCCTTTGCCTTGATGACAGCTTTGCACACTCTTGGCATTCTCTCAACCAGCTTCATGAGGTAGTCACATGGAATGCATTTCAATAAACAGGTGTGCCTTGTTAAAAGTTAATTTGTGGGATTTCTTTCCTTCTTAATGCGTTTGAACCAATCAGTTGTGTTGTGACAAGATAGGGGTGGTATGCAGAAGATAGCCCTATTTGATAAGACCAAGTCCAGATTATGGCAAGAACAGCTCAAATAAGCAAAGAGAAACGACAGTCCATCATTACTTTAAGATATGAAGGTTAGTCAAAATGTCAAGAACTTCGAAAGTTTCTTCTAGTGCAGTCGCAAAAATCATCAAGCGCTATGATGAAACTGGCTCTCATGAGGACCTCCACAGGAAAGGAAGACCCAAAGTTATCTCTGCTGCAGAGGACAAGTTCATTAGAGTTAAATGCACCTCAGATTGCAGCCCAAATAAATGCTTCACAGAGTTCAAGTAACAGACACATCCCAGCATCAACTGTTCAGAGGAGACTACGTGAATCAGGCCTTCATGGTTGAATTGCTGCAAATAAACCACTACTAAAGGACACCAATAATAAGAAGAGGCTTGCTTGGGCCAAGAAACACAAGCAATGGACATTAGACCAGTGGAAATCTGTCCTTTTGTCTGATGAGTCCAAATGTGAGATTTTTGGTTCCAACTGCTGTGTCTTTGTGAGACGCAGAGTAAGTGAACGGATGACCTCCGCATGTGTGGTTCCCACCTAGAAGCATGGAGGAGGAGGTGTGATGGTGTGGGGGTGCTTTGCTGGTGACACTATCAGTGATTTATTTAGAATTCAAGGCACACTTAACCAGCATGGCTGCCACGGCATTCTGCAGCGATATGCCATCCCATCTGGTTTGCGCTTAGTCCCACTATCATTTGTTTTTCAACAGGACAATGACCCCCAAAACACACCTCCAGGCTGTGTAAGGGCTATTTGACCAAGAAGGAGAGTGATGGAGTGCTGCATCAGATGACCTGGCCTCCACAATCCCCCGACCTCAACCCAATTGAGATGGTTAGGGATGAGTTGGACCGCAGAGTGAAGGAAAAGCAGCCAACAAGTGCTCATTATATGTGGGAACTCCTTCAAGACTGTTGGAAAAGCATTCCTCATTAAACTGGTTGAGAGAATGCCAAGAGTGTGCAAAGCTGTCAAGGCAAAGGGTGGCTACTTATCAAATATAGTCTTTTTTTGGTTACTACATGATTCCAAACTTTTGACTGTTACGGTAGATCTATGAAATAATCCCTTTTAAAAACAACCACACATGCCTAACACCTTCACCTAACAGACTGGTGAGGGGTGGATTGTAGATATGTTTGGATGTGTGAATGTGCATGTGCTTAAAGGAGCTAATTGGTCAAAGTCAGACGCGTGCCGGGCCAAGCATTCTTTGCTCTAACCCCCTACCCAATCAGTCACCTGAACTCAGTACAGTACTTTCCTAGGGAGCGATGCTCCTCAGTCCTCACAGACAGCCACACAGACAGACACACAGCGCCAGGGCAGGCCCCAGATCAGCCACAAGCTAACACTGTGACTGCCCACAAAGCCATCAATGCACTGCCACCTCTACTGCGTGTTACATAACTGGGAAGCCCTCATTTAAAAGATAAAAACAAACAATGTCTACGTTAAGGGACGGCAGGTAGCTTAGCGGTTAAAGCGTAGGGACAGTAACCAAAAGTTTGCTTGTTCGAATTCCAGATCTGGCAAGTTGGAAAAATCTGCTGTTCTGCCCTTGAGTAAGGCAGTTAACTCCCACAACAACTGCTGATCTTTTAACAAGGGGTTTTGATTTAAGACCATGTCTAGCTGTGCACATTAGCTTTAGTTGGGATGTTTTAAAAGGTTAGGGCTGTAGCAGTCTCCTCTTGGCTGGGAAGAGAGTGGGATGTTATAACCTACGCTAGGAGGCCCCAATGTCTGAGAGGGTCATGTCTAGCTATGTCAGTGATGGGCAACTTTGATGGGGGTGGGGGCCACAAAAAATCTGAACTCATCCAGGCTCTGTCGTAGCCGGCCGTGACCAGGGAGACCCATGGGGCGGCGCATAATTGGCCCTGCGTCGTCCAGGGTAGGGGAGGGAATGGCCGGCATGGATGTAGCTCAGTTGGTAGAGCATGGCGTTTGCAACGCCAGGGTTGTGGGTTCAATTCCCACGGGGGGCCAGTATGAAAAATAAAATAATGTATGCACTCACTAACTGTAAGTCGCTCTGGATAAGAGCGTCTGCTAAATGACTAAAATGTAAAATTTAATGAGGGGCTGTAGTTGCTTGTGGGTCTGCGAACCAACATCCATATCCCCCCCATTGCGAGCAAAACATTTCAGTGGCCCCACCCTCATTTTGTACGTTTTAGAGTTAATTTAGTGCAATTCTACACATTTTGCCATGTGGTAGAGAGATTTTTATGATATCTGAGTTAGACTGACTAACAAAATCAATGGGGGCCCCCTGGCCTGTAATTCGACCATGATAACAAGTTTATATAGCTGGCCGCTAAACTAACATAGCAATCAACATTTTTTTGACATGGGCTAATTGACTGACTATCATTGACCGACAAAACGAGAAACTGCTGATGCACAACCACATTTCGAAATTGCACCTTGTGTATTCTACTATTCTAACTCAAAAGATTAAGTTGACACCCCATTAAGTTGCCCATCCCTGAGCTATGTAAATACCATTATTTTAGTACATTGTATTGGATTCATGCAGCACGTCACAGTGTGTCACCTATCCTTATTACTGTAGGATGGAGCTGACACTGCATAATAAAGCTGTCGAAGTATTACCCACTCCATCAGCTATCCTTATGCTAATGGTTGAATTGATTCTAAGGCTAGTTTGAGGGTTTTGATAAGGATTCCATGTTAAAGCAGCAGTTGGGGTTATGGTGAAGTAATGGGGAAGGGGGTTAGCAGGGCCTACTAGCTGCTTTCTGCTGTGTTTAGTACATATGTTTCTGCTAAATCTCCTTAAGAGATCATGTGCTGGAAAAGAGAAAGTCACTCTTGCAGCTCCACGTTCAACAGTTTATTCTGTATATAATCGCTCTCGTTCTGCCTGTTGCCTGTCTTTCTCTTTTTCTGTCTGTTTCTTTCTCTCAGCCCTCCCTCCCCAACTAATCCTAAAATCACCCCTTCAACCAAATACTTTTAAAATGATTGACATTGCTCTATTTTTTATCTCCATCCACCTCTTCTTCTTCCGTTCTTCCTCTCCCTCTGGTCTTGCTTGCCCCCGGCTGGGTCTTAACCAGTACCTCATTTAGGAGTAGCGTGTCCTTTAGCCCTCTTTTTTTGTGACTTTCCCTTCTTGTCGTGTGATGCGTTCTCCAGATGGTGTTTTAAGACTGGAGTGTTTTGAATGCAGGAGATGGGCTTTGGGGATAGGGAGGTGGATGTGAGGGGCGGGGGGTGTAAAGCCTTAAATCACTGTTTAGGGAGGGTGTGAAGAGGTTAGCCGGAACTTGCATTTTATTAGTGCTCCATCACGGTATGGTATGGAACAACTTCAACATATCAGATATTGACTAATGCAATATGCTTACTCTCCGTATCCAATCGTATAGATGTGGCTCTGTTTGGTCCAAAGCAAGTGCAGGTTCGAAATATGCCTTCACAAATTCCCTGGATATAGATCTAGTCCTCCCTCTCTTTGAGGTGCAGAGGGCTGAGCAGAGTAAACAAACTACTTGGAGGAGGGGGGAAAAAAGCAAAAAAGCACTGTGGTCTTTTTTTTCATTATGTTTTATAGTGCAATGTTCGTCAGATAGAAGATGTTTCTTCTCCTCTAGGAAAGGGAACAGGGGGAGGGATGGGGCGATGATGGATGCATGGAGGAAGAGGAGAGAAGTGGGAGGAGCGGGGAAGCAGGGACGAAGAAAAAAACAAGGTTTTTGCTTCCCGGTCAGAGTTTCTGTTTACCAGAAGTTGGTGGGAAAAAGTCAGTTCCAATGAACAGGGATTGTACTTACCTCTCCCCTCACCTCCGCTTCTTTCCACTCCTCTCCTACTGGACCAATAAAGGTATTTTTAAAATCCCTATTGAAAATCAGAATCTCTCTCGCTCTCTGCATAATTATTTTTTCTTAAGCACAAACATATGTGTATGTTATCCATTTTGACTGCCCTCACCATTCAATCACATTGAAAAATATTGTTAGTGTGCATGTGTTTTTTTTTAAACAATGAAACCTCCTTTAGAATTCCATTGAGATTTATTGCCCAAGAGCTGGTAAGCTTTCACTAGGCACACTTTTATTGCCCTCTTAGGCCTTGGAATTTGCCTCATCATCCCCCATCCTACTCTTTCGTCTTTCAGAGAAAACTATCCCCTTGGCCTCCCTAAATCAACACTGTGCCCCCATCACCTCCAGACATACGGCACAGTGCCCCCCTCACTACCAAACACCAGATATTCACCCTAGGGTAAAGGACGTGTGTTTGTTTGGTTTTGGGGTATCTGCTTAATAAAAGACAGCGAGAACATGGCCTTGTGGGAGGTGTAGCCCCCTGCCTCAGACACACACACACAAACACACACTCTAAACCCAGTAATAATATGAAAATGTTTATGGACTGTATCGCTGGGTTCCCCAGTCTCTCATATCTAGCTCCATCAATGGGGCTCTTTCTGTGATCTCTGGCAAACACCAGTCTATGGTTTCTGTGGGAGTGTGTGAGTGGTAATAGTAGATGTGTGTGTTGCTCTTTCTGTCTGTCTTATTTTCGTCTAAACCCTTTGCCCTCTGTGTATTGAGGGATCTCCTCCCAGACCTGGACTAAAGCATCCGCCAACTCCTGGACAGTCTGTGGTGCAACGTGGCGTTGGTGGATGGAGCGAGACATGATGTCCCAGATGTGCTCAATTGGATTCAGGTCTGGGCCAAACCGGTCATGCTGGAGGATGTTGCAGGCAGCAGAACGTTCTCCACGGCGTCTCCAGACTCTGTCACGTCTGTCACAAGTGCTCAGTGTGAACCTGCTTTCATCTGTGAAGAGCACAGGGCGCCAGTGGCGAATTTGCCAATCTTGGTGTTCTCTGACAAATGCCAAACGTCCTGCACGGTGTTGGGCTGTAAGCACAACCCCCACCTGTGGACGTCGGGCCCTCATACCACCCTCATGGAGTCTGTTTCTGACCGTTTGAGCAGACACATGCACATTTGTGGCCCTCCTACGGCCTCCTCCACGTCTCCTGATGTACTGGCCTGTCTCCTGGTAGCGCCTCCATGCTCTGGACACTACGCTGACAGAGTGTATTCGCTGTATTCAGCATCGTTTGGGTGGAGCAGGGCAGGGGCCTTCACATATTCCCTTTAAGTCTGAGGAGTTCCCAGTGTGTGTGTGTGTGTGTGTGTCAGACATATACAGTGGGGAAAAATGCAAACGTTGCTCAATTGGAATCAAGGGACCTAACGTGTGCCAGGAAAACATTCCCCACCCCACAGCCACCAGCCTGTTCTGTTGACAACAGGCAGGATGGGGGCATGGACTCATGCTCCTTACGCCAATCCTGACTCTGCCATCAACATGACTCAACAGGAACCGGGATTCGTCGGACCAGGCAATGCTTTTCCATTCCTTAATTGTCCAGTTTTGGTGGTCGCTTGCCCACTGGAGCCGCTTCTTCTTGTTTTTAGGTGATAGGAGTGGAATCCAGTGTGGTCGTCTGCAATGGCCCATCAAGGACCAACGAGTTGTGCGTTCCGAGATGCTGTTCTGCACACCACTGTTATTTGCCTGTTTGTGGCCCGCCTGTTAGCTTGTATGATTCTTGCCATTCTCCTTCGATTTCTCATCAACAAGCTGTTTTTGCACACAGGACTGCCGCTGACTAGATGTTTCTTGTTTGTTGCACCATTCTCAGTAAACCCTAGACACTGTCGTGCCTGAAAAGCCCAGTAGGCTGGCTCTGGCCCAACCCTTTGGTTTCTGGGACCAATCACATTCTGACCGTTCTGTTCTCATTCTAGAAATTGTCAGGAAGGGAGGCAAATCCAGACTCAACGTGGAGAAGAACCGTCTGTTGGCCGGAGTTATGTGGATGGTGTAGCCAGGCAAAGATTACACTGTACCATCTTTACCACCCCAACAACCACACACTCACTCCCCTGACCCAGCGGGAGCAACAACATTCAGAAACACAACCACTGGATAACCAACTAGTACCAAACACAACCACAGTGAAGCAGGGCAGGGCTCCATTCCATTCACCAAAACAGAATAACACCAGATATAACAGACTGACCCTAGGCCCCCGGCACATAGACTATTGCAGCATAGATACTGGGGGCTGAGACGGGGTGTCGGGAGACACTGTGGCCCCGTCCGACGATACCCCCGGACAGGGCCAACCAGGTAGGATATAACCCCACCCACTTTGCCAAAGCACAGCCCCCACACCACCAGAGGGATATCAACAGACCACCAACCTACTACCCTGAGACAAGGCTGAGTATAGGCCACAAAGATCTCCTCCACTGCACGAGCCAGAGGGGGCGACAAACCGGACAGGAAGATCACGTCAGTGACTCAACCTACTCAAGTGACGCACCCCTCCTAGAGACGGCATGGAAGAGCACTAGTAAGCCAGTGACTCAGCCCCCGTAATAGGGTCAGAGGCAGAGAATCCCAATGGAGAGACGGGAACTGTCCAGGCAGAGACGGCAAGGGCGGTTTGTCGCTCCAGTGCCTTTCCGTTCACCTTCGCACTCCTGGGCCAGACTACACTCAATCATAGGACCTACTGAAGAGATTAGTCTTCAGTAAAGACTTCAAGGTCGAGACCGAGTCTGCGTCTCTTACATGGATAGGCAGACCATTCCATAAAAATGTAGCTCTATAGGAGAAAGCCCTGCCTCCAGCTGTTTGCTTAGAAATTCTAGTGACAATAAGGAGGCCTGCGTCTTGTGATCGTAGCATACGTGTAGGTATGTACGGCAGGACCAAATCGGAGAGATAGGTAGGAGCAAGCCCACATAATGCTTTGTAGGTTAACAGTAAAACCTTGAAATCAGCCCTAGCCTTAACAGGAAGCCATTGTAGAGAGGCTAGCACAGGAGTAATATGATAATCTTTTTTGGTTCTACACACACAGAGACTCATAACAAGCTCTCAATTTGGAAAATCTGACCTAACTCTATCGTCGTGATTCCTATTTACAAGCAAAAACTCAAACAGGAAGTACCAGTGATCCTCAACACGAGGGCCCCTCGGGTGCGTGCTTAGTTCCGTCCTTTACTCCCTGTTCACCCAAGACTGCGTGGCCACACACGACTCCAACACCATCATTAAGTTAGCAGACGATACGACCGTGGTAGGCCTGATCACCGATGACAATGAGACAGCCTACAGGGAGGTCAGCGACAACGACCTCTCCCTCAACGTCAGCAAGACAAAGGAACTGATCGTGGACTACAGAAAAACTAAGGGCCAAGCACGCCCCTATCCACATCGACAGGGCTGTAGTGGAGCAGGTCGAGAGCTTCAAGTTCCTCGGTGTCCACATCACTAAGGAATTATCATGGTCCACACACACCAACACAACACCTCTTCCTCCTCAGGAGGCTGAAAAGATTTGGCATGGTCCCTCAGATCCTCAATAAGTTCTACAGCTGCACCATTGAGAACATCTTGACTGGCTGTATCACTGCTTGGAATGGCAACTGCTTGGCATCCGACCGCAAGGCGCTACAGAGGGTAGTGCGTATGGCCCAGTACATCACTGGGGCCAAGGTCCCTGCCACCCAGGACCTCTACACCAGGTGGTGTCAGAGGAAGGGCCTAAAAATTGTCAAAGAGTCCAGTCACCAAAGTCATGGACTGTTCTCTCTGTTACCGCATGGCAAGTGGTACTGATGCACCAAGTCTGGAACTAAAATAACCCTGAACAGATTCTATCCCCAGCTTCTATAAGTCTGCTAAATAGTTAACCAATATTAACTATCTGCATTTACCCTTTTTGCACTAACTCTTTTGACTCATCACATGTGCTGCTGTTACTGTTTGTCTATCCTGTTGCCTAGTCACTTTATAAATAATATAATAATATGCCATTTAGCAGACGCTTTTATCCAAAGCGACTTACAGTCATGCGTGCATAATTTATTTTTTTGTGTATGGTGGTCCCGGGGATCGAACCCACTACCTTGGCGTAAAACGCCGTGCTCTACCACTGAGCTACAGTGACCCATCTACCTTTATCCCTACCTATATGTACATATCTACCTCAGTTACCTCGTACACCTAGCACATGGACTCGGTACTGGTACCCGTGTATATAGACAGTTACTCATCGTGGATTTATTCCTTGTTATTATTTTTCTATTATTTCTCTTTTTTTCTCTGCATTGTTGGGAAGTAAGCATTTCACTGTTAGTCTACGCCTGTTGTTTACGAAGCATGTGACAAATACAATTTGCTTTGATGTTTACTTAGCAGTTAGACAGTCAGACGGAATGCTAAGCATAGCAGGACAGTTGCATGCAGTTCATGGGACTGCAAAGTCATGATGGAGCTCCCTACCATTACCTAATTGTCTTACCCCACCATTTTGTTTACCACTGCACTACAGAGTACATCCACAGATTGTACAGTATAGATGCCCTCAAAGACAACGCCAGAGAGAAATAACTGGTCTATGAAGATGCATCAGTCAATGGGAATATGTACAGTAAATTCTTCTGTTTCTCATATTTTATGTCTCCTGTTTTCTTTCTCTGTCTCCCTACCTCTCTCTGTCCCCTGCCTCCTCTCTCTCCCTCTCTGTCCCTCCCTCTCTCTTTTTCCCCCTCTCTCCTCGTCTGTCTGTCTGTCTGTGTGCTGTCCAGATGTGGAGCAGATGGCTATTGACTGGCTGACAGGAAACTTCTACTTTGTGGATGACGTGGACGACCGGATCTTTGTGTGTGACAAGGACGGACAGACGTGTGTCACCCTGCTGGACCAGGAGCTGTACAACCCCAAGGGCATCGCCCTGGACCCCACCATGGGGTGAGGACACACACGCAGGCAGGCACGCACATACACATATACATATACATAGGCTGTATAGACACACACACACACACACACACACACACACACAGTCTACATACCCACACACAGGCTACACGCACACTACACACACACACACTTTTTAGGGTGTATACTCAGACTGCATACTGTAGGCTTCCATGTTTTGCCTTCTATGTCATGTGTCTTGTACCAATCCATCACAAAGTTCCATCCTACCAAATAGATGTACATACGTGTAAAATCTAAAGATAAGCATTTTACAAACACGCGCTCATACACATTCACACTTACGAACACTGTTCCGTGCTCCCATTTGTTGGTCAGGGTTGGATAGGCATGTCCATTGATGGACACAGTGAGTCAGGGAAATTCACACTGCGGTCTGTCGGTCCTCCCTCCTTTATCCCATGGGAACAGACCAATGTCCCACTGACTACTGCTGAGACACACACACACACATCACCCACAGCACAGTATGTGCTTCTAACACACCATAACAGTCCCATGAGAGGCCCAATATTTTGGCCACAGTAGTCTGTCATTGTTACACAACCTAAAACAATGGGCTGGGGTTGAGGGTAGGAGGGGGTTAGAGTTCTCCAAAACACTTGGAAGGGTTCCTTTCCTCTCTGATTGGTACGTGGGCCATTGACTTGAAGTTTGGGGGAGCAGTAATTGAGTGCAGATGTTTCATTTGTGTTGTTTGGGTCTGAGCCCTGAGAGCTCCCAAATCATGCCTTTCCCTAAAACGTTCTACAGTCATGTTTTCATTTCAGCCCTGCCGTTATGACAGGGGTCTCGAACTCAATTACTAGAAGTGTGTGTGTGTGCACGCACGTGTGCAGTTCTTTTGTTTTTCATTCCAACCCATTTCCACTGCTATAATTGATTGTGCAGTAATACAGTGGCTTGCGAAAGTATTCACCCCCCTTGGCATTTTTCCTATTTTGTTGCCTTACAACCTGGAATTAAAATGGATTTTTTTGGGGTTTGTATCATTTGATTTACACAACATGCCTACCACTCTGAAGATGCAAAATATTTTTTATTGTGAAACAAACAAGAAAACTTGAGCGTGCATAACTATTTGTAGAGCCACCTTTTGCAGCAATTACAGCTGGAAGTTTCTTGGGGTATTTCTCTATAAGCTTGGCACATCTAGCCACTGGGATTTTTGCCCATTCTTCAAGGTAAAACTGCTCCAGCTCCTTCAAGTTGGATGGGTTCCACTGGTGTACAGCAATCTTTAAGTCATATCACAGATTCTCAATTGGATTGAGGTCTGGGCTTTGACTAGGCCATTCCAAGACATTTAAATGTTTCCCCTTAAACCACTCAAGTGTTGCTTTAGCAGTATGCTTAGGGTCATTGTCCTGCTGGAAGGTGAACCTCCATCCCAGTCTCAAATCTCTGGAAGACTGAAACAGGTGTCCCTCAAGAATTTCCCTGTATTTAGCGCCATCCACCATTCCTTCAATTCTGACCGGTTTCCCAGTCCCTGCCGATGGAAAAACATCCCACAGCATGATGCTGCCACCACCATGCTTCACTGTGGGGATGGTGTTCTCGGGTGATCAGAGGTGTTGGGTTTGCGCCAGACATAGCGTTTTCCTTGATGGCCAAAAAGCTCAATTTTAGTGTCATCTGACCAGAGTACATGCTTCCATATGTTTGGGGAGTCTCCCACATGCCTTTTGTGTTTGCTTCTTTTTTTTCTTTAAGCAATGGCTTTTTTTGTATGGCTTAAAGTGGTCCTATGGACAGATACTCCAATCTCTTTGTTGCCTCTCTGATTAATGCCCTCCTTGCCTGGTCCGTGAGTTTTGGTGGGCGGCCCTCTCTTGGCAGGTTTGTTGTGGTGCCATATTCTTTCCATTTTTTAATAATGGATTTAATGGTGCTCCGTGGGATGTTCAAAGTTTCTGATATTTTTTTATAACCCAACCCTGATCTGTACTTCTCCACAACTTTGTCCCTGACCTGTTTGGAGAGCTCCTTGGTCTTCATGGTGCCGCTTGCTTGGTGGTGCCCCTTGCTTAGTGGTGTTGCAGACTCTGTGGCCTTTCAGAACAGTTGTGTGTGTGTGTGTGTGTGTGGTGTGTGTATATATATATATTATATATATATATATATATATATATATATATATATATATATATATATATATATATATATATATATATACATACATACAGTGAGGGAAAAAAGTATTTGATCCCCTGCTGATTTTGTACGTTTGCCCACTGACAAAGAAATGATCAGTCTATAATTTTAATGGTAGGTTTATTTGAACAGTGAGGGACAGAATAACAACAAAAAAATCCAGGAAAACGGATGTCAAAATTGTTATAAATTGATTTGCATTTTAATGAGGGAAATAAGTATTTGACCCCTCTCAATCAGAAAGATTTCTGGCTCCCAGGTGTCTTTTATACAGGTAACGAGCTGAGATTAGGAGCACACTCTTAAAGGGAGTGCTCCTAATCTCAGCTTGTTACCTGTATAAAAGACACCTGTCCACAGAAGCAATCAATCAATCAGATTCCAAACTCTCCACCATAGCCAAGACCAAAGAGCTCTCCAAAGATGTCAGGGACAAGATTGTAGACCTACACAAGGCTGGAATGGGCTACAAGACCATCGCCAAGCAGCTTGGGTGAGAAGGTGACAACAGTTGGTGCGATTATTCGCAAATGGAAGAAACACAAAATAACTGTCAATCTCCCTCGGCCTGGGGCTCCATGCAAGATCTCACCTCGTGGAGTTGCAATGATCATGAGAACGGTGAGGAATCAGCCCAGAACTACACGGGAGGATCTTGTCAATGATCTCAAGGCACTTGGGACCATAATCACCAAGAAAACAATTGGTAACACACTACGCCATAAAGGACTGAAATCCTGCAGCGCCCGCAAGGTCCCCCTGCTCAAGAAAGCACATATACATGCCCGTCTGAAGTTTGCCAATGAACATCTGAATGATTCAGAGGAGAACTGGGTAAAAGTGTTGTGGTCAGATGAGACCAAAATCGAGCTCTTTGGCATCAACTCAACTCGCCGTGTTTGGAGGAGGAGGAATGCTGCCTATGACCCCAAGAACACCATCCCCACCGTCAAACATGGAGGTGGAAACCTTATGCTTTGGGGGTGTTTTTCTGCTAAGGGGACAGGACAACTTCACTGCATCAAAGGGACGATGGACGGGGCCATGTACCGTCAAATCTTGGGTGAGAACCTCCTTCTCTCAGCCAGGGCATTGAAAATGGGTCGTGGATGGGTATTCCATCATGACAATGACCCAAAACACATGGCCAAGGCAACAAAGGAGTGGCTCAAGAAAAAGCACATTAAGGTCCTGGAGTGGCCTAGCCAGTCTCCAGACCTTAATCCCATAGAAAATCTGTGGAGGGAGCTGAAGGTTCGAGTTGCCAAACGTCAGCCTCGAAACCTTAATGACTTGGAGAAGATCTGCAAAGAGGAGTGGGACAAAATCCCTCCTGAGATGTGTGCAAACCTGGTGGCCAACTACAAGAAATGTCTGACCTCTGTGATTGCCAACAAGGGTTTTGCCACCAAGTACTAAGTCATGTTTTGCAGAGGGGTCAAATACTTATTTCCCTCATTAAAATGCAAATCAATTTATAACATTTTTGACATGCGTTTTTCTGGATTTTTTTGTTGTTATTCTGTCTCTCACTGTTCAAATAAACCTACCATTAAAATTATAGACTGATCATTTCTTTGTCAGTGGGCAAACGTACAAAATCAGCAGGGGATCAAATACTTTTTTCCCTCACTGTGTATATATATATATATATATATATATATATATATACTGAGATCATGTGACACTTAGATTGCACACGGTGGACTTTATTTAACTAATTATGTAACTTCTGAAGGTAATTGGTTGCACCAGATCTTATTTAGGGGCTTCATAGCAAAGGGGGTGAATACATATGCACGCACCACTTTTCTGTTATTTTTTTTGAATTTTTTGAAACAAGTTATTTTTTTTATTTCACTTCACCAATTTGGACTATTTTGTGTATGTCCATTACATGAAATCCAAATAAAAATCCATTTAAATTACAGGTTGTAATGCAACAAAATAGATACAATGCCAAGGGGGATGAATACTTTTGCAAGGCACTGTATACTCTGGTACATTTACTCCAGACTCTTTTCCCGTGATGTTGTCCAGCTGCTATTAGGGATGGCAATAATATTCTTGGCTGTAATTTAGAGATGATATAATATAGTTTTTTTGTAAAACCTTCTAGGAATTGCATTGTGATTGTTTGATCATTATCTTTTTCTGGGAGCACATCCAAGAAATTATTGTTTGATAGTTCCCTCATGTTTAGAAAACCCAGTGAGAGGCAGAGTAAATAAGCTTTAGGGAACAAGACAATAAAACATCAAGCACCCAGGAGGTGTTCCTCTGACCATGTGACCCGACCAGGACAAATTATTAGCACACTCAGGTATTCCTCCATATAAAACATAATGAAGGAAAATGCTGGGCTGTTCAACTACAGATGTTTTAACAACAGTTTCCCCTATACTTACCTAGACATGAAAATAGGAATGTATTAATTCACCTGTCAATCAATCGTTCACTCTGTCAAACAAGCTGTCGCTCCTCTCCCCTACAACTCTTCCCTAGCTTGTTGCTGTAAATGACAACATACTCATGCTCAGTCAACTTACCTGCTAAAATAGAATCAATCCATCAATGAATTAGCTAATCACCTCTCATCTCTCTCCTCCCACAGTAAAGTGTTCTTCACAGACTACGGTCAGATCCCCAAGGTGGAGCGTTGTGACATGGATGGTCAGAACCGGACCAAGCTGGTGGACAGTAAGATCGTGTTCCCCCACGGTATCACCCTGGACCTGGTCAGCAGGCTGGTCTACTGGGCCGATGCCTACCTGGACTACATAGAGGTGGTGGACTACGAAGGCAAGAACAGACACACCATCATCCAAGGCCTGCTGGTGAGCACACACAGACACACAGACAACAAGGGCAAAAACAGACACACCATCATACAGGGTCTGCTGGTGAGGTCATCAACCTGTGACAGACTGTCTGGCAGCTAGCACGCTTCTTCAGGGTTCTGGAAGGGAGCGTTTAGGAGGGTTTAAAATTTTTGGAATGTTGCAGATTTGTTGGTTGTTGTGAAGAGCAGAAGGGCATCTCCTTAATTTAGAGTAAGGATTTTTATATAAGAATACTTAATAGCTGTGACCTTTACATTCCTTGTTATCCAAGCAGATTTAAATCTTAAATCCAAGGTAAATACTTGGTTGCCACTAAAACCAAATTCCCCCATCTATGTAGAGGTTCCTGTGTTTTCTCTCCTGTGAGGATCCTCTCTCTCCTGCTGCTGTAGTAATGTGGTGCTGTTCAGTGAGCTATGGCCAGAGAGCAGGGGGTTGACAGTAGCTTTTTCATTAGAGAGCTGATTAATAGGAGTTAAAGCAGAGCTCTGTGGATGGTGCCGTGGCTGGTGTGGCCAAGCGCCTTTTAAACCTGTTAGCAGGGCTTTTAGCGCTAGCTGTGTGTCTGCACAAGTAATGGCCTTCATTTACTCACTGGGCCTGGGGGCACAGACGACAACAACACACACACACACACACACACACACACACACGCACACACACACAAAGCCCCTTTAATTGTGCGTGTGCTATCAAGTCTGTGTGTGTATATACAACCAAGTGTGTGTGTGATTGCCATCAGTGGCAGTTTAAAGTCCATGGATGGTTATTGATGGTGAGGGTACAGGCAGTATTGCAGAGGGCATGTGTTTATTCCTGCCCTAGCCTGATCTTAATGGATACGAGTCACTCTGATCCGAAGAGCTGATCGACCGCCATTTTCATCTATTTCACGTTAGTGCTGTTAACTGGGACAGTGAGGCCGGCTTTCTTCTCTTGTTTAGGCCTGTTAGAGTGCATTATGGGAAATGGAGGCCCGAGTCATGCTATGGGTCATTTGGAATTCTGAATCAGCTGTGTAGAGTCGAGTTTTCAAGGGGAATTCTGTATTGATTGTGATTTTTGGTTCTTTGTGTCACTCATTCTCTCTTCCTCGTGCTCCCTCCTTCCATCCCTCTCTCCCTCTCTCTCCTCCATCCCTCTCTTCCTCTCTCTCCTCCATCCCTCTCTCCCTCTCCCTCTTTCTCTCCCTCCTCCCCCTCTCCCAGATTGAGCACCTGTATGGTCTGACAGTGTTTGAGAACTACCTGTATGCCACTAACTCAGACAACGCCAACATGCAGCCTAAGACCAGTGTGATCAGAGTGAACCGCTTCAACAGTTCTGACTACCAGGTGGTGACCCGCGTCGACAAGGGAGGAGCCCTGCACGTCTACCACCAGAGGCGACAGCCGCCAGGTAACTGTTATAGGGTTCTATATTCTATGCCCGCTGCGCATATTGTCAAATCAATTCTATATTTAACCCACCAACATAGTGGTATAGTTGAAATTCACTTGAATACTCAGAAATCTCCTCTCCTCCAGTGCGTAGCCATGCATGTGAGCCAGACCAGTTTGGGAAGGCTGGAGGCTGCTCTGACATCTGTCTGCTGGGGAACAGCCATAAAACCCGTACCTGCCGCTGTCGCTCCGGCTTCAGTCTGGGGAGTGACGGGAAGTCCTGCAAGAGTAAGTACCACATAGCCAATCCCCTCTCAGATACTCCACAGCACAGCCAATTATCTGTTAGGCACTTTACAAAACAAGTCAATAAAATGCTTCATTATAAATTCAATCTGCTCTGAGATACAACAACCCACTCCTACAGTGCATACTCTAGTCTACAGTACAGCCAATGTGCTCTCAGAAACATATATTTTTTTATATCACAGCCAATCCACTTTCACCTCCTCCAATCAGCTCCTTCACAACTCTGGCTATCCGCTCCTCCTCTGTGGCTGTCTCTTGGAGCAGCTAAATCTCCTCAAGTCTGACCAGTAGACTGACTCACATGACATTGACAGCCAGCCTCCCTAATCAATGTCTACATGCCTGAAGCCCCACTATAACTATGAAGCAGAGGCAGACATCAATTATGTTATTGACCCTGTGCCAATGGCAGTGAAGGTTGAATCAGGAAAACTGAGCTAAGTCCTGGGAGACCCATAATAAACAGGCAGCTCTGAGTTGACTACTTTTGTCTGCGGAGTAACATAAAGTACAACTCCATCCCTGATTGATTCACCTTGCCTGAGAGGTGTGTATTAATATTCTATGAGGATATGAAAGCAACCACATATTGATCTGTTTCTTGTCTATAACCCTAGGTGCTCTTGAAAACCACACCAGAGCAGATTGATTCAACCGAAACCTATCCCATCCACTACACCATATGGAACAAGTCGTCAAATGTTAATTTGAATGATTGAAAATCACTTATATTCTCATTACGTTTACGGGGTTATGCTGCTCTTGCACAGTTTTTATCAGTTTAATCAATGCAAATTATATTTTATTTACAGTACGTGACAGCATTTGAACTGTTAATTCTTTGTGGAGAAGATATTCATTACTAGACAGAGGAAAGGCAGGAATTGTGGAGGTGATTTGAATTCTATGGATGTTCTTTAATGGCAAAGGCCTCATCAATGCTCTCATCCTCTTCCCATTTTGTCAGTCTGTTTATAGCATTGTAGTTTGATTTGAAATCCTTTCAGAATGCCTGAGCCTGTCGTCTTCATAAAGCATCTCAGAAAGTGCTGATCTAGGATCAGTTTTGCCTAATTAGATGTAATGAATAAGATTTCATGGACATGGGGGTCTGATCCTAGATCAGCACTCTTCTCTGAGATGCTTTATTTATGAATACAGGCCAAGTAAGTCCTCTCTCTCTCCCATGTTTTTTTCCAGAGCCGGAGCATGAGCTGTTCCTGGTGTACGGTAAAGGTCGTCCAGGGGTCATCCGAGGGATGGACATGAATGCTAAGGTCCCAGACGAGTACATGATCCCCATAGAGAACCTGATGAACCCCAGAGCCCTGGACTTCCACTCAGACAGCGACTTCATATATTTCGCTGACGCCACCAGCTACCTCATTGGCCGCCAAAAGATCGACGGCACAGAGAGAGACACCATCCTGAAGGACGGTACAGTAACTGCCCTGCATGGTGGCCATTTTGGGGCATCATTACTGTAATGGGGAGTAGTGGCCATTTTGGCTCCAAAATCATGCTAGCAATGTGTCTTGGCAGTTTATGTTGTATAATAGGGCAACTGGCCTCTCACCACTTGTTCCTCTATGTTCCAGGAATCCACACAGTGGAGGGTATAGCGGTGGACTGGATGGCTGATAACCTGTACTGGACGGACGACGGGCCCAAGAAGACCATCAGTGTGGCCAGGCTGGAGAAGGCTTCCCAGACCCGCAAGACTCTCATCGAGGGCAAGATGACCCACCCCCGCGCCATTGTAGTGGACCCCCTACACGGGTGAGAGAAGGAAGGTGGGAGGGAGAAAGGAAAGACAGAGGGAGAAGGGAAGGAGGCATAGGGATGGAGTGATGCATGGAAGAGTTTAGGTACAGTGGGGAAAAAAAGTCCTTGTTGGTAATCAAGCCTACTACTGTTGTGTCATCTGCAAACTTGATGACTGAGTTGGAGGCATGCTTGGCCACGCAGTCATGGGTGAACAGGGAGTACAGGAGGGGGCTGAGCACGCACCCTTGTGGGGCCCAAGTGTTGAGGATCAGCGAAGTGGAGGTGTTGTTTCCTACCGTCACCACCTGGGGGCGGCCCGTCAGGAAGTCCAGGATCCAGTTGCACAGGGCGGGGTTGGTTCAGACCCAGGGCCTCGAGCTTAATGATGAGCTTGGAGGGTACTATGGTGTTGAATGCTGAGCTATAGTCAATGAAAAGCAGTCTGACATACAGTGGGGAAAAAAAGTATTTAGTCAGCCACCAATTGTGCAAGTTCTCCCACTTAAAAAGATGAGAGAGGCCTGTAATTTTCATCATAGGTACACGTCAACTATGACAGACAAATTGAGGGGAAAAAATCCAGAAAATCACATTGTAGGATTTTTAATGAATTTATTTGCAAATTATGGTGGAAAATAAGTATTTGGTCACCTACAAACAAGCAAGATTTCTGGCTCTCACAGACCTGTAACTTGTATTAATGGCACCTGTTTGAACAGTCACACTCCAAACTCCACTATGGCCAAAACCAAAGAGCTGTCAAAGACACCAGAAACAAAATTGTAGACCTGCACCAGGCTGGGAAGACTGAATCTGCAATAGGTAAGCAGCTTGGTTTGAAGAAATCAACTGTGGGAGCAATTATTAGGAAATGGAAGACCACTGATAAACTCCCTCGATCTGGGGCTCCACGCAAGATCTCACCCCGTGGGGTCAAAATTATCACAAGAACGGTGAGCAAAAATCCCAGAACCACACGGGGGGACCTAGTGAATGACCTGCAGAGAGCTGGGACCAAAGTAACAAAGCCTACCATCAGTAACACACTACGCCGCCAGGGACTCAAATCCTGCAGTGCAAGACGTGTCCCCCTGCTTAAGCCAGTACATGTCCAGGCCCGTCTGAAGTTTGCTAGAGTGCATTTGGATGATCCAGAAGAGGATTGGGAGAATGTCATATGGTCAGATGAAACCAAAATAGAACTTTTTGGTCAAAACTCAATTCGTCGTGTTTGGAGGACAAAGAATGCTGAGTTGCATCCAAAGAACACCATACCTACTGTGAAGCATGGGGGTGGAAACATCATGCTTTGGGGCTGTTTTTCTGCAAAGGGACCAGGACGACTGATCCGTATAAAGGAAAGAATGAATGGGGCCATGTATCGTGAGATTTTGAGTGAAAACCTCCTTCCATCAGCAAGGGCATTGAAGATGAAACGTGGCTTGGTCTTTCAGCATGACAATGATCCCAAACACACCACCCGGGCAACGAAGGAGTGGCTTCGTAAGAAGCATTTCAAGGTCCTGGAGTGGCCTAGCCAGTCTCCAGATCTCAACCCCATAGAAAATCTTTGGAGGGAGTTGAAAGTCTGTGTTGCCCAACGACAGCCCCAAAACATCACTGCTCTAGAGGAGATCTGCATGGAGGAATGGGCCAAAATACCAGCAACAGTGTGTGAAAACCTTGTGAAGACTTACAGAAAACGTTTGACCTGTGTCATTGCCAACAAAGGGTATATAACCAAGTATTGAGAAACTTTTGTTATTGACCAAATACTTATTTTCCACCATAATTTGCAAATAAATTCATTCAAAATCCTACAATGTGATTTTCTGGATTTTGTTTTCCTCATTTTGTCTGTCATAGTTGACGTGTACCTATGATTAAAATTACAGGCCTCTCTCATCTTTTTAAGTGGGAGAACTTGCACAATTGGTGGCTGACTAAATACTTTTTTTCCCCACTGTAATGGTTGTTTTGGGATAGGTTTTTTTTGTTTGGAGGGGGTGTTGGGGTGAGAGAGTGTGGATATGAAGGAGGCATGCCAGAGGTTTTACAGCCATTAGCAGTAAAGTCTTACTGTGTGTGTGGTGGGACTGTCTGCTTCTTAATAGATTATTTTGATATTCTACCATGGGTGTGAGATGTGGCTGGAAGATGATTGGAAAGTTGACGCTGGGGTGTGTGGGTTTCTGTGTGTGTGTCCATGTTTGTTTGTGCATTCATACGTGACTACGTACATGCATACGTGTGTGTGTTTCTATATTTTCCTGTCACTGATCCCCTACTTTCCGCTCACAGCACCTTAAAACAATTCTATCCCTCTCAAGTGTGTGTGTGCATTGCGTTTGTTTGACCCATTTGTTTAGTGTCTTTTCTTTTCTATGGGAGAAGGGGGAGCGTCTTCACCATGGTTTGTAACTTTGTAAAAACTGAAGAAAAGAATTACTGAAGTTCAAATGAAGGCGTTAGTCAGCATATTCACAGCCAGACTAGGGGACTATCCCCTGTGGTGTGTGTGGGGGGGAGAGATAATAGAGTTCTACTCAATCAGATGTCAGCTGGGGCAGAATAGCCCGGTCACGACAGACCAAAACACACACACACACCATGCTCATCCCCCTCCTCTCTCTCCCCAGGTGGATGTACTGGACAGACTGGGAGGAGGACCCTAAGGAGAGTAAGAGAGGGAAGATTGAGCGGGCCTGGATGGACGGTTCTAACAGGAACGTGTTCCTGACCAGTAAGACGGTCCTGTGGCCCAACGGTCTGAGTCTGGACATCCCACAGGGAATCCTGTACTGGGTGGACGCATACTATGACCGCATTGAGATGGTCTACCTTAACAACACTGAACGCAAGGTCAGTCAGAATGGTTACTAGCCCTAAAACGAACCCTAACCCCAACCCTAACGCTACTATGACCGCATCGGTATTGTCTATAGTACCTCAACAACTCAGAATGCAAGGTCAGCACATGACAAACATTACCATGATAATGTATTACTACAATAAGTAATAAAGTTGATTTAACACACCAAGTGAGATTTGTAGTACAGTATAAAACTGTATAGTTATTGTGGTCAGTGGTGAGACTAGGTACCGTAATGATACTGTAGTTGTCATAGGGTTTATTGGATATGCAGTCTGTGTGTACTGAACACATCAACACCTGTATTGTGTTGTTATCAGACGGTATATGAGGGTCAGGAGTTGAACCACGCCTTCGGCCTGTGTCACTACAAACACTTCCTGTTCTGGAATGAGTACCGCAGCGGTAGCATCTACAAATTGGACCAGGTCACCAAGACAGTCTCCCTGCTCCGCAATGAACGACCTCCCATCTTCGAGATCCGCATATATGACGCCCAGCAGCAGCAAGGTACAGGACACTAGTCTGTTCATCCATCTATTCACCTATCTATCTATCTATCTATCTATCTATCCATCTATCCATCTATCCATCCATACACACATTAATGTCTGAACATATCTCTCTACCCCTCTCTGTGTCTCTGTCTCTCTTGCTCTCGCTCTCGGTCTCTCGCGCTCTCGGTCTCTCGCGCTCTCTGTCTCTCGCGCTCTGTCTCTCGCACTCTGTCACTCGCGCTCTGTCTCTCTCGCTCTGTGTGCAGGTTCCAATGCATGTCGTGTGAATAACGGGGGCTGCAGTAGTCTGTGTCTGGCCATCCCTGATGGGAGACAGTGTGCCTGTGCAGAGGACCAGCTACTGGATGACGAAGACAACACCAGCTGTAAAGGTGAGAGGTCAGGGAGCAGGGGTCAGCTACAGGAGAGCAGGAGTTTAAATTCAATACTATACTCCCATAATGTGCATGTGCACGCATGTGTGTGAAAGATCATGTGGAAGGGAATTTTGTCACATGCTACCATCATCAGGGTTTATAGAGATTAGCCTAGGATTAAACTGTATTTCAAAGTTGAACTGTCAAAAGTGTGTGTGTGTGCGAGAGAGAGGGAGAGAGGAGCATGGAGCAGTCAGCCCAGAGTTTGGTGTTGTGGAGGGGGGATTAGGGACTGACAGTAGGCCTGACACACACACACACTGGGCTCATAATTTGTAAGTCGCTCTGGATAAGAGCGTCTGCTAAATGACGTAAATGTAAATGTTGGCTCACTGCTCTGACAGGGTTTGTGTTTGTTGTAGACTGCTGATGTGACAGAATATTAGCTAGTAATCTCACTGTCCCGCTCCACTCATTTAGCTTTGTTGGAGAAATGTGTTATTTGAATGCTCAACCTCTCTCTTTCTCTTTCTCTTTCTCTTTCTCTTTCTCTTTCTCTTCTCTCTCTCTCTCTCTCTTCTCTTTCTCTCTCTCTCTCTCTCTCTCTTTCCCTTTCCCAGTCAACCCGTCCTACATCCCGCCTCCTCAGTGTCAGCCCGGGGAGTTTGCCTGTAAGAACAACCGCTGTATCCAGGAGCGATGGAAGTGTGACGGTGACAACGACTGTCTGGACAACAGTGACGAGGCCCCTGAGCTCTGCCGTGAGTATACGACACACTGATTGTAGAACAACTACAGTGCCTTGCAAAAGTATTCATCCCTCTTGGCATTTTATCTATTTTGTTGCATTGCAACCTGTAATTTCAATGGATTTTTATTTGGATTTCATGTAATGGACATACACAAAATGTACATTTACATTACATTTAGCAGACGCTCTTAACCAGAGCGACTTTTACAAATTGGTGCATTCACCTTATGATAGCCAGTGGGACAACCACTTTACAAAAATTAAATAAATAAAATGTTATCAATTTCTATTAGTATAATGTTTTTTTTATTATAAATTTTTTTTGGTCAAATAATTTTAGAGTATGTTTTTTAATTTTAATTTGTTTTTTTATATATATATATATATATATAGTAGTTTTATTTTTTGTTGTTTATTTATATATATATATTTTTTTTTTTTTTGGGGGGGGGGGGGGTAGAAGGATTACTTTTATACTATCCCAAAATAGTCCAAATTGGTGAAGTGAAATGAAAAAAATAACTTGTTTCAAAAAAATCTAAAAATAAATCAGGGACAAAGTTGTGGAGAAGTACAGATCAGAAGTACAGATCAGGGTTGGGTTCTAAAAAAATATCAGAAACTTTGAACATCCCACGGATCACCATTAAATCTATTATTAAAAAATGGAAAGAATTTGGCACCACAACAAACCTGCCAAGAGTGGGCCGCCCACCAAAACTCACGGACCAGGCAAGGTGAGCATTAATCAGAGAGGCAACAAAGAGACCAAATATAACCCTGAAGGAGCTGCAAAGCTCCACAGCAACAAAAAAAAAAGCCATTGCTTAAAGAAAAAAATAAGCGAACACGTTTGGTGTTCGCCAAAAGGCATGTGGGAGATTGCCCAAACATATGGAAGAAGGTACTCTGGTCAGATGAGACTAAAATTGAGCTTTTTGGCCATCAAGGATAACGCTATGTCTGGCGCAAACCCAATACCTCTCATCACCCCAAGAACACCATCACCACAGTGAAGCATGGTGGTGGCAGCATCATGCTGTGGGGATGTTTTTCATCGGCAGGGACTGGGAAACTGGTCAGAATTGAAGGAATGATGGATGGTTGATACAGGGAATTTCTTGAGGGAAACCTGTTTCAGTCTTCCAGAGATTTGAGACTGGGACGGAAGTTCACCTTCCAGCAGGACAATGACCCTAAGCATACTGCTAAAGCAACACTCGATGTGGTTTAAGGGGAACATTTAAATGTCTTGGAATGGCCTAGTCAAAGCCCAGACCTCAATCCAATTGAGAATCTGTGGGATGACTTAAAGATTGCTGTACACCAGTGGAACCAATCCAACTTGAAGGAGCTGGCGCAGTTTTGCCTTGAAGAATGGGCAAAAATCCCAGTGGCTAGATGTGCCAAGCTTAGAGACATACCCCAAGAGACTTGCAGCTGTAATTGCTGCAAAAGGTGGCTCTACAAAGTATAGACTTTGGGGGGGTGAATAGTTATGCACGCACAAGTTTTCTTATTCTTATTTCTTGTTTGTTTCACCCCAAAAAATATTTTGCATCTTCAAAGCCGTAGGCATGTTGTGTAAATGAAATGATACAACCCCCCCCAAAAATCAATTTTAATTCCAGGTTGTAAGGCAACAAAATAGGAAAAATGCCAAGGGGGGTGAATACTTTCACAAGCCACTGTACCTTTCCTCTGGTCTCAGTGCTGCTGGATACAGATGGCCCTTCAGTATTTCAGTTTGAAAGTCTGTTGATGCCAGAATGAATTGAGAAACGACAGACTTTGTGTGTTTATGTTTGCAGTGCACATGCTTGAGAGAGTGTGTGTGCGCTTGTGTTTACGCATGTATTTGCGTGTGTGTGTTTTTTGTGCGTGCGGGGGAATGTTGGTGGTTCTGGAAAAAGCTTGGTCTGTCTGTAGTCAGATTGCAGACAGGCTCCACTTCCAGACAAAACACAAGCCTAGTCAGTCTGTCTGTCTGCCCTCTTACACTCTGTACCCCTGCTCTCCCCCTCTATCCTTCCTCCATCAATCCATCATCCCTCCATACTCCCTCTTCCTTCTCTCCCCATCCCTCCCTCCATATTTCCCTCCCTCCATCCATCTCTCCCTTCTCTTCCTCCATATCTCCCTCCAGACCAGCACACCTGTCCCACTGATAAGTTTAAGTGTCAGAACAACCGCTGTATCCCTCTGCGCTGGCTGTGTGATGGAGACAACGACTGTGGCAAAGACGAGGATGAGTTCAACACCACCTGCTCTGGTAGGACGTACACACACTCAAAGATGTACACACACACAGTTACATAAGGTGCACACACACACACACGTAACACACTCATACACATATTCTGTACAGACACGCACTATTTTCTATTTCTTTCTCTATTTCTCTTTCACTGTCTCTCTCTCTGTCTCTCTCTCTCTCTCTGTAGTACACATCATTCAGACAATGGTTGTTGAGGGCTGACCTTTCTCTCAGCCTCGCACAGTGTACATGGCTGTAGGGCTAAGTGCTCCCGAGATGCTCAAAATGCCATTTGACGTTTCCCGTGACTCCAACTACTGTTATAATATTTCAAAGGGCAACCTAATAACATCCTATTGAAGTCATTCTCCTGAGGAGATAGTTTAGTAATCTCAGCGACCCCACCCCACACTCCTATTGTTTCAGCTCGCACCTGCCCCCCCAACCAGTACTCGTGTGCCAGTGGTCGCTGTATCCCCATCTCCTGGACATGTGACCTTGACGATGACTGTGGGGACCGATCAGACGAGCCTGCATCATGTGGTGGGTCACCTGCCTCAACGTCACCTTTGACCCTTATGTTTCTCTTATGCTACAACACACAGAACATTATCTTCTGTTAAAAGACTAAGCACAATACCCATATCACTGAAACCCAGGCTCACAGGGAGGCCGGGATTTATCATGGTTATAGCTAGTGAAGTAGTTAGTTACTGCTGGGTTCTTTCTTATGACGCTAAGCTCTCTCTCTCTTCCATTCTCTCTCTCCATCCAGCCTACCCCACCTGTTTCCCTCTCACCCAGTTCATCTGCAATAACGGACGCTGCATCAACATCAACTGGCGCTGTGACAATGGTGAGTCTCTCCTTCCTCCTCTTCATCTTCGTCCTACTGTGTGTGCTTGTGTGTGTGTCTCCCAGTCATCATCATCAGTTTTATCAATGGCTCGTTGCTACGCATGTCATTTGATGTCCACCTACCTCCTTCTTGCTACAGCTTTCTTTTCTCTATTTGGCAAGGATGTTTGTGTGTTGTGCGTTTCTTCTCTCATTGTAATTGGCTCATTGTGTCTGTTGTTGTTGTTCCATGTGTGTTGTTGTCGTGCCGTGCGCCCACTCCGCTGTCTCTCCGTTGGTTTCTTTGTTTCAGAAAAGGATTGTGGGGACGGCTCTGATGAGTTGAATTGTCCAAACCCGACTGGTTAGTGCATAGATCAACATGCACCATAGCCACAGCTAGAGGCTAGCCAGGGCTCGCTAGGGGGGGAAGACATGCTACTGTAGGGAGAACCAGGGCTGCTTCCCTTACTAACGGCAGCTTTACCCTTTAACAATAGTTAATTATTCATCTCAATGCAATGATAATGGAGGCTCTTACTGCTTCTACTTATGCAGGAGAAATACCTTTTCTATTGTAATTGGATTGGACAAGAATCAAAGACAGAGAGAACATAGGTTGTTCGTGGTGGTGAGGTATTATCAGTATTGAGCAAGGACCAGTTGGATTATCTGTAATAGTGTGCTTACTGTCTATGTATCTGACAGTGGACAATATTAAGGTTTAGTTACCAGAAGAACCTCCCTGTTAGAAGTGCTTAGATAAGGAAGGGTTTGGGGAAGCATCTCCTCTGCTGCCAAGCTCAATGTATCAGTGCTGGGTACATTCACTCATGGTGCATGGTCTGATCTATGTAGTTTCTGTGATTACTCTTCTCCTTTTCCTCACATTGAAATTCATTTGTAAACGTACTGTTAAGTGTTTTGTATGTGAGTATGTATTTTATGTTGTGGAGAGTAATGGGAATTGCATTGTGAACAATAGTTCTCTAACAGCTATTTACTTTAACTTCAATGTTGTCTGAGTGGAGAGATCATTGACAGTGTTCTTCATAACTAACGTAAATGACCAGGTACATATAACCTGGGTGATTTGTTTTAGCCTTTCCTTATAGTGTATGTTGTGTGTATGACTGGTGTGAGGTAGAGGTTTGACTGTGTTTGCCTTACAGACAACGACTGTGGGGACAACAGTGATGAGGCAGGCTGCAGCCATTCCTGCTCCAGTGCCCAGTTCAAGTGTAACAGCGGCCGCTGCATCCCTGACTACTGGACCTGCGACGGGGACAATGACTGTAGAGACTACAGCGACGAGACCCACGCCAACTGCACCAATCAGGGTGAGTGTCAACTCTGTAACCCGCCAATTACTGTCTGTGAGAGCTTTACCCACCAATCCTTGTGTAAACTCTAACTCACCAATCATTGAGTGTCGACTACATGACCCACCATCCAGGGTGAGTGTCAGATCCGAAACCCGCTGATCACTGCCTGTGCATGTCAGCTCCGTAACGCACCAACCAGGACAACTTAATGTGATATTACTGTATGTGCTATAGGCTACCTAAATGAAGGGGTTAATCTCTACGACAGGCTGTGGGCTTATAGATAGCTGTTGACTGTTTGAAACCTCAGTACTTCATGTCCCAAGCAGTGCAACAAACACTACTTTACCCCATCTCTCCATCTATCTTGTAAACCTGCTAGTACATTATCTCCTTCTAACATATTATTAAGACTTGGGGGAAACAACCTCACTATTTATACTCCAAACACTGTATCTGATTAGGTCCTGCTGTTTGTTGTTTACTTGGTAGATAATTCTAGAAGGCCTCACCTGAAAATTCTACTTTCCTGTGGTCGACTCCAAACCACTTTATTACATTTACGTAGGATCTGAGCCAAAAGAAACAAAGTATTTGAGAAACAGAAAAGTTTAAGATGATCGACTATCGTGGGCGTTTTGGGTAAACATTTCTTTATCTTCCAACTACACTGTGGCCTGTAACCAGAGAACTAGGATCCCAGCCAGCCCGCTTCTCCCTCCCATGTGGTGCTGGCTAATGGGCTTGTCCAGGTTTGGCTCCCACCGCAGTGCACAGGGAATGCTGAGCTTTTAATGAAGGTCAGAGGAGGGCAGGCAGGCAGAATGCATCAGGAAGAGCTTTCACACAGCTCTTTTACACACATCCCAGTCTGCTGTCCCCACATGCTTTAAGATGGCCACCATTGTTCCTGTACCGAAGAAAGCAAAGGTAACTGAACTAAATTACTATCGCCCCGTAGCACTCACCTCTGTCATCATGAAGTGCTTTGAGAGACTAGTCAAAGATCATATCACCTCTACCTTACCTGTCACCCTAGACCCACTTCAATTTGCTTACTGCCCCAATAGATCCACAGACGATGCAATCGCCATCACACTGCACACTGCCCTATCCCATCTGGACAAGAGGAATACCTACAGTGGGGAAAAAAGTATTTAGTCAGCCACCAATTGTGCAAGTTCTCCCACTTAAAAAGATGAGAGAGGCCTGTAATTTTCATCATAGGTACACGTCAACTATGACAGACAAAATGAGAAAAATAATTCCAGAAAATCACATTGTAGGATTTTTAATGAATTTATTTGCAAATTATGGTGGAAAATAAGTATTTGGTCAATAACAAAAGTTTCTCAATACTTTGTTATATACCCTTTGTTGGCAATGACACAGGTCAAACGTTTTCTGTAAGTCTTCACAAGGTTTTCACACACTGTTGCTGGTATTTTGGCCCATTCCTCCATGCAGATCTCCTCTAGAGCAGTGATGTTTTGGGGCTGTCGCTGGGCAACACGGACTTTCAACTCCCTCCAAAGATTTTCTATGGGGTTGAGATCTGGAGACTGGCTAGGCCACTCCAGGACCTTGAAATACTTCTTACGAAGCCACTCCTTCGTTGCCCGGGTGGTGTGTTTGGGATCATTGTCATGCTGAAAGACCAAGCCACGTTTCATCTTCAATGCCCTTGCTGATGGAAGGAGGTTTTCACTCAAAATCTCACGATACATGGCCCCATTCATTCTTTCCTTTACACGGATCAGTCGTCCTGGTCCCTTTGCAGAAAAACACCCCCAAAGCATGATGTTTCCACCCCCATGCTTCACAGTAGGTATGGTGTTCTTTAGATGCAACTCAGCATTCTTTGTCCTCCAAACACGACGAGTTGAGTTTTGACCAAAAAGTTCTATTTTGGTTTCATCTGACCATATGACATTCTCCCAATCCTCTTCTGGATCATCCAAATGCACTCTAGCAAACTTCAGACGGGCCTGGACATGTACTGGCTTAAGCAGGGGGACACGTCTGGCACTGCAGGATTTGAGTCCCTGGCGGCGTAGTGTGTTACTGATGGTAGGCTTTGTTACTTTGGTCCCAGCTCTCTGCAGGTCATTCACTAGGTCTCCCCGTGTGGTTCTGGGATTTTTGCTCACCGTGATCATTTTGACCCCACGGGGTGAGATCTTGCGTGGAGCCCCAGATCGAGGGAGTTTATCAGTGGTCTTCCATTTCCTAATAATTGCTCCCACAGTTGATTTCTTCAAACCAAGCTGCTTACCTATTGCAGATTCAGTCTTCCCAGCCTGGTGCAGGTCTACAATTTTGTTTCTGGTGTCTTTGACAGCTCTTTGGTTTTGGCCATAGTGGAGTTTGGAGTGTGACTGTTTGAGGTTGTGGACAGGTGTCTTTTATACTGATAACAAGTTCAAACAGGTGCCATTAATACAAGTTACAGGTCTGTGAGAGCCAGAAATCTTGCTTGTTTGTAGGTGACCAAATACTTATTTTCCACCATAATTTGCAAATAAATTCATTAAAAAATCCTACAATGTGATTTTCTGGATTTTTTTTCCTCAATTTGTCTGTCATCGTTGACGTGTACCTATGATGAAAATTACAGGCCTCTCTCATCTCTCTCATTTTAAGTGGGAGAACTTGCACAATTGGTGGCTGACTAAATACTTTTTTTCCCCACTGTATGTCAGACTGCTTTTCATTGACTATAGCTCAGCATTCAACACCATAGTACCCTCCAAGCTCATCATTAAGCTCGAGGCCCTGGGTCTGAACCAACCCCGCCCTGTGCAACTGGATCCTGGACTTCCTGACGGGCCGCCCCCAGGTGGTGATGGTAGGAAACAACACCTCCACTTCGCTGATCCTCAACACTTGGGCCCCACAAGGGTGCGTGCTCAGCCCCCTCCTGTACTCCCTGTTCACCCATGACTGCGTGGCCAAGCACGCCTCCAACTCAGTCATCAAGTTTGCAGATGACACAACAGTAGTAGGCTTGATTACCAACAATGATGAGACAGCCTACAGGGAGGAGATGAGGGCTCTGGGAGTGTGGTGCCAGGAAAATAACCTCTCACTCAACATCAACAAAACAAAGGAGATGATCGTGGACATCAGGAAACAGCAGAGGGTGCACCCCCCTATCCACATCGACAGGACTGCAGTGGAGAAGGTGGAAAGCTTCGTTTCTTGGCGTACACATCACTGACAAACTGAAATGGTCCACCCACGCAGACAGTGTGGTGAAGAAGGAGCAACAGAGCCTCAACCTCAGGAGGCTGAAGAAATTCGGCTTGGCACCTAAAACCCTCACAAACTTTTACAGATGCACAATTGAGAGCATCCTGTTGGGCTGTATCACCGCCTGGTACAGCAACTGCACCGCCCGCAACCGCAGGGCTCTCCAGAGGGTAGTGCGGTCTGCCGAACGCATTACCGGGGCCAAACTAACCGCCCTCCAGGACACCTACAGCACCCGATTTCACAGGAAGACCAAAACGATCATCAAGGACATCAACCACCCGAGCCACTGCCTGTTCACCCCGCTATCATCCAGAAGGCGAGGTCAGTACAGGTGCATCAAAGCTGGGACCGAGAGACTGAAAAACAGCTTCTATCTCAAGGCCATCAGACTGTTAAATAGCCATCACTAGCACATTAGAGGCTGATGCTGCCTATAGAAATCACTGGCCACTTCAAGAAATGAACACTATTCTTTTTATTTTAGTCATTTTAGCAGACGCTCTTATCCGGAGCGACTTACAGTTAGTGAGTGCATACATTTTCACTAGTCACTTTAATAATGTTTACATATCTTGCATTACTCATCTCATATGTATATACTGTATTCTATAATATTCTACTGTATCTCAGTCCATGCCGCTCTGTCATTGCTCTTCCATATATGTATATACAGTTGAAGTCGGAAGTTTACATACACTTAAATTGGAGTCATTAAAACTTGTTTTTAACCACTCCACAAATTTCTTGTTAACAAACTATAGTTTTGGCAAGTCGGTTAGGACATCTACTTTGTGCATGACACAAGTAATTTTTCCAACAATTGTTTACAGACAGATTATTTGACTTATAATTCACTGTATCACAATTCCAGTGGGTCAGAAGTTTACATACACCAAGTTGACGGTGCCTTTAAACAGCTTGGAAAATTCCAGAAAATGATGTCATAGCTTTAGAAGCTTCTGATAGGCTAATTGTCATAATTTGAGTCAATTGGAGGTGTACCTGTCGATGTATTTCAAGGCCTACCTTCAAACTCAGTGCCTCTTAGCTTGACATCATGGGAAAATCTAAAGAAATCAGCCAAGACCTCAGATAAAAGATTGTAGACCTCCACAAGTCCTTGGGAGCAATTTCCAAACGCCTGAAGGTACCACGTTCATCTGTACAAACAATAGTACGCAAGTATAAACACCATGGGACCACGCAGCCGTCGTACTGCTCAGGAAGGAGACTCGTTCTGTCTCTGAGAGATTAACGTACTTTGGTGCGAAAAGTGCAAATCAATCCCAGAACAAAAGCAAAGGACCTTGTGAAGATGCTGGAGGAAACAGGTACAAAAGTATCTATATCCACAGTAAAACGAGTCCAAATCGACATAACCTGAAAGGTCGCTCAGCAAGGAAGAAGCCACTACTCCAAAACTGCCATAAAAAAGCCAGACTACGGTTTGCAACTGCACATGGGGACAAAGATCGTACTTTTGGAGAAATGTCCTCTGGTCTGATGAAACAAAAATAGAACTGTTTGGCCATAATGACCATCGTTATGTTTGGAGGAAAATGGGGGTCTTGCAAGCCCAAGAACACCATCCCAACCGTGTAGCACGGGGTGGCAGCATCATGCTGTGGGGGTGCTTTGCTGCAGGAGGGACTGGTGCACTTCACAAAATAGATGATGGCATCATGAGGAAGGAAAATTATGTGGATATATTGAAGCAACATCTCAAGACATCAGTCAGGAAGTTAAAGCTTGGTCACAAATGGGTCTTCCAAATGGACAATGACCCCAAGCATACTTCCAAAGTTGTGGCAAAATGGCTTAAGGACAACAAAGTCAAGGTATTGGAATGGCCATCACAAAGCCCTGACCTCAATCCTATAGAACATTTGTGGGCAGAACTGAAAAAGCGTGTGTGAGCAAGGAGTCCTACAAACCTGATTCAGTTACACCAGCTCTGTCAGGATGAATGGGCCAAAATTCACCCAACTTATTGTGGGAAGCTTGTGGAAGGCTACCCAAAACGTTTGACCCAAGTTAAACAATTTAAAGGCAATGCTACCAAATACTAATTGAGTGTATGTAAACTTCTGACCCACTGGGAATGTAATGAAAGAAATAAAAGCTGAAATAAATCATTCTCTCTACTATTATTCTGACATTTCACATTCTTAAAATAAAGTGGTGATCCTAACTGACTTAAGACAGGGACTTGTTGCTAGGATTAAATGTCACGAATTGTGAAAAACTGAGTTTAAATGTATTTGGCTAAGGTGTATGTAAACTTCCGACTTCAACTGTATGTACAGTGGGGATAACAAGTATTTGATACACTGCCGATTTTGCAGGTTTTCCTACTTACAAAGCATGTAGAGGTCTGTAATTTTTTATCATAGGTACACTTCAACTGTGAGAGACGGAATCTAAAACAAAAATCCAGAAAATCACATTGTATGATTTTTAAGTAATGAATTAGCATTTTATTACATTACATAAGTATTTGATATATCAGAAAAGCAGAACTTAATATTTGGTACAGAAACCTTTGTTTGCAATTACAGAGATCATACGTTTCCTGTAGGTCTTGACCAGGTTTGCACACACTGCAGCAGGGATTTTGGCCCACTCCTCCATACAGACCTTCTCCAGATCCTTCAGGTTTCGGGGCTGTCGCTGGGCAATACGGACTTTCAGCTCCCTCCAAAGATTTTCTATTGGGTTCAGGTCTGGAGACTGGCTAGGCCACTCCAGGACCTTGAGATGCTTCTTACGGAGCCACTCCTTAGTTGCCCTGGCTGTGTGTTTCGGGTCGTTGTCATGCTGGAAGACCCAGCCACGACCCATCTTCAATGCTCTTACTAAGGGAAGGAGGTTGTTGGCCAAGATCTCGCGATACATGGCCCCATCCATCCTCCCCTCAATATGGTGCAGTCGTCCTGTTCCCTTTGCAGAAAAGCATCCCCAAAGAATGATGTTTCCACCTCCATGCTTCACGGTTGGGATGGTGTTCTTGGGGTTGTACTCATCCTTCTTCTTCCTCCAAACACGGCGAGTGGAGTTTAGACCAAAAAGCTCTATTTTTGTCTCATCAGACCACACAACCTACTTCCATTCCTCCTCTGGATCATCCAGATGGTCATTGGCAAACTTCAGACGGGCCTGGACATGCGCTGGCTTGAGCAGGGGGACCTTGCGTGCGCTGCAGGATTTTAATCCATGACGGCGTAGTGTGTTACTAATGGTTTTCTTTGAGACTGTGGTCCCAGCTCTCTTCAGGTCATTGACCAGGTCCTGCCGTGTAGTTCTGGGCTGATCCCTCACCTTCCTCATGATAATTGATGCCCCACGAGGTGAGATCTTGCATGGAGCCCCAGACCGAGGGTGATTGACCGTCATCTTGAACTTCTTCCATTTTCTAATAATTGCGCCAACAGTTGTTGCCTTCTCACCAAGCTGCTTGCCTATTGTCCTGTAGCCCATCCCAGCCTTGTGCAGGTCTACAATTTTATCCCTGATTTCCTTACACAGCTCTCTGGTCTTGGCCATTGTGGAGAGGTTGGAGTCTGTTTGAGTGTGTGGACAGGTGTCTTTTATACAGGTAACGAGTTCAAACAGGTGCAGTTAATACAGGTAATGAGTGGAGAACAGGAGGGCTTCTTAAAGAAAAACTAACAGGTCTGTGAGAGCCGGAATTCTTACTGGTTGGTAGGTGATCAAATACTTATGTCATGCAATAAAATGCAAATGAATTATTTAAAAATCATACAATGTGATTTTCTGGATTTTTGTTTTAGATTCCGTCTCTCACAGTTGAAGTGTACCTATGATAAAAAATTACAGACCTCTACATGCTTTGTAAGTAGGAAAACCTGCAAAATCGGCAGTGTATCAAATACTTGTTCTCCCCACTGTATATATGTGTGTGTGTGTGTGTATGTATGTATATATATATATATATATATATAACACACACACACACACACAGTGCCTTCGGAAAGTATTCAGACCCCTTGACTTTTTCCACATTTTGTTGAGTTACAGCCTTGTTCTAAAATGGATTAAATTAGATTTTTTCCCTCATCAATCCACACACAATACCCCATAATGACAAAGCGAAAACAGGTTTTTAGAAATGTTTGCAAATGTATTTTTAAAAAATATACCTTATTCACATAAGTATTACATTTTTTTATATCAGGTGCATCCTGTTTTCATCCTTGAGATGTTTCTACAACTTCGTTGGTGTTGACCTGTGGTAAATTCAATTGATTGGAAATGATTTCGAAAGGCACACACCTGTCTATATAAGGTCCCACAGTTGACAGTGCATGTCAGAGCAAAAACCACGCCATGAGGTCGAAGGAATTGTCTGTAGAGCTCCTAGACAGGATTGTTTCGAGGCACAGATCTGGGGAAGGGTACTAAAAAATGTCTTCAGCATTGAAGGTCCCCAAGAACACAGTGGTCTCATCATTCTTAAATGGAAGAAGTTTGGAACCACCAAGACTCATCCTAGAGCTGGCCTCCCGGCCAAACTGAGCAATCGGCGGAGAAGGGCCTTGGTCAGGGAGGTGACCAAGAACCCAATGGTCACTCTGATAGAGCTCCAGAGTTCCTCTGTGGAGATGGGAGAACCTTCCAGAAGGATAACCATCTCTGCAGAACTCAACCAATCAGGCCTTTATGGTAGAGTGGCCAGACGGAAGCCACTTGTCAGTAAAAGGCACATGACAGCCTGCTAGGAGTTTGCCAAAAGGCACCTACTTGCAGACCATGAGAAACAAGATTCTCTGGTCTGATGAAACCAAGATTTAATTTTTTGTCCTGAATGCCAAGCGTCACATCTGGAGGAAACCTGGCACCATCCCTACTGTGAAGCATGGTGGTGGCAGCATCATCCTGTGGGGATGTTTTTCAGCAGCAGGGACTGGGAGACTAGTCAGGATCGAAGGAAAGATTAACGGAGCAAAGTACCGAGAGATCCTTGATAAAAACCTGTTCCAGAGTGCTCAGGACCTGACTGGGGCGAAGGTTCAACTTCCAACAGGACAACGACCCTAAGCACACAGCCAAGACAATGCAGGAGTGGCTTCGGACAAGTACAGGTGTGCCAAGTTTGTAGCGTCATACCCAAGAAGGCTTGAGGCTGTAATTACATTTACATTTTAGTCATTTAGCAGACGCTCTTATCCAGAGCGACTTACAGTTAGTGAGTGCATACATTATTATTATTTTATTTTAAATTTTTTCATACTGGCCCCCCGTGGGAATCAAACCCACAACCCTGGCGTTGCAAATGCCATGCTCTACCAACTGAGCTACATCCCTGCCGGCCATTCCCTCCCCTACCCTGGACGACGCTGGGCCAATTGTGCGCCGCCCCATGGGTCTCCCGGTCACGGCCAGCTACGACAGAGCCTGGATCTCTGCCAAAGGTGCTTGAACAAAGTATTGAGTAAAGGGTCTTAATACTTATGTAAATGTGATATTTCAGTTTTGTTATTTTTTGAGTACATTTGCAAACATTTCTAAAAACATTCTGGTTTTGGCGGATGCCAGGAGAACGCTACCTGCCCGAATGCATCGTGCCGACTGTAAAGTTTGGTGGAGGAGGGATAATGGTCTGGGGCTGTTTTTCATTGTTCGAGCTAGGCCCTTTATTTACGATGAAGGGAAATCTTAACGCTACAGCATACAATGACATTCTAGACGATTCTGTGCTTCCAACTTTGTGGCACACACACACAAGGTCTATGGTGAATACACACATGTGTGCATGCGCGCATACACACGCACACATCAGTGCCAGCCATTGACCTTTTGATGTCTGAGTCTTTCAGTGATTCCCTTAATCACCAATGTCACTGATGGCTCTATTGGTAATCCACTGGAGCATGGCCTCTGTGTGAGAGCTGTATCCCTCAGTGCTCTGCATCACCCTGGCATTGTGGCACTGCCAACCCTTGACTCATGGGCGTCTTTGGGTCATTGATTTCCATTCATTTAGCCGTGCCAGGTTGTAAGTGAATGTCAGCATTTTATTAATAATGTGATTTGATATATTATTGTGTGTATGAATGGAACACTCCCTCTTTGTCTCATGGAATTTTCAAGCCTCTACTAACCTCTGAGGTCCACACACGTGCCAAAACCTTAGCCTACGTATGCCATCTGGGTGTCCGACTATGCCAGCTGCTTATTGGTTTCGCAGTCCCTTTGATTTTTCATTGAGTGAATAGTAAGTGAATTGTGTTCATCATTGAAGCATGATGTTCTGTTAAAATGTGTTCCCTGTGATAAAGAGTGTCCTTGTTTCCCATTGGAGCCCCACAGTGGGAGAGAGGAGAGGTAGTGAATTACATTGTGTGCTGTGAGAGCTCTGTCCTAATAAAGCCTGTGATTATGTCACGATCACTATGACCATCATGCAGCATCGTTCGTTACCGTTACTCAGTTACACAAACTCAGCCAACTTTTACAAAAGGATGAAAATATATCAATTTTACAAAAGGCAGGGCCCTCAGTTTTTCCTAACAATGTGACCTGACCAAGAAAAAGTTATTGCTTATAACAAGGGCCCAGAGTTTTTGCCGATCTGTTCACATGGTCAGGAAAAACTGATCCTGTGATGTTTTGTTACGTTTCCATTTCTGTTCATGTTGTTTTAAGTGTTGTTTCAGTGATCTAAAACTCCTCATCCCCCTCTCTCCCTCCCCAGCCACGCGTCCTCCTGGTGGCTGTCACACGGATGAGTTCCAGTGTCGTATGGACGGCCTGTGCATCCCCATGCGCTGGCGCTGCGACGGGGACACAGACTGCATGGACCTGAGCGACGAGAAGAACTGCGAAGGCGTCACACACATGTGTGACCCCGCCGTCAAGTTTGGTTGCAGGGACTCTGGTGAGGAGGATGGGGATGTTTGTGTCACAGCAATAAAGAGGAAATTAGGGGAGTCTAAATGAGAGGGGAGAGAATGGATGACTGGGTTATTTGCTGGTTGTAAAACATAACTGTAACAGTATTGAAATGGGTAGCTTAGCATTATCTGGTGGAGATGAAGGACTGGATTTGGTTTTAGCTGCTGTGAAAAACTGTTGGGCATATTTGTTGTTGTTATGGACAGTATCTGCCTGTAAGGTCAGACTTCTGACCTTTCCCCTATGACCTGTCCCCAGCCCGCTGTATCAGTAAGGCCTGGGTGTGCGACGGGGACAGTGATTGTGAGGACAACTCTGATGAAGACAACTGTGAGGCGTTGGTGTGTAAGCTCTCCCACCATGTGTGTGCCAACGACTCCACCATCTGTCTGCCTGCTGAGAAGCTGTGTGACAGCACTGACGACTGCCCCGACGGCTCGGATGAGAAACTATGTGGTAAGACCTGCTGCTATTAAAAACAACATTACCCAGGGTGCACTGCAAGATAGAACAAGGATCCCACTGCTGACACCAATGAGCCAGAGAAAAACCTTGAGCTGTCATGAATGTTTATGATACCGGATGTGTCATTATTATGACAGAGAGCTCAAGAACTGTGTTATCCCATTTGTTTTAGTTCAGTGTCACCTCTCTGCTTAACACCCATCTCTCTTTTTCCCCTTTTCCCTGCAGACCTGTGCTCACTGGATAACGGGGACTGCAGCCATAACTGTACGGTAGCCCCCGGTGAGGGCGTGGTGTGTTCCTGCCCCCTGGGCATGGAGTTGGGCTCCGACAACAAGACCTGTCAGATCCAGAGCTTCTGTGCCAAACACCTGAAGTGCAGCCAGCGCTGTGAACAGGACAAGTTCAGTGTCAAGTGTTCCTGCTACGAGGGCTGGGAACTGGAGCCTGACCAGGAGAACTGCAAGAGCACTGGTGAGGAGGGTGGGATGGAGGGGGCTAGAGGTTGTTGAAATGAGGATGACAAGAGAGCTGAAGGGAAGACTAGGGATTTAAGAACTGAAGGAGGAGAGAGAGGAAGGTTTGAGAGGGAGAGAAGAAAAGGGAAAAGGAGAGATGAGGATGTTTGGGGCAGATTGGGGGGCTTGTAGCTGTGAGAGATGGATGGAGAGAATTGAATGGGGAGAAGAAAGAAGAGGGTAAGGAAAGTTGGGGAACTTCTATTTGCGGAAAATGGGCATTGAGAGCAAGAGGGGGAGAGATAAGAAATGACAAGAAGTGGGGGGGATAGGGAAAACTATCAATGTAATGGAAGAACACTGTTACGCACATTCATATGGAAGGCTGTTTCATATCATTCAGCCGTGCACCCACAGCTACAGTCAGAAGAGTTAAAACAAACACTGTCTGTCGGCCAGAGATGACTCTCCTCCATTTAATACATTTACATTACATTTGAGTCATTTATACAGAGCAGACAGTAGTGAGTGCATACTTTTTCATTCTACATACAGGCTTTCAATTACCATGGATTAGACACGGTTTCTATTCTAACTACGTTCCTCTTTCATTTAGCCACAACACTGTCTGTGTGCGTCACACTACCATGGTTGCATTCAGGTTCCATGTGACCTACTACTGTATTAACTGTAAGAGGTAGCCTACAGTAGTGTTTAGTTATTGGAAGATGGAGGAATTCATGGCTAGGCAAACTGAAAGTTTGCTTGTTAAATCTGTTCAATTAAATCTTACCCAAAACCCTTATGAAGCCTTGGGGGAAACGTTTCTCAATTTACACTACAGCCTTTTCTTTCCTTTAAAACTATATTACCCAGGGTGCACTGTGCGCAAAGTAGATTTTATTTTATTTAACTTTTATTTAACTAGGCTAGTCAGTTAAGATCAAACTCTTATTTACAATGACGGCCTACCAAAAGGCAAAAGGCCTCCTGCGGGGACGGGGGCTGGGATAAAAAAAGTATATATATATATATGACAAAACACACATCACGACAAGAGACACCACAACACTACATAAAGAGAGACCTAAGACAACAACATAACATGGCAGCAACACATGACAACACAACATGGCAGCAACACAACATGGCAGCAGCACATGGTAGCAGCACAAAACATGATACAAACATTATTCGGCACAGACAACAGCACAAAGGCAAGAAGGTAGAGACGACAATTCATCACGCGAATCAGCCACAACTGTCAGTAAGAGCGTCCATGGTTGAGTCTTTGAATGAAGAGATGGAGATAAAACTGTCCAGTTTGAGTGTTTTTTGCAGCTCGTTCCTGTCGCTAGCTGCAGCAAACTGAAAAGAGGAGTGACCCAGGGATGTGTGTTCTTTGGGGACCTTTAACAGAATGTGACTGGCAGAACGGGTGTTGTATGTGGAGGATGAGGGCTGCAGTAGGTATCTCAGATAGGGGGGAGTGAGGCCTAAGAGAGTTTTTATAAATAAGCATCAACCAGTGGGTCTTGCGATGGTATACAGAGATGACCAGTTTACAGAGTAAACAGAGTATAGAGTGCAGTGATGTGTCCTATAAGGAGCATTGGTGGCAAATCTGATGGCCGAACAGTAGAGAACATCTAGCCGCTCGAGAGCACCCTTACCTGCCAATTTATAAATTATGTCTCCGTAATCTAGCATGGGTAGGATGGTCATCTGATTCAGGGTTAGTTTGGCAGCTGGGGTGAAATAGGAGCTATTACGATGGAGGAAACCAAGTCTAGATTTAACCTTAGCCTGCAGCTTTGATATGTGCTGAGAGAAGGACATTGTACCGTCTAGCCATACTCCCAAGTACATGTATGAGGTGACTACCTCGAGCTCTAAACCCTCTAGTAATCACACCGGTGGGGAGAGGAGAATTCGTCTTACCAAACCACATTACCTTTGTTTTGGAGGTGTTCAGAACAAGGTTAAGGGCAGGGAAAGCTTGTTGGACACTAAGAAAGCTTTGTTGTAGAGCGTTTAACACAAAATCCAGGGAGGGGCCAGCTGAGTGTAAGACTGTATCATCTGCATATAAATGGATGAGAGCGCTTCCTACTGCCTGAGCTATGTTATTGATGTAAATTAAGAAGAGCGTGGGGCCTAGGATCAAGCCTTTGGGTACTTCCTTGGTGACAGGCAGTGGCTGAGACAGCAGATGTTCTGACTTTATACACTGCACTCTTTGAGAGAGGTAGTTAGCAAACCAGGCCAAAGACCCCTCAGAGACACCAATACTCCTTAGCCGGTCCACAAGAATGAAATGGTCTACCTTATCAAAAGCTTTGACCAAGTCAATAAATATAGCAGCACAACATTGCTTACAATCAAGGGCAATGGTGACATCATTTAGGACCTTTTTAAGGTTGCAGTGACACATCCATAACCTGAGCGGAAACCAGATTGCATACCAGAGAGAAATACTATAGACATCAAGAAAGCCAGTCAGTTGATTATTGACAAGTTTTTCCAACACTTTTGATAAACAGGGCAAAATAGAAATTGGCCTATAACAGTTAGGATCAGCTTGATCTACCCCTTTAAATAAAGGACACACCGTGTTTGCCTTCCAAGCAATGGGAACCTCCCCAGAGAGGAGAGACAGATTTTAAAAAATGTCAGAGATAGGCTTGGTGATGATGGGGGCTGCAACCTTAAAGAAGAAAGGATCTAAACCATCTGACCCAGATGTTTTTTGGGGGTCAAGTTTAAGGAGCTCCTTTAGCACCTCAGACTCAGTTACTGCCTGCAGGGAGAAACTTTGTAGCGGGGCAGGTGAGGAGGAGGGTTTATTCTCCAGGTCTTTCACCATTTTCCAGAACTTCTTGAGTTAGACCCACAGAGAGAGAACTTCTCCTTAAAGTAACTAACTTTGGCCTTCCGGATAGCCTGAGTGCACTTATTTCTCATTTGCCTGAACGAGAGCCAGTCAGCCTGAGTATGCGAGTGCTGAGCCTTTCGCCAAATGGAATTCTTGAGGTGGAGTAACTCTGCCAGATCACGGTCGAACCAGGGGCTGAACCTGCTTTTAATTCTCTTTTTCTTTATGGGGGCGTTTGTTAACAATACCACTGAAAATATCAAAAAGGAATGTCCAATCGTCTTCGACAGAGGGGATCAAGCTGATTCTATACCAATTTACAGAGGCCAGGTCATGAAGGAAGGCTTGCTCATTAAAGTTTTTTAGCAAGCGTCTATGACAAATCAGGACAGGTCGTTTCACTGAGCAGCCATTACGAACACAGGCTGTGAAACAGTGATCACTAAGGTCATTACAGAAAACACCAGACTGATACCTATCGGGATTATTTTTGAGGATAACATCAAGGAGAGTAGCCTTTTCTGGGTGTTTGGAGTCATACCTTGTGGGATTGGTAAAAATCTGAGAAAGATTTAGTGAGTCCCATTGCTTTAGGACTTGGTCAGGTGGTTTAAGTATGTCCCAGTTTAGGTCACCTAGCAGGACAAATTCAGACATAGTGTAAGGGGCCAGGAGAGAGCTTAGGGCAGATAGGGTACAGGCCGGTGCTGATGGTGGACGATAACACCCAGCAACAGTCAACTAAGAGCTATTTGAAAGTTTAATGCTTAAAACCAGCAAATACAATTGTTTGGGGACAGACTTGGTGGAGACAACCGAGCACTGAAGGTGTTCCTTGGTAAAGATTGGAAGATATGTCTTGTCGAAAAAGATTCTAACCAGAAAGGTTAACATTAGTGTTCAAAACACTCTTTCTTAACCACGTCTCAGTAATGACCAACACATCTGGATTGGAGCTGTGAACCCACACTTTCAATTGATCCATTTTAGGTAATAAGCTTCTAGTGTTAACGTGCAGAAAACCCAGGCTTTTACAAGAGCAGAAATCAGTGAAACCGATATCAGAGCACAAGTCAGAATTGGGGCTAGCAACAGTATATGGGCCAGGATGTACATGCACATTTCCAGATATCATCAGCAGTAATACAATCAGGGCACGGCAGAGGACAGGGAGAGCTCTGCAGTGTGGATTTTTTATGACATTTGAATGTACATCAGATGGCAATATGGATCATATTGTACAGCAATTTCATCAGGTAACATGAATACAAAGCCGGCGAGAGGTGGTTAGGATAGGATGGGAGGACAAGAGTCAGTGTAACCAATAGAGATTCAGAGTCCCAAGTGTGGGAACAAACAGTCTGTCCCACGGTTGGGTAAACAAGCAAGTTCATAGTCAACAAAGCACGCAGGAGTCATGAGGCAAATAGCATAAAGCACAAGAAAGCACAAGGTACAGGGATCCCAACGCTGCCACCAACAGACACCAGTACATCACCATGATCATGTGATCTCCTGTCTTCTCCTCAGATCCCTTCAAGCCCTTCATCATCTTCTCCAACCGCCATGAGATCCGTCGGATCGACCTGAACAAGGGGGAGTTCAGTGTGCTGGTGCCTGGCCTGAGGAACACCATCGCCCTGGACTTCCACCTTGCAGAGAATGCCCTCTACTGGACCGACGTGGTGGAGGACAAGATCTACCGCGGCAAACTGTCTGAGAACGGAGGTGAGTCTCTTCTTCTTCACTTTTCAGCTCTAGTTTGTTTATAAGCTGTGAGAACAACAGCACAGTTCTTTGTCTTTGGTGGAGTACACCAGCTTCCATGACTCATTTCCCAATTGCCTTCACAGTGGGGAATGCTGGGAATTGTAGTTGTACTATTGTGCAGCCTGCAGGTCTACAGCTCCTGAGGGGAAGTTGCTAGTAAAAACAAAGCAGATGGTCCAGCTCCACGCCGAAAGGGAAAACTAATCAATCAAAACCACACTGTCACCTTCCAAACAGGCGAAGCCAATCAAAACTAAACAGCTACCTTCAAAAAGGCAAAGCCAATCAATCAAAGGCAATCTATAGAGCAGACGAGGCCCTCCTATTACAGTAGGGAGGCATAATGAGTGTGTGTGTGTGTGTGGTGTGTGCGTGCGTGCGTGCTCCAATCAGAATCATGACTAGTCTCAGATGATTAGACCGTTCTCTTTGATTAGGGACCTGGAATGGAAAAATTAATGGGTGAGAGAGGGTGATGAAAATAAGTGTTACTTCTGCTCTCTTATTTTATTTGCTCTGGCGCCTCATGTCGTGTTGTTTGCTCAGGCCCAAACAGGAGTAGGATGCATCCTGTCAGTAGTAGGGAGAGTTGTGGCTTTGTAAGTGGCATCATTAGATATGCTGGGGCTGCATTGGCATTACAAACAGTCACTGTGTGTGATTGATGTTCATGGAACTGGTAAGACATGGGGCCGGTAAGACACACTGACAACTTTAATGACTAGAGTTGAATAGGTCTACAGTAAGGTTACAGTAAGGGGGAATGACACAGCAAAGCTTCACAATCAAATTAACCACACTGTTCTCTCTTCCTCACTCTCTCTCTTCCTCTCCCCCCCAGCTGTGACCAGTTTTGACGTGGTGATACAGTATGGTCTGGCCACTCCTGAGGGTCTTGCGGTGGACTGGATAGCAGGGAACATCTACTGGGTGGAGAGTAACCTGGACCAGATAGAGGTGGCCAAGCTGGATGGCACCATGAGAACCACCCTGCTGGCTGGGGAGGTGGAGCACCCCAGAGCCATCGCCCTGGACCCCCGCTATGGGTGAGAACCAGCACACTGCTGTGAATGGGTTGGCCTGGTCCCAGATCTGTTGGTGCTGTGTTGCTAACTCCTATGTTGACAATGACCATAGGAGTTGGAAAGGCAGCACAAACCCATCTGGGACCAGGCTAGGAATGAGCTAAAACATGGCTTAACACAGGGTCTTGACTTGAGTCATTGGTTTTGTGTGTCCCCCCCCCCTTATCTCTGTAGGATCCTGTTCTGGACGGACTGGGATGCCAGTATGCCAAGGATCGAGGCAGCATCTATGAGTGGGGAGGGGAGGAGAACCATCCATAAGGAGACTGGCAACGGGGGCTGGCCCAACGGGCTCACTGTAGACTACCTAGAACTACGCATCCTGTGGATCGATGCCAGGTCAGAGAGAACACACACTGTACACACACCATACATATGCAAGCTGTCATAAATCACTGTATTGTGTTGTCTTCCATCCGTCCTCCAGGTCAGATGCTATTTACTCAGCCAAATACGATGGTTCCGGCCTGATCGAGGTGCTGAGGGGACACGAATACCTGTCGCACCCATTTGCAGTCACTATGTACGGGGGAGAGGTTTACTGGACGGACTGGAGGACCAACACACTGGCCAAGGCCAATAAGTGGACCGGCAACAACGTAACCGTGGTCCAGAGAACCAACACACAACCTTTTGACCTGCAGGTCTACCATCCCTCCAGACAGCCTCAGGGTAGGACACACACATGCCTGGTAACACACATGCATGATGTTTAAAAGAGGTTAGCTACTTTGCTTTAGGACACCACAGTATTACTTACCTTGAATGACCTTGTAGGTAAATGAGTCTTGCCCATAAGGCCGCACTGCTGCCACTGCTCTCTAGAGAGAGACCAGAGTCAGAGTGGCCATTTGAGTGACAGCTTCTCTGTCCATCTGTCATTCAGGAGAGTAGTGGCATCTGGCCTCCCCTGTCACAACCTCTCCCCTCAAAATGGCCACGCTCAGAAAACCATCCATTTATGGATGAGACAGATAGGCCTGTGGTAAGAGCTGTTTTATATGCACATACTGAATGACTGGAATTTCCCTCTCCTCTCGCCGCCTCGCTTATCCTTTCTTCACTTTTTCCCTCTTTCTCCTCGTCTCTCGCTTTCCATTTGCTCGTGCTCTCTCTTATCGCGCCTCTACCTATTCCTTTCCCCCTCTCATTCACACTCCCTATCCTTCTCCCATTTCTTTCTGTACCACCCTCCATTTTCCTTGTGCTTACTCTTTACCTCTTTCTCTCTTTATCACTCTCTTTCCCCTGCTCTCTCTGTCTCCACAGCTCCTAACCCGTGTGCAGCTAATGATGGGATGGGTCCCTGTTCTCACCTGTGTCTCATCAACTACAACCAGACCTTCTCCTGTGCCTGCCCTCACCTCATGAAGCTGGGAGCCGACAAACACACCTGCTACGGTAAACACACCTAGTACTTTAATTATACACATGTACACATACATACACACACACATACAGTACATACACACAAAACCAATCACACACCTGCTACAGAAGCAAGGAGACACAAAACTGCTGTTCCTCCTCCCCTGAGCTGGCAGATTGTCTCCTCCTCTGTGCTTGGCTTGGCAGAGAGATGGAGTTGTTGATAGTGGCACAGTGGGGATTCATATAATCTGTCTGTGCTTCAGTGTGTGTGATTCAGTGTTAGTGAGCATGATCGCGAGACTGTACAACAGGAACTGTGTGTGTGTGTGTGTGTATGATAATGATGATGATGATGATGATGATTCAGAGACACATTTCTGTTCCAGTACCCATGTACAGAGGTTTATTCTCACTGCAGGGTCTCCATAGGGAACACACACATCCACCAGAAACATCCCTCATGAGTGGGATCACTCTCCTGAATACCCCCAGCCATGGCTTTGTGTCACAGTTCATACACACACACACACACACAGGATTATCTCCTGGAGTCTGTCACTTAAGACAGTTTGAGGAGTTTAAGCCTTGTCTCTAAACTGAAGGGTGTGTGTGCATACGTGCGCGCGTCAAACTGTGTGTGTGTTTAGTATTCAGGGGAGCAGTTTCTATTATCTGCGGTGTAATGGAGGCCCACTCTGTTTAATGCAGGCATCAGCCACAACTTTGTCGTTCACAACCTAGAGCACAACACACACGCCTGGGCTATCTGATCTAGACATGCTGAGACGAGTCATTACTGCACCTCTATACAAACACACACATATGGTATACACACATGGGAATGCCACAGTGCAGACTAATGTAGATACCATGCATCAACGCTGACTGAACTCATTTAGAACACAATCATGGCTCTGCCATTTAGTCAGCCTGCCAAGTACAATCAGTTAACACACACACACACCTGACTCCTGACCAATGTTCCTGCTTAGCTGCGTGCGTTACTGCCGCACAGAACAAATATCAGCCACGCAGAGAAGCATGAGCTTGAACTTAATGCAACTTTCTAGAGTTTTTCCCGATAGTTAACACTGTCAACGTTTCCCTTTACTGTTGGAGTTGTGATCGAATCAATGCAATATTAGCCACTTTCAGTGCAACATACCGAAACAAAACCCACTATGCAAGACTTTGTTTTGCATACTATGCAAGAGATGTTATTGTAGTCAGAACGCATTGGAGTAGGATTCTATTACATTGACAGGCACGACTCAGAGCTGCAGTAGGCCTAAGTATATGCAAATCAACCATTGCCATATATGGATCTGTGCCATTTACTTTGAATTAGACTGTTTACAGCATGAGCGGTTGCGCTTGTTTTGAGATCAAAGCGAGAGCTGCATGTAGCCACGTGTGCACATTTGTTCATATCCTTTGCTAATTAGTGAGTTATTAGCCCAGTTATAGACCATTTGTAGTCAGAAATGGGGGAGTGATTGCTTCCTACAAGAGCACAAAACGTGTACATTTCTAGACATCTTTGAAAAGTGAGTCAGGTAAAGAGCTTTTTTTTTGTCTTAAAGGGGCAGTGTTGTATTTTGAGACAGGCTTGAATAAGCTAAGTAGCCAATACGCAGAGGGTAACATAATTTGTCTGATTCTCTGTAATAATGCTATGGGAATAATGATGCATTTTATTTGTAAAGTGGTTTCTTCCATCAAACAACACAACATTTTCAGTCCCTCCTTGTCTGAAGGACAAGTGGATAAACAGGTTAATGTCAAGCCCTGCATGTTTTTTTTCAAAAGTCTCATGGAATGTAGGCCTACATTGACCACCACACATTGGCTGCTACTATATACTGAATTATAGAACAACTATTTCCATGTTAAAATGTTATGGGATGCATTTTCTCCATTGTTTTTGATGGTAGGCCACTCTAGTAGGTGTACATGATGATCAAATAGCCACCGTAGCCTACTTGACCGCTGTTAAAACTGTAACTTAAAGCGGGTACAGCCTCAGTGTTCACAGTAAACGCGCGCAGGAAGTTGCACAGAATTTTCACAATGTTCAAGTTTGCGCTCAGCAGACATGAAATTTGCTCAGTGCCGAAAATAATTAGAGGGAACATTGGTCCTGACTGCTTGTTATTGTGGGGGATTGTATTGAGTGGATGCGTAAGTGGCAAAGACATTTCACACACACGCGCACACACACTTGCACACACTCTATCACAATTTAACCCTCTACCTTTCCTACAGTAATTTCCCGCAGTGTATTCCCATGCAATCAGATAGACCATCCTCACACACACACACTCCCCTCTCCTCCCTCTCTCTCGCCCCATCCAGAGTCCCGTCAGTTCCTGCTGTATACCCGTCAGATAGAGATCAGGGGAGTGGACATAGACAACCCCTACTATAACTACATCATCTCCTTCACGGTGCCAGACATAGACAACGTGACTGTGGTGGACTATGATGCTCTGGAGAACCGTATCTACTGGTCAGACGTCCGCACTCAAACCATCAAGAGAGCCTTCATCAACGGGACTGGAGTGGAGACTGTAGTGTCTGCTGGTAGGGAATATACTGTGGGAATATCTAACCTACTTAGGTTAATGAAATAACTATAGAATGAATGAGTCAATCAGTCAAACCTTTCATGTAGGGCTTCTAATTGGTTATCAGTAAGGGGTAGTTCACCCAAATTACAAAGTGACATATTGGTGAGTATCCTTGTCCAAAGAATATATATTTTGTAATTTGGATGAACTATTCCGTTAATGAAATTGCATATTTTTGTGTCGTCTCATGAATAACTTTGTCTTCCCCAAGACCTGCCCAACGCCCATGGTCTGGCAGTAGACTGGGTGTCTAGGAACCTGTTCTGGACCAGTTATGATGCCAATAAGAAACAGATCAATGTGGCCAGACTGGACGGATCCTTTAAGAACGCTGTCATCCAGGGCCTGGATAAACCCCACTGTCTGGTGCTGCACCCTATACTGGGGTAGGTAGAACACACACACACACGCACACGCACACGCCCAACACACACACACACACACACACACACACACACACCCCACACCCCAACACACTCACACACAGAGACCATCTGGCTGTCAGGCAGGCTCCCCACTGCTAGCAGTCTGCCATGATAGGCAGGGTAGTTTAGATGATGGCTGACCTCTAGCAAAGAGGTCTCCCACTCTAGATGGGACTCTAATTCCTCTCTCATCTTTCCCTTTTCATCTCTCCCTCTCCCTCTGTCTCTCTCTCTTTCCTCTTTCTCAAAAGATTGCTGCTGTGCTGAGTGCCAGACACACTGTCACACACTGGCCCCACTCTCGCTCTCTGTGTCTCAATTTCTCTCTGCCCCTCTCTCTCTTCTCCATTTTCTTATCTTACTCTCTCCATTTCAATCTTTCCCTCTAACTCTTTTTCCTGAGTCCCTCTCTCTCTTCATTTCTATTTCTCTCTCTTACACACTCCCTCTCTCACTTGCTCTCACTCCTTTTCTCTCTCTTTCGCTATGACTCTGTATTTCTTTCTCTCTTGCTCCCTTTCTACATTTACATTTACATTTACGTCATTTAGCAGACGCTCTTATCCAGAGCGACTTACAGAAGCAATTAGGGTTAAGTGCCTTGCTCAAGGGCACTTTCTGTCTTTTGGTCTTTAAAGAGACAATGGCTCAGCAGGCATACATCTGCTCCTAAAATCACTAACAGACATTGTATGTGTTTCTCTTTGTGTGTGTGTGCTCTTCTTTGTCGATGTGCGTTTGTGAGTATGCGTGGGGCGGACGCACAGGGGATATTTTCTTTGAGAATGCCTCTGCCTTTTTTTGTGTTTTCTGAGAAACCTATTTAAGCTGAGGAATGTTTCCGATCTGGGCTGTGCTGCTTGCATGGGGGAAACCAGAAGCAGATGCTGAAGACTTCTCCTCTTTCCTACACACACACACACACACACACACACACACACACACTGCCTAGAATGAATCCAGGACAGGAGGGGGTGGGGAAAGGGGGGTAGGGGAGAGACAGACAGACATGAGAGACTAGGAGGTTTAAATTGTTTTCAGGAACTGTATTGAAACGCATAATAACTAAGCAAATGCAGGGTGCGGTGGAAGTGGTTGTTTTTGAGAGGAAGTGGAGGGGGCGGAAGAGGGGGGGTGGTGGGGGTAATTACCTCCTTGATTAAATAGTGAAACTCATGCTAAAGCAATCACAAATACATATGAATTGCCCTATATTTTTTAGATGGGCATCGCATCAAGTGTGTTTTTGCGAGCGCGCATTAGTGTTTCATAGTAGTCTTTGAATGCATATGTTTCTGCTAATGTGTTTTGTTTTCATGAGTCTGTCTGTTTCTGCCCACTTTTGTGTGTAGCGTGCATATGCCTCTGACAGAGAGAGTGTGAGAATTTCCAATAAAGAAATGGAGAGAAAGAGAAGCCATTTATGGGGCATTAAATTGACTACACTAGCCCAGCCCCACTGACATGTTTTCTGCTTGGCCTAACCCAATCAACATCCACCCACCCACACTGTTCTAAACTAGTCTTGACCCTGCAATAAAAGCAGGCTCCTGTGCTTTATACCCAATGAAAGATGCTGCTATTAAAACACTGACGTTTTTACATAGATTGTAAACTAGCTGTATAACTACAGACATTTACATCTGTCAAGGAGACGTTCAGTAGATATACAGTCACCAAATGTAGGCTATAGTTAGGCCTATGCTGTTGAATGTTTTGCTAGTTTTGCGCAACAATTTATTTTCTCGCTAAAAAATATGTATGATTGTTGTGATATGTGTTGCCTAATTGTGTGTGTGAACTGAATAAACCACTTTCACACATTTAAACATTATAATAATACAGACTATTAGGTGCTATCAAGGCTAACAAACGAAAGGTATTTTTCCAGCAGTGCTTTCAGTAGCATGATATGACATTTTGTCTCTGTGCTCCAGGAAGCTGTACTGGACCGATGGAGACAACATCACCATGTCCAACACTGATGGCAGCAACCACAGTGTCCTCTTCACCAATCAGAAAGGCCCAGTGGGTGAGTGGCTCTGTGAAAAAAAAAATGTGTGCACTATATAGGGAATAGTTTGCCATTTGGGGTACAGCCGTAATTGCCTCTCTCTCCATCTCTCCTCTGTCTCCAGGTCTGTCCATAGACTTTGACACAGAGCAGCTGTACTGGATCAGCTCAGGGAACAGCACCATCAGCCGCTGTAAGCTGGACGGTTCGGGTCTAGAGGTTCTGGAGGGAGTCAAAGGCAAACTGACCAAGGCCACAGCTCTGGCCATCATGGGTACGTAACATGGCTCCACTCTTACTAGGATTGTACATTCTGCCTTCTAGCTGCATTTCGCTTTCGGTTCTGAAGTGTTTGAATACTCACCCATGGCTGCTACAGTAGGTCTCAACTTTTGATTATTAGTGTGATCGGAGTATGAAAATGATGGGTCATTTTGATTGGCCCACTTGTGTGAAGAGATGAAATTATGTCATTTTGTGATTGGCTCTTGTGTGCTGTATGTAGGTGAGAAGCTATGGTGGGCGGACCAGGGGACTGACCAGATAGGAACCTGTGACAAGAGCGACGGAGGGAACTGGAAGGTCCTGAGAAACAGCACCTCACCCATGATGCACATGAAAATCTACAACGAGACTGTGCAGAAAGGTGTGTGTGTGTGCGTGCTTGCGTTTGGGCACCATGGTAGCTACTAGATTAGAAATAACCATTTTAACCTATGCGTGCAAATACGTATTTGTCTTGTTTTTACTCTATAAACGTAGACAGGTGTTTGTGTGGTGCAGGTTCCTCAGCATGTGTGTTTATGTGTTGTGTTTCCAGGCACTAATCTGTGCAGTAATAACAATGGAGACTGTTCCCAGCTGTGCCTGCCCACCTCCCCGACCACACGAGCCTGCATGTGTACCGCTGGATACAGCCTCAGGAGTGGACAACAGTCCTGCGAGGGTGAGATGCACACACACACACAGTGCATGCAAGGACGGAGGGACACACACACACACACACACACACTGTGAATACGTTATTTATAATGATCAAAAATATAAACGCAACATGAAAAGTGTTGGTCCCATGTTTCATGAGCTGAAATAAAAAATCCTAGACATTTTCCATACGCATACAGTTTATTTCTCTCAAATGTTGTACACAAATGTGTTTACATCCCTGTTAGTGAACATTTTTTTTGGGGGGGGGATTTCTGTCTGTAATAGGGGACTGACCAGATAGGAACCTGCGCCCCTGCCCGGTGATGTGAAATCCATAGATTAGGGCCTATATATATTTTAATTGACTGATTTCCTTATATGAACTGTAACTCAGTAAAAATCTCTGAAATGTTTGCATGTTGCGTTTATATTTTCAGTGTAGATCTTTATTTGGATATTTGAAAGGTTTTAGATGCCTGGTCTTACAGTCAAACAAAACATTACCTCAGCCATTAGTCAATCAAACAAAAGCTACATATCACATTTGGACATGCTATATTTAGCAAAACAGAGATTAGTATAATATGTTCTCAAATTCATTCATTTGTTTTCATCTGGAAGGATACATGAATGTGTCTTGTACTGCCACTGATCGACTCTAAGTGTGTCTTTTTGAGAATGTTACTACATACATTTCTGGCCAAATGTATTGGCACCCTTGCACTTTTCTTAAATAATTCTCAATTTCTTCTAAAATAATAACCAAAAGTTTATTTCAATTTCAACTTATTTGAGAAGAAATTGGGAATTATTTAAGGAAAGTGCGGAAGGGTGCCAATATATTTGTCCGTAACAGTATATCCAATGCTAAACTTTGGGTAATGTTTCACTTGGCCTCAGGTGTGGGCTCCTTCCTGCTTTACTCTGTTCATGAGGGCATCCGTGGCATCCCACTGGACCCCTCGGACAAGTCAGATGCTCTGGTGCCAGTGTCGGGCACCTCCCTGGCCGTGGGCATAGACTTCCATGCAGGTATGGATACACACACACACAGCCACCTTGGAGAGAGGGGTTTTCACACTATATATAACCAAAGTAGATCAGTAGTGAGGAAAGATATCATGAATATATGCTGAATCCAGACAATATGGTAGATTCATTCCACATTAACCTGTTAATGAGTGTGATAGGTATAGTATATATACTGTACTGTAATGTACTTTTGCGATGACCGTCTCCCCTCCAGACAATGACACTATCTACTGGGTGGACATGGGCCTGAGCACCATCAGCAGAGCTAAGAGAGACCAGACCTGGAGAGAAGACGTGGTCACTAATGGTATAGGCAGAGTGGAGGGCATCGCTGTGGACTGGATCGCTGGTAAAGCACACACACACGCGCATGTACATACCAACTCGTACTGTACAAACACTCACACATTCGCACCTATCACAGACTCACGTGTGACACACTTCACAGCTTTACAGAAGAGAGATGAGATTCTCATTCTGCTCACATCCTCACCTCTGCAAGGTCAGAGAGGGAGAGGTGGGGAGAGGGAGATGGAGAGGTGGGGGAGATGAGAGGTGGGGGAAGAGGATGGAGAGGTGGGGGAAGAGAGAGAAGGTTGGGAGAGGGTGGGGGGGAGAAGAGGGAGAGGGAGAGGTGGGGGAGGGAGAGTGGGGAGAGAAGGGAGAGGTGGGGGAAAGGGAGGTTGGGGAAGGAGAGCTTTAGGGTTATTTAAGGTCGTTTTTTTTTGGGAGAGGTGGGTTTTCGTGCGGGGTAGTGGTTGGGCGCGTGACTTCGTTGCGAGTTGTTCGGGGGTGGCGTGCCAGCCCCCCGCTGAGGCGCTTCTCTTGCGCTGGGGATAGGACGCTTCTCTTTTTGCCCCGAGGTGCGATAAGGCAGAGGGAAGGGGAAGCTAAAAGAAGAGGAGAAAAATAAACCAAGAGGAAGAGGGGTAGACCCAGGAGATGGGAAGAAGCCCAGAGGTGCCTGTATAGCCCAGGTCACATGACAGGGGTGTGGACAGAGCGAAGCCTTACTGCAGTATGTGTAATGAACACTGCAGTATTCCATCAACCCTCTGAGGTTACGCTGGGAAACCCCTTTTACACCCCAACACCAACCCAACAATAATGACTGCATTCTCCATTAGCTTAGTTGTATTTAGATGTAGTGTTATATACAGTGGCAATATACATGTATTTACCCCACAACATACAGTAACCTTCCGCAGAACTCCTGAATCAGTTAGACTATTGTGGTTGATCCCATTGAAGCTCTTGTACTGTAAAACATGTTGATTGTTTAAAAGACACTGTAGCTAAAGTGTGACAGGTCTGTATTATTGTTGTATTGAGTGTTGGTGCTCTGTCTTGACCCTCCATAGGGAACATCTACTGGACTGACCAGGGCTTTGATGTGATTGAGGTGGCTAGACTGAATGGATCCTTCCGCTACGTGGTCATCACCCAGGGCCTGGACAAGCCCCGTGCCATCACTGTCCACCCAGAGAAAGGGTGAGGACAGTGGGGGGAGGGGGTAACCCTAACCTCTAACCTCTGTTAAATGGAGGGAAAGAGAATAGTGACCTCTCTCTTACTGTGTATATATTTGTGTGTGTGTGTTTACAGGTATCTGTTCTGGACAGAGTGGGGTCAGTACCCACGGATCGAGAGGTCTCGCCTGGACGGTTCTCAGAGAGCTGTACTGGTCAACGTCAGCATCAGCTGGCCTAATGGCATCTCCATAGACTACCAGGTATGGTATAACACACAAACTCTCTCTCTCTCACACACACACACATATACAGTGCTATGAAAAAGTATTTGCCCCCTTTCTAATTTTCTCTACTTTTGCATATTTGTGATACTGAATGTTATCAGATCTTCAACCAAAACCTAATATTAGATAAAGGGAACATAAGTGAACAAATAACACAACAATTACATATTTATTTCATAAACAAAGTCATGCAACACCCATTTCCCCTGTGTGAAAAAGTAATTGCCCCCTTACACTCAATAACTGGTTGTGCCACCTTTAGCTGCAATAACTCCAACCAAATGCTTCCTGTAGTTGTTGATCAGTCTCTCACATCGCTGTGGAGGAATTTTGGCCCACTCTTCCATGCAGAACTGCTTTAACTCAGTGACGTGTGGGTTTTCAAGCATGAACTGCTCGTTTCAAGTCCTGCCACAACATCTCAATTGGGATTAGGTCTGGACTTTGACTAGGCCATTCCAAAACTTCTAATTTGTTGCTTTTTAGCAATTTTTATGTAGACTTGATTGTGTGTTTTGGATCATTGTCTTGCTGCATGACCCAGCTGCGCTTCAGCTCACAGACGGATGGTCTGACATTCTCCTGTAGAATTCTCTGATACAGAGCAGAATTCATGGTTCCTTCTATTAAGGCAAGTCATCCAGTTCCTGAGGCAGCAAAGCATCCCCAAACCATCACACCACCACCACCATGCTTGACCTTTGGTATGATGTTCTTACTGTGGAATGCAGAGTTTGGTTTTCACCAGGCATTACTGGAACCATGTCGTCCAAAAAGTTATACTTTTGAATCATCTGTCCATAGAAAGTTCTTCCAAGAGTCTTGATGATCATCCAGGTCCTTTTTGGCAAACTTGAGTCAACTTTTTGGACGAGATGGTCCCATTATGCACATCAATAAGGGATCATAGTTTTACTGAGTATGCCAAACATTAGGAACACCTTCCTAATATTGAGTTGCACGCCCCCTTTTGCCCTCAGGACAGCCTCAATTCATCGGGTCATGGACTCTACAAGGTGTTGAAAGCATTTCACAGGGATGCTGGCCCATGTTGACTCCAATGCTTCCCACAGTTGTGTCAAGTTGGCTGGATGTCCTTTGGGTGGTGGACCATTCATGATCCACATGGGAAACTGTTGAGTGTGAAAAACCCAGCAGCATTGCAGATCTTGCACACTCAAACCGGTGTGCCTGGAACCTACTACCATACCCTGTTCAAAGGCACTTCAATATTTTGTCTTGCCCATCACCCTTTGAATGGCACACATACACAATCCATGTCTCAAGGCTTAAAAATCATTCTTTAACCTGTCTCCTCCCCTTCATCTACACTGATTTGAAGTGGATTTAACAAATGACATCAATAAGGGATCATAGTTTTCACCTGGTCAGTCTGTCATGGAAAGAGCAGGTGTTCTTAATGTTTTGTATACTCAGCGTATATACACACAAACACACACAGAACTCACTGTCTTGCGATGTGTGTGTGTGCAGGAGGGTCTTCTGTACTGGTGTGATGCTCGTACAGACAAGATAGAGCGTATCAACCTGGAGACCGGAGAGAACAGAGAGGTGGTGCTGGCAAACAACAACATGGACATGTTCTCTCTCTCTGTGTTTGAAAGCTACATCTACTGGAGTGACAGGTCCGTGTCCATCGGTCTGTCTGTCGGTCTCTCTCTCTACATGTATCTCGCTCTCGCTCTCTGTGTGTGTGTGTGTGTTACATTCACTCCTCCACTTATTCATTGCATCTATAATTCATTCACAATCGCTCTCTGTCATGTCACCTTCCTTCTCAGTCGTTGTCTCTCACTTGTTATTTTACTTAGTCTGTCTCTCTCCCTGATGTCATGTCTCTCTCTCTCTCTCGCTCCCCCCTCCCCACTCCCTCCTCTCTGGCCTGTCTTAGGACTCATGCCAATGGCTCCATAAAGCGAGGCAGCAAAGACAACGCTACAGACTCTGTGCCCCTGCGCACTGGCATCGGAGTACAGCTCAAAGACATCAAAGTGTTCAACAGGGCCAGGCAGCAAGGTGGGCAGGAGCCATGTACTGTGGATGTGTTAGTTTAGAGAGTCTACTCAAATGTGGCAATAATGCTGTAGTTTGGCCAGTAACCGAAAGGTCGCTGGTTCGAATACCCAAGCCGATAGGTGAAAGATATGTCTGTGTCCTTGAGCAAGGCACTTAACCCTAATTTGTTCCAGTGGCGCCATACTACTATGGCTGACCCTGTAAACAACACATTGCCCCTACCCGGTGTGTGACAATAAAAAAAAATATATAATAATTATAATAGACTTATTTGATATACCTAACCCATTCAATATGCTTTTATTAATCTTGCCATTTAATTTCATATTTGAACATAAAATGATCTGCCTACTTAATTGTCCCATCCCCCAGTGAATATGAAATATGTTTCTCTACACAGGAACTAATGTGTGTAAGGATAACAATGGAGGGTGCCAGCAACTGTGTCTTTTCCGTGGCAACGCAGATCGTACATGTGCCTGTGCTCACGGTATGTTGGCTGAGGATGGACGTGGTTGCCGTGACTACGACGGCTACTTACTCTACTCTGAACGGACTATTCTAAAGAGTGTTCACCTATCGGATGAAAATAATCTAAACGCTCCTATAAAACCATTTGAGGACCCTGAACACATGAAGAATGTTATAGCTCTGACGTTTGACTACCGTGGAGGAGGGAAAGGAGCCAATCGCATCTTCTTTAGTGACATCCACTTTGGGAACATTCAGCAGATCAATGATGATGGTTTGGACCGCAAGATGGTGGTGGAAAGTAAGTTACTCACCCTCCTCTATATTCAACGCTCTTATTCATACAATCTGTTATCATCCCCCTAATCCTATAGCAATCAATCTCCTCTCTTCCCTCATAACCCATACTCCATTGATTTACCCTGTTGTGAATGTGATGTGATAAGGCCAAGTGAATGTACGTAAGCACTAGTTAATCAGGTTATTTGACTTTGAGAAATGTGATTAAACGTTTTCCCACCGTTAGACGGTTCTCTCACCCAATTAGTGAAGTATCATCTTTCATCCCTCCCTCCCTCCCTCCCTCCCTCCCTCCCTCCCTCCCTCCCTCCATCCTCCTCCTCCACTGAAAACAGACCCTCTGTGGTGGTGATATACAGCAGACCCCTCAATGAATATCAGTCTCCAGGAAGAAACAGCAGGGGTTTCTAAAAGAGAAAGTCCTACAAAACTTGTTTTGGACCTCCAACTGATAAACATGACAGGAAAACCTTGTCACAAACTCTATTCGTTCTTTGAGTCTGGAAAACAAAGTGGAAAGCTTTCATATCTACCTCAGTTTGGGAACACACTGTACACAACAACATAACCCAGACTGAGGCACAGATAGACCTTCATTCTCTTCATCTCAGAAGAACATAACAGAAATAAAGAACATTTGGCGGAAGAATGGCATTACTGTTACTGTGTACGATCACTCACATCCTTTAAAAAACTCATTTTTACTAGCAGAAATGTCTTTCTCCAGGATGTCTCTGTTCTCTGCCATGTCCCAGGAGGCTCTCTAGACAGAGGCCTTCGATTCTCACAGTGTTCAGATCCTCCTTTACTTCAAGTGCTATCCCTCAGTTGAACCTTGGAGCTGAAGAGCTTCATACCACAGCTTAGTGTTATAGTTGTGTATCAGGGAGATTTGGGTAGAAACGGTTTTGTAGTTGTAGAGCTGTTTTTGTGCCGTTCTCAGACATGAGATTTTCAGTCCCCATAAAGTACAGTCAGGGCGCAGGCGGGGAGTGTGCATAATTATTAGGCAAGTTGTATGTTTGAGGATTAATTGTATTATTGAACAAGGTAGGTTGCAGTTCTGGAATATGACAGCATTGGAGGATAATGGGTTCCTGGTAGCTTCATTTTGATTCTTCTCAAATCTTTGGCAGTTAATTTGCGTCTTTTTTTCTCAACACGGTTCTTGCGACCCTGTTGACTATTTGCAACAAAAAGTTTGATGGTTCTGTGATCACGCCCCAATATTTTAGCAATTTCAAGAGTGCTGCATCCCTCTGAAATACTTTTTACAATTTTTGACTTTTCAGAGTCAGTTAAATCTATTTTTTGGCCCATTTTGCCTGAGGAAAAGAAGCTGCCTAATAATTATACACACCTTGATATAGGGTGTTGATCTTCTTAGGCCACACCCTCCCTCATTACACAAATACACATGGTATGCTTAAATCAAATAAGCATTCCAGTTTATACAGCTTGGAGTTGGGAAATATGCATAATAATGATGATATGGTCAAAATACTGACTTGCCTAATAATTGTGCACACAGTGTAGTGTTGAGCTAGCCGCCGGGCTCTCCGTCTCTCCCCAGGATTCCTGCTACGTCCGACCTCCGCTGACAGTGGAGGCCGGCTGGGTCTGTGTTGCTGAGCTCTAAACACTGGATGTCTCTGTCTCCTGTCAGCTCACGTCAGAAAGCTTCTCCGCATGACGTCTCAATCAGTTTTCTACTGCTAAGCAATCGACAGTCTGCCTATTCAAAGCCCACAGGAAGGAATTTCTGGAGAGATAGAGGGAGGGAGGGTGCTGAAGGAAGGGGTCAATCACAATAAAAAATGTGAACTCTTGTGTGGTCTGTACTGTACGGCTTTGACAGTGAAAACCGAGGGAGATGGGTTGGTCTGTTGTCAGTGGGAGGACCTGTTCTGGACAACTAAAGCTGCTCAGAGTTTGTCACCACACACACACTCACTCACTCACTCACTCACAACATGAGAAATCCGGGTAATTATTGACATGTGGCCTGAGAGCACACACTCAGCTGGGGTGTTGTGGTCTGTTATCACAGCCAGATAAATGCCATAAAATGTGTGTGAAGCTCAGGATAAGCTCCTGGATAAGCTACCAAGCTCCTCCATTTCAGCTCCTCTGTAAGGCAGCACACAGAACAGAGATCTACTGCAAAGAATGGTGTGAAGAAACGAGAAACGAGGATGTGAGAGTATAGTCTTGCGGGCTGACGATTTATTAAAAGCACCGAAGAGAGAGGAAATTGAAAGGGAGCTGATTTAGTGTTGCACTTCATACATTTTTTAAAATGTTGATTTATGAGAGGGGTAAACCAGGGGGAGTTATTTTAAGATCGCACACCTTTGCTCTGCAATCCAGCTTTTAGGTCCTTAGCTCGGTTTCGTTCATAATCTTTCACAATAGGCTGGCAGCCAGTCCATGACTCATGTCTGGGGAGTTGAGATGGAGAGATGTAGGTGAAGTGCAGAGTGTCCCACCTTGTGTTGAACCTCCCAGAGACACTGGCCAGACCTGTGATGTACTTTGTGTTTTCACACTTTCAGCCAATTTTTTGTGAACTCAGTCTCAGTGCGGTTCGCTTAATTTTTTGTGCAGTGTAAACTCTCCAAAGGAACTCCGACGACTCAAAAGAGCCCCCGAAGCGAACCGAACTGAGATCATCTTGAGAGGTGGTCTGAATTCTGTCCGCTTGAATTCCATGGTCTGGTTCCCTTTTTTAGGGCAATGTGAACACAAAGCTCCTCAGGCTCATTTGTCATTATTCCCAAACACACACTAGACTACTGCAACACAACACTGTTACCCCTGCCATAGGTAGCATGGCGGGAGGAGCGTTGGGCGCTGGATCGAATCCCCGAGCTGACAAGGTGAAAATCTGTCATTCTGCCCCTGAGCAAAGCAGTTAACCCACTGTTCCCCGGGCGCCGAAGACAAGGATGTCGATTAAGGCAGCCCTCTGTACCTCTCTGATTCAGAGGGGTTGGGTTAAATGCGGAAGACACAGTTCAGTTGAATGCATTCAGTTATATAACTGACTAGGTATTCCACTTTCCCTAACCCCTCACATTGATTGTGGTCCTCTGTAGCTCAATTGGTAGAGCATGGCGCTTGTAACGCCAGGGTAGTGGGTTCAATCCCCGGGACCACCCATACGTAAAAATGTATGCACACATTACTTTAAGTCGCTTTGGATAAAAGCGTCTGCTAAATGGCATAATAATAATAATAATAATAATAATAATAATAATAATAATAATAATAATAATAATTGGTGCCACATAAGAGAGAAGATGATGATGTACAGGTTTGCATAAAAAACGTGTGCTGTTTTTGGATATTGATTACCGATTGTCAAGGATGCACAGATACGTGTGGAGTTTATAGTTTGAGATTATTTGTTTACAATATGTGATCAATAGGTTAAGAGCACTTTATAAGCTGTTTATTCCATTGTGGGATTTGAATAGTGTGAGAAGACGACAACATATTTGGTGAGAAGAGAATCACAACAGGGTACAAAATCTATTCTAGCTCTTAAAGGGGCACATTTGGTGTACAATTTACAATTACAGCATTATTTAATCTGCAGTTATTCTTCTGCTATTTATTCACGTAGCAGTGTGAATGCAAAGTGGACACAGACCACAAAATAGGTGAAGTGAACTAGCAAAAGAGTTGAGTCATTCAAAGGCAAGGGCAGTGTGAATACAAAGAGAACTGAGTTATTTTGCTTTAAAGAGGACTGAGATATGTTCTTTTAAAAAGGACTATATGTGAAAACACCCTTAAATCATTCCAGTCCCTCTGTTTCTCTGGGATAACAAGCAGGTGACTATTAGTCTTTTGGCAAAATGAGTTGTGCATGACTGTGTGTTGTGTGTAACTCCAAAGTGTCCTTGGCAGATGTGTTTGTGTCTGTGTGTGAGAGAGTGTGACTGTGCGTGTGTCTCCACCACCAGAGCAGCAGGTCTCTCCCAGTCTCTCTCTCTCCCAGTGCAGCACAGTGTGTTCCTCCATCTTGGCCAGCTCTCCACTCCTCAGTCTCCTCTGCTCTGACCTGGGGTGTGGTGGGCTTGGCTGGGGTGGGGTGGGCTGGGCTACCTCAGCCAGTTACTCATTAGAAGGCTGTGGAGCAGAAAAATGCAGTGAACATTCTCAGTAAAAAAGAGCAATGGCATGGGATATGCTGCTAGCTGTTAGCCATTTCTGTCATGACCTTTTGGAAAGCTGTTAGTTGGATGAAAGCCTTAGATCAGAGTGTTCTAGATCATTACCAGTGGCCTGTCATGTCCTCCGTACGTAGTCTCTGTACCTCCTCTGCTATGGCATCCTGCTCTGCTCTGTATGGTCTGCGCTGTCCGCCAGCTCTGTGCTACTGCCAGTCATGTCCTTTTAACATGCAACTGGGGTTGATGTGTGTGTTTGTCGCTTCTCCTCCCTCCCTCCGTCTCTTTCTTTCCCTGCCCTTTTTTCTCTCTGTTCCCCCCCCCCCCCCCCCCCCATCTCTGCTCATCCTACCTCTTTCGCTCTCTCTCCCCTTCTTTCCCCCTCTCTCCCTATTAGATGTGGGTTCGGTGGAGGGCCTGGCGTACCATCGTGGCTGGGACACTCTGTACTGGACCAGCTATACCACCTCTACCATCACCCGCCACACAGTGAACCAGAACCGCTGGGGCGCCTGGGACCGCGACGTCGTGGTCACCATGTCTGGAAATGACCACCCCCGGGCCTTCGTACTGGACGAGTGTCAGAAGTGAGTGTCTCTTGGACCGTAATGGTCATAAATCGCAATGTTACAAGTTTCTGACCCAGATCATAGGGTTTTAATTTATATGGATTTGATTAGTCTTTATTACATTGTCAGGTATCTGATGCTTGACCGTTGCAGTTAATCTGAAACTAGCTACTGTTCCCATATTCCCATATACTGATCATTATCATAAGGTTTTGAATGGATTAAAGGGGCCGTATAGATAGCTTAGCTTTACTGTAAGTAGATTTTCATTGATTTTCTCACTGCCTCTCTCTGGATAGTGTTTAACTAATCAAATCATGCACCACTTTGGAATCTTAATATAATCTGGTCATTTAGCAGATCCATTGATCCAAAGTGACAAAGTTAACTAATATATTCAGTATGCTGTATACAGTATGTGGCCCATGCGAGAAGCTATAAATCTGGTGTTGGAATGGAAGCACCATGCTTAAACCAATTGTGCCATTTGAATCAGAAACCCATCACTGTCGTGGACGTTTACACACATCTGCATTATATACTCAAGTTCCCTCTTGTGTTGTCACCCACCAGCCTGATGTTCTGGACCAACTGGAACGAGCAGTCCCCCAGTATCATGCGTGCCACCCTGTCTGGTAACAATGTACTGGTGATCATCGGGAGTGACATCCGCACCCCAAACGGCCTGGCCATAGACCACCGTGCTGAGAAACTCTACTTCTCCGACGCCACCCTGGACAAGATCGAACGTTGCGAGTATGATGGCAGCCGGCGCTATGTGAGTGACACACACACACAGACACAGAGATTATGTACACACAAAAACCCACCCACACTCACAAAGCCCACTCATTGGTTTAACTTTCCCTGCTGCCCCCTGTAGGTGGTGTTGAAGAATGAGCCAGTCCATCCGTTTGGCCTGGCGGTGTATGGGGACTACATCTTCTGGACTGACTGGGTCCGCAGGGCCGTCCTCAGGGCCAACAAATACGTGGGCGGAGACATGAAACTCCTCAGAGCCGACATCCCCCAGCAGCCAATGGGCATAGTCGCTGTGGCCAACGACACCAATAGCTGTGAGTTCTAAGGAAAGAGGTTGGGGTTTGGGTGGATGTTTTTTTTTGGAGGGGGGGCAGATAAAGGAGTGGGTGATTGGGGGGTTGGCGGGGGCAAGCAGAGTGATACACACACACACACACACACACACATACCTGCATACACACACACACACACACCTGCTGCGCCACCAAAGTTAATGAGGTGCCAGAAGTAATCAGAGAGTGTGACACAGCTGAGAGGAGCTCCATACACCTGAGAATCCACTGCCCCATCCATCACCCTGTACACACACACACACACACCCCATCTTCTGTTCCAACAGTTCCATGCCACCTCGTCCAGTTCAATTCACACTTGTTCATTTCAGTGAGCTTTCAATCTCCCTCTTTCACTCCAAATCAATGGCTCTATCTTTCTTAACCCCCCCCCCCCCCATACACACACACACACACACACACACACACATTCTACCTCAACATTGACTTCCTACTTGCCTACGTCCTCCCCACTCTCACTCACAACACACACAGTGAACCCGTGGTAATTGCAACAAATCCTATTTAGATTGTGTCAGTTTATATTAGACTCAAGTAGCAGGAGAGCTGTGTTGGTTTCTGAACACTGTTTGTGTGTGTGTGTGTGTGTGTGTATGTATGTGTGCGTGCGTACGTGTCGAATGCATGTGCGGGAGTGTGCATGCATGTTCTAACCCTCTCTCTCTGTGTGTAGGTGAGTTCTCGCCTTGTCGGTTGAACAACGGAGGTTGTCAGGACCTGTGTATCCTGACCTCAGAGGGCAGGGTCAACTGTACGTGCCGTGGCGATGGCGAGAGGAAACTGCTGGAGGACAACACCTGCGTTGGTGAGAAAGGGGGGAGGAGGAGACGAGAGCGGGGAAGAGGGAATAGGGAAGGGTATGGAGAAATGAGAGAACTAGTGCATGGGGAGGGAGAGTGGATGAGAGCATTTTGTCATGTCATTACTGATGTAAGAACAGCCAATGGTGCTAATGTTTCAAGCCTACTTTGGAACATTCAGCACTAAAACCATGTTATTTTTATGATGGTGCAGTTAAGTGTCTCTTTCCCCTTCTCCTTTTCTCTCTCTCCATCTCTATCAGCCCTGAACACCACATGCAGCAGTGTAGATGAGTTTGAGTGTGGGAACGGAGACTGTGTGAACTACTCTCTGACCTGTGATGGTATGGCCCACTGCAAGGACAAGTCAGACGAGAAACAGTCCTACTGCGGTGAGTGAGACAGACGGGGACATTGCTTTACAGTACCTCTATAAGCCATAATGTAATGTTTCTAATGATATCTTCTCCTGCCCCTCGGCTCCAGCTAACCGTGTTTGTAAGAAGGGCTACAGGCGGTGTGTGAACGGCCGGTGTGTGGGACACAGCTCCTGGTGTAACGGACAGGACGACTGTGGGGACAACTCAGACGAACTCTTTTGCAACAGTAAGCAGTGCTAGCTATCTCATGCAGTGTACCCTCTGGGGGCTAGTTTGTGGTGGTTTTTCTGTGGACATTTCGTATGTTTGTGTGTAGTATTTCACCAGTGTAACGTGTGTGTGTGTGTGTTTCAGCCACCCTGTGCACAGCAGAGCAGTTCCAGTGCAGAGACGGACGCTGCATCACCAACTCCAGCAAGTGTAACCAGGTGGTGGACTGTGAGGACGCCAGCGATGAGATGAACTGCTGTGAGTCACCTTGGACGCCAGACGAACCTTAGAACCTAGTTTCAACTAAATCTAACAATAGTTTCAACTCTAACCCAGACCTAACTCTTGACTTGACTCAACTCATGAAAGACCACAGACTAATCTTTAGACTAGACTCAACTAAATCTAACATCAAACGTAACTCTAAACCAGACTTAACTCTAGACTACCTCAGTCAGGATTGCGCTGTATAATGTCACCTTACAGTTAGATACGATGCTAAAGCTAATGAACTAGATTAGTTTTTAGACAGACTTTATTAGACTCACTGTGTAACCTCTGCCCTCTGTTCTGCAGCCACCGACTGTTCCAGCTACTTCCGTCTGGGGGTGAAGGGTGTGATCTTCCAGAAGTGTGAGTTCACCAGCCTCTGTTACACCCCCTTCTGGGTGTGTGATGGAGCCAACGACTGTGGAGACTACTCTGACGAGAGGAACTGCCCAGGTGAACACACACATGCGGATGCATGCACACACACATGCACACATAGATGCCGCACACACACAAAGATAGACACTTAAACACACGCACAATGAGCTGCAACATCTCAAATGTTTCCTGGGTGTTGTCCTTGTGGACTCAGTGTATGTCATTAAAGCAGCCAGCTGCTGGAGGAGCCCCCAGAGTTTACATTAAAACACAAACATTTGGACTCTTCAAAATCAAATCAAGCTTTATTTATACAGCACATTCAGACATGGAATGAAATACCACCATATGCTTCACAGGAAAAAAACAATGAAAATAAAAGCTGAAATATTTACTACACAACAAACATAAGATAAATAAACAAAATAATGACAAAAACAGAACGAGCAAAGCTGAAAAGATATGTTTTAAGATCTCTTTTAAATATGTCCACAGTTTCAGCCCCCTCAGGTTCTCTGGCAGGCTATTCCAGATGCTGGGGGCATAATAATTAAATGCTGCCTCTCCATGCCTCTTGGACCTAGGCTTTGGGATAGTTAAAAGGCCAGTGCCAGAGGACCTGAGGGACCTACTGGGTACATAACCTAAAAGCATGTCTGACATGTATTGGGGTGCACAATCGTGGATTGATTTAAAAACCAATAGAATAATTAATTCTAAAACTCACAGGCAGCCAGTGCAGAGACCTTAAAACAAGTTTGTGTGCTCTCCGTCTGGTCTTGGTCAGTACCCGTGCTGCAGCATTCTGTATGTTTTGCAGTTGAACAATGGCTTTCTTGGGTAGACCAGACAGGAGAGCATTACAGTAGTCAAGCCTGCTTGTAATAAAAGCATGGATGAGTCTCTCTGTATCAGCCTGAGAGAGAAAACACAGCCATTAACACAGCACATGTGTTGCATCTATTAAACTCTTTAAAATACAAGATAAGTGCGAAAAGTAAAGAGGGACCAAAGATATTACACAACTGCAAAATTCGAAAAATGGATTACAAATATAATTGTTTGTCTGTCAGTAAACAAGACAAATATGCCAATCTATTACAAACATGCTACTCTTGCCGTGAGTTTCATATATCTGTTTATTTAGTGCCACTCTACTTTAATATTACTATATTAACCACTCTGTCTGTCTGTTTGTCAAACAGACCGGAGGAAGACCAAGTGCTTTGCTCCATTCTTTGCGTGTCCCAGTGGTCGCTGTATCCCTATAAGCTGGACCTGCGACAAGGAGAACGACTGTGAGAATGGAGCTGACGAGGCCCACTGTGGTCAGTTCAACTCAGCTGCCTTTTTACTGGATTCACTGCTAATATTCATGGTCTTTCACCACACATTTCTGACTGACTTTCATTCTCTACATCGCCCCACCCGCTTTGCTTTCTTGCCCTTTCCTTTAGATAAGTTTTGCTCGGCCAGCCAGTTTCAGTGCGGTAACCACCGCTGTATCCCCAACCACTGGGTATGTGACGGTGCTGACGACTGTGGTGACGGGACTGACGAGGACGGCAAGTGCAGTGAGTGTCATTCACGTCAAACACGCAACCTCTCACTATGAAACAGGGAGGACACTTATGTGGAAATCGACAGAGTGGAAATACTAGACTTATTCAAAACAAATGTACTCAAAACTATTCTGTCTCCCCTCCTCCCCACTTGCCTCTTTTCTGACAGAGAATAAGACGTGTAGTCCACATGCCTTCCAGTGTCCTGGCTCTCATGTGTGTGTTCCCCAGCACTGGAAGTGTGACGGGGACATGGACTGTCCTGACGGGGTGGATGAGAGTGTCAAGGCTGGATGTGGTGAGTAGTGGATCAGTCCGAGGAATGGATTATTACTGATACCTGATCGATGTTTACCTATGGAAGTATGTCCTATGCAAGTCATCGTTATATCATTACTTGTTACACAGATTATTTTCATAATGCAGTACCTTATTGACTGACTGATGTCTGTGTCTGTGTGTCAGTGTTCAACAACACCTGTGATGCGAATGAGTTCATGTGCCAAAACAGACAGTGCATCCCCAAACACTTTGTGTGTGACCATGACAATGACTGCAGTGATGGCTCTGACGAGTTCCTGGAGTGTGGTGAGTGGATGACCCTTGACTCCCGTTGTCCCAGGGTACCATGTCTCTTACACTCACACACTATCATATATTATAATTGTGACTGTGTGCTAGTCTTTAACATTTTGAGTGAATAAACTGTTTTTATCATAGGAAGTAACCTAAGCATTGTCCTTCCAGAGTACCCTAAGTGTGGGCCCAATGAGTTCCGTTGTGCCAACGGCCGTTGCCTCCTCCAGAGCTCCTGGGAGTGTGACGGAGAGTTCGACTGTCATGACCACTCTGACGAAGCCCCTAAGAACCCCCGCTGCAACAGCCCAGGTTAGAGAGAGACACACACACAGAGAGATGGTGCTTACTGTCTATTTGCTCTGGGGGCTAAGAGATCTCCTTCTCAGCCCACTATTTGCAAGGAAGTTTAAGGAATTTACTAAATCCCTGCTAAATTGGTCAATCGGATTTAGTCCAATGTGTGGACCAAGTCCCCTCTTCCTTAAATATTCACTCACTATTCTCCTCTTCTGACCCACCCTCTTTCAACCTCTCCTCCAACCCCTCTTACCGAAACAGAGAAGAAGTGTAACGACACGGCATACGCCTGCGGTAACGGGAACTGTGTCAACGAGACACTGCTATGTGACCGTAATGACGACTGCGGTGACGGCACTGACGAGCTCAACTGCTTCATCAATGAGTGTCTGAACAGCAAGCTCAGTGGCTGCTCCCAGCTCTGTGAGGATCTCACGATAGGCTTCAAGGTAAGGATGCACCTACAGTACCAGTCAAAGTCTGGACACACCTGCTCATTCAAGGGTTTTTCTTAATTTTTTACTATTTTCTACATTGTAGAGTAATAGTGAAGACAACAAAACTATGAAATAAGACATATGGAATCATGTAGGAACCTAAAAAGTGTTAAACAAATCAAAATATAGTTCAGATGTTTGATTTTTCAAAGTAGCCACCCTTTGCCTTGAGCTTTGCACATTCTTGGCATTATCTCAACCAGCTGCACTTGGAATGCTTTTCCAACAGTCTTGAAGGAGTTCCCACATATGCTGAGCACTTGTTGGCTGCTTTTCCTTCACTCTGCGGTCCAACTCATCCCTAACCATCTCAATTGGGTTGAGGTTGGGTGATTGTGGAGGCCAGGTCATCTGATGCAGCACTCCATCACTCTCCTTCTTGGTCAAATAGCCCTTACACGGCCTGGAGGTGTGTTCAGTCATTGTCCTGATGAAAAACAAACGATAGTCCCACTATGCACAAACCAGATTGGATGGCGTAACTTATCCTCTGCAGCAGAGGTAACTCTGGGTCTTCCTTTCCTGTGGCGGTCCTCATGAGAGCCAGTTTCATCATAGCACTTGAAGAAACGTTCAACGTTCTTGACATTTTCCGGATTGACTGACCTTCATGTCTTAAAGTAATGATGGGCTGTCATTTCTCTTTGCTTATTTGAGCTGTGCTTGCCATAATATAGACTTGGTCTTTTACCAAATAGGGCTATCTTCTGTATACCACCCCTACCTTGTCACAACACAACTGATAGGCTCAAACGCAATAACTTTTAAGGAGGCACACCTGTTAACTGAAATACATTCCAGGTGACTACCTCATGAAGCTGGTTGAGAGAATGCCAAGAGTGTGTAAAGCTGTCATCAAGGCAAATGGTGGCTATTTGAAGATTCTCAAATATAAAATATATTTTGATTTGTTTAACACTTTTTTGGTTACTACATGATTCCATATGTGTTATTTCATAGTTTTGATGTCTTCACTATTATTATACAATGTAGAAAATAGTATAAATAAAGAAAAACCCTTGAATGAGTAGGTGTGTACAAGCTTTTGACTGGTACTGTACATCTGGAGAGCGTCTCTAAAATGAATAGTTAATGATGATGACTTTTAATTTGTAGTCGTTACCATTTATATTGTCAACTACGTAACAACTATTGACGGAAAGGTTAACAACTGTGAAGTAGTACACACAGCCTTACCTGTCCTGTCCTCTCCTCTCCTGTGTGACCGTGCAGTGCAGATGCCATCCTGGCTTCCGTCTGAAGGATGATGGGAAGACGTGCGTGGACATAGACGAGTGTACGACCAGCTACCCCTGCACCCAGCGCTGCATCAATACCCACGGATCCTTCCATTGTCTCTGTGTGGAGGGCTTCCAGCTCAGCCCCAGCGACCCCACCATCTGCAAGTCCACCTCCGGTAAGACATGGAGGGGTGTAATGTGGTGTATGGGGGGTTAAGATCTGAAGGGGCGTATGGGGGTTGGTTGCACCATAGAGCTCTACCCACGGAATCAATCACATCTTAATTAATAAGCTTCATGCATGTGTGAAGAGGGACTCAGTTTGAGCTTGTTGACCTAATCTACATCAAAATATATATTTTGTCCAGAGGAGGAGCCCTTCCTGATCTTTGCCAATCGTTACTACTTGAGGAAACTCAACCTGGATGGTTCCAACTACACCCTGCTCAAACAGGTGAGACTGGAGCCTCAACACCTCATAGACTTGCAAACAGGTTGAAATAACCCATTGCACCCTTTGACCATCACACTAAATTGATCTCTTCTCTCCCATTTTGTGTGTGTGTATGCATTAGGGTCTGAACAATGCGGTGGCGCTGGATTTTGACTACAGACAGCAGATGATCTACTGGACAGACGTGACCACTCAGGGCAGCATGATACGACGCATGCACATCAACGGCAGCGATGTACAGGTCAGTGTGGGTCCATGACCTTTTGACCTCTTAGAAACATACAACATTTGATTGGTACATTTGGACGAAAGGAACTGAACCAGGACTTCTGATTGGCTCTTTGGCAGGTTCTTCACCGCACATCTCTCAGCAACCCTGATGGTCTAGCTGTTGATTGGGTGGGAGGGAACCTGTACTGGTGTGACAAGGGGCGGGACACCATCGAGGTGTCAAAGCTGACCGGGGCCTACCGGACGGTCCTGGTCAACACCGGTCTGAGGGAACCACGCGCTGTGGCAGTCGACGTACGAAACGGGTATGAACATAAATATAACTTTAAGATTTTCTAATTGATGAGTGCTGCTCAAATATTGAATATAGTGTTCAAATGTTGAGTATATAGGATTTATTATTTTAGTACAAGAGAGAATGGCATTGATCCTAACTTTGCTGAGAATGTAGTGCGATATTATGACCACTCACATGGGTGTCCTGAGTGGTTCTGAAGCCTCTCACTGAGCTGTGTCCCTGCCAGGTACCTGTACTGGTCCGACTGGGGTGACAACCCCCACATAGGGAGGATAGGGATGGATGGCGCCAACAGGACTGTGATTGTAGAGGACAGGATCACCTGGCCCAACGGCCTCACTCTGGACTTCATCAACGACCGCATCTACTGGGCAGACGCCAGAGAGGACTACATAGAGTTTGCCAGCCTGGATGGAACCAACAGACACACGGGTAACACACACCGTCACACACACACACTATCATACACACATCTTTTGATACATATATTGATATTACAACACACACATGAAACAGAACTCACATACACTATACACACCACACACATCAGTAAATACATCACTGTTGGTAGACAATCCGCTTGTTTCTGACGTGTCTGTTTCTCTGTGTGCTTCCCCACCCTGCAGTGCTGCGCCAGGACATCCCCCACATCTTTGCCATGACTCTGTTTGAGGAGTACATCTACTGGACCGACTGGGAGACCAGGTCCATCAACAGGTGTCACAAAACCCTGGGCACCAACAAGACCATGCTGATCAGCACCCTGCACCGGCCCATGGACATCCACATCTACCACCCTTACCGCCAGCCAGAGGGTATGAGTAAGTCTACTGTTACTGCCACCTAAACACCCAGTCATCTATGGATGTGTGCTTGCACACCCCTGACCTGGGCCTAATGTGTGTGTATGTGTGTGTGTTTGGTTAACCCACAGTGGCCAACCACCCATGTCAGACCAACAATGGAGGATGCAGTAACCTGTGCCTGCTGTCACCTGGTGGGGGGTACAAGTGTGCCTGTCCCACTAACTTCTACCTGTCCAGTGATGGGAGGCAGTGTATGTCCAACTGCACCGCCAGTCAGGTGAGTTTAGCCAACTTGTCTCTTAGCTGTTTCATGATGTTGTGTGTCCTTCTCTGCCTTTATGTAGTAGTAGTGCGTACAGCCCAGTACATCACTGGGGCCAAGCTTCCTGCCATCCAGGACCGATATACTAGGCGGTGTCAGAGGAAGGCCCAAAATAGTCAAAGACCACCACCCGGACTATTTGCATTGACCCCCCCCCCCCCCTTTGTTTTTACACTGCTGCTACTCGCTGTTTATTATCTATGCATAGTCACTTTACCCCTACCTACATGTACAAATTACCTCGACTAACCTGTAGCCCCGCACATTGACTCAGTACCTTTACCTCCTGTATATAGCCTCAGTATTGTTCTTTTATTGTGTTACTTTTTTGTTTTGTTTATTTAGTAAATATTTTCTTAACTGCATTGTTGGTTAAGGATATGTAAGAAAGCATTTCACGGTAATAACATTTGATATGATGTAGTCAGAATGAATCTTTCCTCTCTCTCTTCCTCCACCGTCTCTTTCTTCCTCGGTCCCTCTTGCTTTCCCCCTCTCTATCCATCTCTTCGCTCTCTCTCGTTCCCTGCAGTTTGTGTGTAAGAATGACAAGTGCATTCCGTTCTGGTGGAAGTGTGACACAGAGGATGATTGTGGGGATCGGTCAGACGAGCCTGCGGAATGCCGTGAGTGACCGACAGTCCTAGTCCATGAACACTATCTATCATAGCTGTACTGTATTGGAGTCCTGGTTGACTGATGTTGTATTGGTATCACCCTGTAGCTGAGTTCAAGTGCAGGCCAGGCCAGTTCCAGTGTGGTACAGGTATCTGTACCAACCCAGCCTACATCTGTGACGGAGACAACGACTGCCAGGACAACTCTGACGAGGCAAACTGTGACATCCACGTGTGTCTGCCCAGTCAGTTTAAGTGTAGGCACCCCAGCCGCTGTATCCCTGGGATCTTCCGCTGTAACGGCCAGGACAACTGTGGAGAGGGGGAGGACGAGATAGACTGCCGTGAGTAGACTGCCTTGGCTACTAGTATGGAGGGGTTAAAAAAAAGGGAATATGGACAGGGGTTAAAGTTCTCCTTCACTGCGACTGATTTCTGTCATATGGATTCTGGAGAGGTGTTTTTTTTTTTTGGGGGGGGGGGGGGGGGGGGGGGGGGGGGGTGTAGATCAGCTTTAATATTGCAGATTGTAGCTTCCATCAATGTAATTGTCTGCATCATTTCTAATCCCCTGTGTGTGTTTGTGTGTGGACACCCCTTTAAATTAGTGGATTCAGCTAGTTCAGCCACACCGTTGCTGACAGGTGTATAAAATCGAGCACACAGCATGCAATCTTCATAGACAAACATCGGCAGTAGAATGGCCTTACTGAAGAGCTCAGTGACTGTCAACGTGGCACTGTCATAGGATGCAACCTTTCCAACAAGTCAGTTCGTCAAATTTCTGCCCTGCTACAGCTGCCCCGGTCAACTGTAAGTGTTGTTATTGTGAAGTGGAAACGTCTAGGAGCAACAACGGCTCAGCTGTGAAGTGGTAGGCCACACGAGCTCACAGAACTGGATTGCCAAGTGCTGAAGCGCGTAGCATGTAAAAATTGTCTGTCCTCGGTTGCAACACTCACTACAGAGTTCCAAACTGCCTCTGGAAGTAATGTCAGCACAAGAACTGTTCGTCGGGAGCTTCATGAAGTGGGTTTCCATGGCCGAGCAGCTGCACACAAGCCTAAAATCACCATGCGCTCGCCGCCATTGGACTCTGAAGCAATGGAAACGCGTTCTCTGGAGTGATGCATCACGCTTCACCATCTGTCAGTCCGACAGACTAATCTGGGTTTGGCGGATGCCAGGAGAACGCTACCTGCCCCAATGCAAAATGCCAACTGTAATATTTGGTGGAGGAGGAATAATGGTCTGTGGCTGTTTTTCATGGTTCGTGCTAGGCCACTTAGTTCCAGTGGAGGGAAATCTTAACGCTACAGCATACAATGACATTCTAAACGACTCTGTGCTTCCAACTTTGTGGCAACAGTTTCAACATGACAATGCCCCCGTGCACAAAGCGAGGTCCATACAGAAATGGTTTGTCGAGATCAGTGTGGAAGAACTTGACTGGCCTGCACATAGCCCTGACCTCAACCCCATCGAACAGCTTTGGGATGAATTGGAACGCCGACTGCGAGCCAGGCCTAATGGCCCAACATTAGTGCCCGACCTCACTAATGCTTTTGTGTCTGAATGGAAGCAAGTCCCCGCAGCAATGTTCCAACATCTAGTGGAAAGCCTGAGCAGAAAAGTGGAGGCTGTTATAGCAGCAAAGGGGGGACCAACTCCATATTAATACCCATGATTTTGGAATGAGATGTTCGACGAGTAGGTGTCCACATATTTTGGTCATGTAGTGTACTTTGTAATGGAGTTCTCAGTCCTTCTACATAAAATGTATCCTGGGGAGGACCCCTTAAGCAAGGGACTGGAATAGGACAAACTCACAGTTTAATACAGGTACAAAATGATCCTCTTTCCCTCAAAGCATGATGACTTTCTTATATAAAAGGGGAGGTTAACTTGGCCCCAGACAATCGATCTGAGATCGGCTTAAGTTTCATTCATTTACATTTTACATTTTAGTCATTTTAGCAGACGCTCTTATCCAGAGCGACTTACAGTTAGTGAGTGCATACATTTTCATACTGTCATGGGATTTTGTTTTGCTTTAACCCCTGAATATGGAGGATATCCAACCTGTAGTGTACTGCACCAACTTATAGTCTTTTCAAATCAGTGTTCAACCTATTATGTTTTCTACGCACATTGAAATGAAATGTATAATTATTTTAAATGTATGTTTTCAAAGACTTTGAGACTAGGAGAGAAAGCAATGCATCATGTAAGGATATTGGTAAGTGACTGTCTCTTCTCCATTCTGTCCCCTGCAGCGGATGTGACGTGTGCTCCTAACCAGTTCCAGTGTGCCATCACCAAGCGCTGTATCCCTCGTGTCTGGGTGTGTGACAGGGACAATGACTGTGTGGACGGATCTGATGAGCCTGCCAACTGCAGTAAGGACCCACTCTACTGTGACATCTAGCATCTCTCTCTTTCTCCCTTCTCCTCGATTCCTCTTCCTTATTTTCTCTCTCTACCAGTGGTACTGAAGTATTTAAGAAGGTCCGGTCACACAAATTTCCTAGGTGGCAAAGTTCCGGATGGATATTGTCATTTTATCGGCGTAGTAACAAACCCCCACCGCACAACGCATGTAACCCCAAACTGTTCACACTCCTCTTGTTGGCGGAGAGAAAATTGTGCAGTTTTAAAGCATAATTCCTGCAATTCTACAAATGTTTCCATGTCTTATATGTGTTTACATGATACTAGGGGTCAATGCCCAACAGAGTTCCCCCATTTTTATTTATTTATATATATATATATATATATATATATATATATATATATATATACAGTTGAAGTTGGAAGTTTACATACACTTAGGTTGGAGTCATTAAAACTCGTTTTTCAACCACTCCACACATTTCTTGTTAACAAACTATAGTTTTGGCAAGTCAGTTAGGACATCTACTTTGTGCATGACACAAGTAATTTTTCCAACAATTGTTAACAGACAGATTGTTTCACTTATAATTCACTGTATCACAATTCCAGTGGGTCGGAAGTTTACATACACAAGTTGACTGTGCCTTTAAACAGCTTGGAAAATTCCAGAAAATGATGTCATGGCTTTAGAAGCTTCTGATAGGCTAATTGACATCATTTGAGTCAATAGGAGGTGTACCTGTGGATGTATTTCAAGGCTTACCTTCAAACTCAGTGCCTCTTTGCTTGACATCATGGGAAAATCAAAATAAATCAGCCAAGACCTCACAAAAAAAATGGTAGACCTCCACAAGTCTGGTTCATCCTTGGGAGCAATTTAAAAATGCCTGAAGGTACCACGTTCATCTGTACAAACAATAGTACGCAAGTATAAACACCATGGGACCACGTAGCCGTCATACCGCTCAGGAAGGAGACGCGTTCTGTCTCCTAGAGATGAATGTACTTTGGTGCGAAACGTGCAAATCAATCCCAGAATAACAGCAAAGGACCTTGTGAAGATGCAGGAGGAAACAGGTACAAAAGTATCTATATCCACAGTAAAACAAGTCCTATATCGACATAACCTGAAAGGCCGCTCAGCAAGGAAGAAGCCGCTGCTCCAAAACCGCCATAAAAAAGCCAGACTACGGTTTGCAACTGCACATGGGGACAAAGATCGTACTTTTTGGAGAAATGTGCTCTGGTCTGATGAAACAAAAATAGAACTGTTTGACCATAATGACCATCGTTATGTTTGGAGGAAAAAGGGGGATGCTTGCAAGCCGAAGAACACCATCCCAACGTGAAGCACGGGGGTGGCAGTATCATGCTGTGGGGGTGCTTTGCTGCAGGAGGGACTGGTGCACTTCACAAAATAGATGGCATCATGAGGAAGGAAAATTATGTGGATATATTGAAGCAACATCTCAAGACATCAGTCAGGATGTTAAAGCTTGGTCGCAAATGGGTCTTCCAAATGGACAATGACCCCAAGCATACTTCCAAAGTTGTGGCAAAATGACTTAAGGACAACAAAGTCAAGGTATTTGAGTGGCCATCACAAAGCCCTGACCTCATTCCTATAGAAAATGTGTGGGCAGAACTGAAAAAGCGTGTGCGAGCAAGGAACCTGACTCAGTTACACCAGCTCTGTCAGGACGAATGGGCCAAAATTCACCCAACTTATTGTGGGAAGCTTGTGGAAGGCTACCTGAAACGTTTGACCCAAGTTAAACAATTTAAAGGCAATACTACCAAATGCTAATTGAGTATATGTAAACTTCTGACCCACTGGGAATGTGATGAAAGAAATAAAAACTGAAATAAATCATCCTCTCTACTATTATTCTGACATTTCACATTCTTAAAATAAAGTGGTGATCCTAACTGACCTAAGACAGGGAATGTTTACTAGGATTAAATGTCAGGAATTGTGAAAAACTGAGTTTAAATGTATTTGGCTAAGGTGTATGTAAACTTCTGACTTCAACTGTATATATATATATTGTAGTCTGGATCCGCGGCCCGTATCGACCCCGTTCTGGGTCGGATCCGGACCGCAGTCTGCCAGTTGAGTATGTGGGCGTTATACCCTCTCTTTCTCTACACCAGGGATGGGCAACTGGAGGTGGCCCCCCTTTTGCAGGCCCACGGATCAATATTATTATATTATTTTTGTGGGAACTCAGTCGGGGTCTCGACTTACTGTTGAGAGTTAGAATAGTAGAATACTCAAGGTGCAATTTCGAAATTTGGTTGTGCAGTTTTTCTCTTGTCAGTCACTGACAGTCACTCAATTAGCCCATTTCAGCTATCTAAACTTGTAGTTTTCATGGTCGAATTACTGACTGGGGGCCCCAGATATCAATCAGAGATCTGATTAAAAGCTGCAAACATTGCTCTCCACACTATGGAAATTTGTTGTAAATTTGCAAAATCTTCTCTCCGCCCCATGACAAAATGTGTAGAATTGCAGGAAATTAACTCTTAACTTATTATGAGTTTAGATTTTTTTGTGATCCCCATCAAAATAGCCCATCTCTGCTCTACACTACAGTTTTTGACCACTGTCCCTCCCTCTTTCTACCTCCCTGCTTTTTATTCTCTGATATCTAACATCCCCCGATATCTCTCTCGCCCTCTCTCTCCCCCTCCCTCCCACTCTCTCCCCAGCCCAGATGACGTGTGGCGTGGATGAGTTCCGCTGTAAGGACTCTGGTCGCTGCATCCCGGCCCGATGGAAGTGTGACGGAGAGGACGACTGTGGAGACGCATCAGACGAACCCAAGGAGGAGTGTGGTGAGTGATGGAGAGAGGGATGGGGGGAGAACGAAAGGAATGGAGAGATTCCCAAGCATCGTTTGTGTTGTGTGTTTTACATAATTGTAGAATATTACAATATCTGTTATAATTCCTTCCTACTCTGACTGTATATGTTGTGTCCTCAGATGAGAGGACGTGTGAGCCGTACCAGTTCCGCTGTAAGAACAACCGTTGTGTCCCTGGTCGCTGGCAGTGTGACTATGATAACGACTGTGGAGACAACTCTGATGAGGACAAGTGTGGTAGGTCCCCTCTGTCCTGCCTTTAGGCTCCCCTTGATGTCTTTGAGGCCAGGGCTATCGCTAACGATCCTGTCTCATGTCCCTTATCATTATGGGTAGAATAGAGCTACATAATATATGTGTATTGTACATCTGCCTTCATCTGGACAGACCTTCTTTCACTGTATGGTTTCAGCCACATAGGTTCCCCTAAACAGATTATTGAATAGTTTTTAAAGGTACATTGTTGATTGTGTATGTGTGTTCGCGCAACTGCACTGCACGATCAAGATTTGCTTTGTGACAATTTGCACACCTCATCTCATGTTTATTCTGCATTTCACACTGGCCTGTTGGCGTGGGTTAGAGGTAGGTCTCTTCACTATCAGCACGAACACCCCAACACCCCCAACCTACCTCTGACCTTCCCCCAATCTACCCAAGCCCCAAGTATCTTCCTACAATAAATATCCCTCCTATTCCCATTAGGAAAGAAAGAGATACAAAACATTTAAAAAGGAACTATCCTCCCTGACTCGTATCTTAAAAAGTGTAGCTACTCTATCCAGATTCCAACATCCTTCCCAATCCCACCAGCCCTTCTAGACCCCTCCTGTACCATGTGACCCAGTGTACTCCCATTCCCATTCCCCAATCCTTTGATATGTCCCTTTCTGTCTTTTCCCCCATCGTTACAGCCATTTACCCTCATGACTTTCTGTGACATATGTCTGTGTCCGGAAGTTCTTATTCTTTCCCACAACCCTTCCTCTGCCCTCCTCCCTCTCTCCTCACCTCTCCTCCCTCTCTCCTCACCTCTCCTCTCCTCACCTCACCTCTCCTCCCTCTCTCCTCACCTCTCCTCCCTCTCTCCTCTCCTCACCTCTCTCTCTCCCCGCCTCTCCTCTCTCCCGCCAGTGCCGAGGCAGTGTTCAGAGAGTGAGTTTTCCTGTACCAACGGTCGCTGCATCGCCGGCAGGTGGAAGTGTGATGGAGACCATGACTGTGCTGATGGATCAGACGAGGTACAGGGACACACACCATTATTGAAAATAGTGGAAAATTACACACATCAAATGAATGGAAAGGGAAAGCTCCCTCACTGTTCCATGCCCCCAAACATGATCTCTTGTTAAAGCTTAGTGATATTAATAATCACCGCCATCCCCCATCTCCAATCCTACATTATATGTCCTAGCTCATTGTCACAATGAATACATTGTTAATGGACCATAGAGAATTGTTAATTTACACATGAATGGCATTGTCATTAGAGTAACATGCTAAGGGAAAGGGGGATACCTAGTCAGTTGCACAACTGAATGCATTCAACCGAAATGAGTCTTTCTCATTTAACCTAAACCCTCTGAATCAGTGATATTATAATAATAATAATAATAGTAGTAAATTATGTCCCTGTGTGTCCTCTTGCAGAATGGTTGTGATGTGAAGTGTGACAGTGATCAGTTCCAGTGTAAGAACGGCCACTGTATCCCCATCCGCTGGCGCTGTGATGCAGACCCTGACTGTATGGACGGCAGTGATGAGGAGAAGTGTGACAGCGGAGGTGAGTTTTACACACAAACACTTACACTGAAGAATTATCACTGAATTAGCACAGTGAATTATTGTAGTGTTTGTTTATGTGTTAATTAATTCCATAAGGGATGGGTTGCCAACTGGCGATTTGACACGAAAAAATAAATAAACGTTATACACACACATTATTGTACTGTACGCATACTGTTCATTAAGTACAAGTTGTGGGTATGTATTTCATAGAGAAAAGTAACTATTTCTCCTCTCTTGCTCCCTTTCACGCTTTCTGTCTCAGTGGGTAGACACTGCCCCCTGGATGAGTTCCAGTGTAACAACACTCTGTGTAAGCCCCTGGCCTGGAAGTGTGACGGAGAAGATGACTGTGGAGACAACTCTGATGAGAACCCAGAGGATTGCAGTGAGCCCCCCCCCCATTACCCCTGACATCAATAATAGATCACTGTCACTGAGGATCTTTCAACTCCTACCTCACACCTGTCATCTATGCTCTCCTCCTCTATCTCTTTCCATCCCTCAGCGAAATTCCAGTGCCCACCCACAAGGCAGTTCCGCTGCCACAACGACCGTGTCTGCCTGCCATTAGCCAGGCGCTGTGACGGTGTTGACAACTGCGGGGACAACAGTGATGAGCTCAACTGCCGTGAGTTTGTTTCTAGTGGTAGAGAGTTATGGAGTGGACTTTTACAATAGAGAGTTACGGAGTTGACTGGATGGTTATAGACTTGACATAATGACCCCTGTCCCTCCAGAGACTCCTCCTACCACGCCAGTCTGTCAGAAAGATGAGTTCCAGTGCTCCAACGGCCGCTGCATCAGCTCCAACCTGCGCTGTGACTACTTCAACAACTGTGAGGACTACGGCTCTGATGAGATCGGCTGCAACAAGAAAGGTGTGCGTCACATCATCGACACATCTGTCTCTGTGTGTGTTTATGTGATTGTCTCTCAGTTTTACTCTTTATCCTGTCTCGTCCTATTCAGACTCTGCCCTGAACGACTGCCGCAGTAACAGGACAGTGTGTGGCGATGGTGATGAGGCCCATTGTGTGGTGAACGGCACTGAGGCCTTCTGCTCCTGCAAACTTGGCTTCCAGACCACAGGCAACAACAGATGTGAAGGTACATTATAGCACCACACACTGGTTCAAATAAACTCTGTTACTGTTATGACTAAATGTCTGGTGTAGTCTAGTGATCTGTAACCTGAATTATTTTGCTTTGGGGGTTTGTTCTCAGATAAGAATGAGTGTAAGCAGTTTGGAGTGTGTTCCCACATCTGCAACAACACCAAGGGCTCCCACAAGTGCAGCTGCCACAAGTACTTCACCAGGATCAACGACACCTGCAAGGTTGACAGTGAGTACTGCTCGGCTCAGTAATACCAGTGAATCAGTTAGTTACTGCTTCTCTGTCTTCAGAAACCTGTCTGAATTTGTCCCTGTTTGAAGCCTGTGTTAGGATGTGTGTGGTTAAATAGTCTAAAATATAATTGTGTGTGTGTGTGTGTGTGTGTGTGTGTGTGTGTGTGTGTGTGTGTGTGTGTGTGTGTGTTAAATAGCTTTTAGCTACGCAAGAAAATTGCATTGTATTGTTGGATTCTACCTTCAAATATACTTATTCATGTTACCATACTAGAACTTATTGATTACTTTACATGTATATGTTGGGGTCAATGAAGGGTGGATAGGAAATTGGTGTATGGAAAAGTACTGAGTGAGACAAGGGGAAGTGCAGAAAGTTCATATTCTGTTTCTAAGGAGGGAGGCAAAGGGCAACAGTCTAGTTAGTCTCTGATAAGGCAGGCCAGCTGCGGAACTAGGGAGGAGCGAGGAATTCGGCTTGAGGTCAAGTCAACAGATGAAGTGAGAGGAAACCTCTGGGATTGCGGCCAGAGGGGCCCACTACAACGACCCTCCTACTACAGCCCTATCTCACACACACACACTTCCACGCCCACGAAGGTTCTAGCATCAGGCATGACTACACCACTGAGGGGAACCAATTAAGTTCCTGCCTAGCAACAGAGATGTATTGGCTGTCTATTAGTCAGAAGTGAGGACCTAGCTCAGGTTGTGACCTCACTTCCTGTGTCCTCCCAGACCTGAGACAGGTGCTCTACATCGCAGATGACAATGAGATCCGTAGCCTGGACCCTGGCATGCCCAACTGGCGCTACGAGCAGACCTTCCAGGGCGATGCCAACGTGCGCATTGACGCCATGGACCTGCACATCAAGACCAACCGCATCTACTGGACCAACTGGCACACGGGCAGAATCTCCTCCTACGAGCTGCCATCCTCATCCTCCTCACCTAACAACAACCGCAACCGCCGTCATAGTGACTCCAGAGTCACCAACCTGGAGGTGTGTGTGTGTGCATCTGTATCCCTGTGTCTGTCTGACTGCTCTTGTGCCATGCCCTGTGTCACACAATGATTTAACTCTCCATTCTCCCCCTCTCCTTGTGTTCAGATCCCCGGTCTGAAGATGCCCCGTGGCATCGCTGTGGACTGGGTGGCAGGGAACATCTACTGGACAGACTCTGGCCGGGACGTGATCGAGGTGGCCCAGATATCAGGCCAACACCGTAAGACCCTCGTATCCGGCATGATCGATGAGCCCTATGCCATCGTAGTGGACCCCCAGAGAGGGTGAGTCTGCCTGGGGAGAGGAAGGGAGGACAGTGGGGGTGGGAGAGCAGTTTGGAGTGTGGAAATAGATGGGTCTGGAAGAGAATTCCTGAGGCCTCAAACACATCCTTATTCTGATACTGTATTTAAATAAGATAGTTTTACAGTGACATCAATTGTACATCAAGTAGATATGGTGAAACACACTCATGTGTTCCCACATGACTATTTTCTGCTTTATGTAACCGTTTGTTGACCCTGTGTACCCATAAGGACCATGTACTGGGCTGACTGGGGAAACCACCCCAAGATTGAGACTGCTGCCATGGACGGAACCATGAGAGAAACCCTGGTACAGGAGAACATCCATTGGCCCACAGGTAACACACGCACACGTGCGAGCACACACAGACCCACACAGACCATACACACACTACACACACATTTTGCAGACTGATTGACAGCTCCATCCTTCCACAAATTAGAGGATGTGTTGTATTGAGCTTTGTTTCACTCAATAGGCTTAGGCTTCAACTCAACTGACATGGCTCAATGACTGCTCTCTCTCTATCCTCTCTCGCTCTCTCGCTCTCTCTCTCTCGCTCTCTCCCCCCCCTCTCTCGCTCTCTCTCTCTCCCCCCTCTCTCTCCCCCCCTCTCTCGCTCTCTCTCTCTCTCCCCCTCTCCCCCAGGCCTGGCGGTGGACTACTTCAATGAGCGTCTGTACTGGGCCGATGCTAAGATGTCAGTGATTGGCAGTGTGAGGCTGAATGGTAGCGACCCGGTGGTGGCTGTGACCAGCATAAAGAACAGTTGAGTGACCTGCTCTGGTCTGGGTCTTAAGACCTGGCCTGACATGGCTAAGCCACATAATCATGTTCTGGTTTTAGATAAGTGGGCCTGTTTTTGGATGTGAAGTCTTCTCCTGACATTAGAACTATAAAAAATGCAGATATCCTCAGCAAGTGAAAAATTATGTATTTTAGCATAGCCTATAGTATATCTAAGTGGTAAAGAGTTGGTCTGAGCTGTGGTGTGTTCTGTCTTGTTTGTTACAGAGCTCCACCACCCATTCAGTATTGACGTGTTTGAGGACTACATCTATGGCGTCACCTACATCAACAACTTTGTGTTCCGGGTCAATAAGTATGGAAAAGGCCCCATGGAGAACCTGACCACAGGAATGAACCACGCCACAGACATTGTGCTCTACCACCGCAACAAACAGCCAGAGAGTGAGTGGACATCGCCGGCCAAACTGGACATGATGCATGCAGATTCTTCACTAACAAATACATATACTTTAGATGCATACTGGTGCATTGACTTTCACAGTCCCTTTAAACTGCTAGTAGACTTTAATATCAATTTTACTGCTAGTAGACTTTAATATCCAACTGCTCTCTCAATGTAACTGACTGGCTTGCAAGGATCTCAAGTTAGACTTAGGTCTTTGGTGAACGGTCTCAGATATAGAACTGTAGAGATGGATAGTCTTACAAACTAGTATCACTGGGTTAATGTGTGTTGTCTCTGTCTGTCTGTCTGTCAGTGACCAACCCATGTGACAGGAAGAAGTGTGAGTGGTTGTGTCTGCTGAGCCCCAGTGGTCCAGTCTGTACCTGTCCCAATGGACGCACTCTGGACAACGGCACCTGTGTGGAGCTCCCTACTCCCACACTCTCCCCTCTCTGTGAGTATACACTCCTACACACTCCCCTATCTGTGAGTATACACTAACACCCTTATAATTATACACACTCACCCTGTCTCTCCTCTCTTCCCCCAGCTCCTCCCAGTGGTACGTGTAACGTCCAGTGTCTGAACGGAGGCAGTTGTTTCCTCAACGCCAGGAAGCAGCCCAAGTGTCGCTGCCAGCCCAACTTCAGAGGAGACAAGTGTGAGGTGGACCAGTGCAGGGACTACTGCCAGAACAGAGGCACCTGTACAGCCTCTCCTACAGGTAGGACACTATATACAGTATATACAGTCAGGTCCATAAGTATTTGGACAGTGACACAATTTGCACCATTTTGGCTCTGTACGCCACCACAATGGATTTGAAAGGAAACAATCAAGACGTGCTTTAAGTGTAGACTTTCATCTTTAATTTAAGGGTTTTGTCAAAATTATTGTATGAACTGTGTAGGAATTACAACCATTTTTATACATAGCCCCCCAATTTTAGGGGCTCAAAAGTAATTGGACAAACTAACATAATCATACATTAAATTGTGAGTTTTAATACTTGGTTGCAAATCCTTTGCAGTAAATGACTGCCTGAAGTCTGGAACACATAGACATCAACAGATGCTGGGTTTCTTCCCTGGTGATGCTCTGCCAGGCCTTTACTGCAGCTGTCTTCAGTTCTATATCGTGGAGCTCCGCCCCATAGGGGAGCTCTGCTCCTATTGGTTTACCCACTGCCCCAAGGCAGCATCAGCCTGAGACAAAATGATGCACACACCTACAGCCAATAGGAGTACAGGTGTCCCTATAAGAGGGGATGCCTCCCCTCAATCAGCCTCCCTTTATCTTCAGCGACTGGACTAGACTGAAGAAGCCGAGAAGAGTCGAAGAGAAGACTCAGGATGAAGAAAACGCTGTCGATTTTCCAGATCATCGACGTCGTCCTACAATGAGCACACCAAGCTTATCCGTAGGGTAAATATTAAACAAAAGCGCTTTTCAGAGCTCTATGTCGCTGTTCCCCTTGGCGGCTGTCGACCCCCACCGACTTATGTTTCGTGGGTTGAGGGACACGGCACGCCAGGGACGGCCTCATTAACCCCCCACTATGTGCCAGCTGCGCCCTCCTTTTTTGAAGGAGAGGAAGCAGCGTTGGGCATTTTAAGGGAGGATATTCCTCTTGAGGATGTGCTATCAGTGTTAGCCTCAGCTTCTGAGGCATCATCTGAGGGCCCTGACTCAGGAGATGACAGGGCTATTGGGGAAGAAATAAATATTCTATTGAAACAATTCATTACACTGACCCAGATGTTTAACACCCCTTTTCCCTCAGGAAAGTGTGAGGTCATTTCCATCCCTGGATGATGATGCCACAGCCTCTCTGTGCTCTGAATTTTCAGGTCTCATTGAGTGGGCTGCTAAACAGCTGGAGATTAAGCTGCCCCCCATTCCCTCCAACCCGGAAGTGGACATGATGGAGGGCGGCCGTTACTCTCGCTACAGCTCGGCGTCAGACGGCGGCCTCCAGCAGCAAGGGAGCGGGCCTCGCCCCCCCCCCCCCCTGCAGCGCCAGAGGTGCCGACCATTCCGCCGGCGAGAGAGGTCATTAAAGCGTCATCCTGGCATCACCCGAAGGGCGGGGGGGAGAGAATGGAAGACGGCGCAGCGCCTGGTGTGACTGAGCCCACTGTTCACCCCCCACCCTACCGTTGAGGGTATGGAGTAAATAAAGAGTTGGCTCTACCTGACTTTGTCAAAAAAAGAGCCCCTTTTCCATAATACATCCGAGAGCGTTCGACCTTCCTCACTCTCGCTCTCTCTCTTACCACTCGAGTGCAGCTCAGCCCACCACGGTGCGTTGCTGAGCGCACACATAAGGTAGGTATAAAAAGGATATTAAGTTTAAGATGTTACCTTATGAAGACCTCACTTTACAGACTCCTAGGAGTGCTGTAGTGAGTGTCTCACATAGCAGGCTGCAGTCTCAGTCAGATAGTGACAGGATGATGCAACCGCTATTCGGGGATGGCGCACTGTCTCAGGCTAAGGCCTCTGTCAGTGCAGTTCAGACCCATGCTGCATTCAAGGAGGGCCGGAATACTACGGTTACGGGTTTAACCAACATATCGGCGGCCCCGTTTTCTCTCAGAATGCGCTGATGCTCACCACACTGAGTGTAGCTCAGCCCACCAGGGGTGCAGAGCTGAACACACACAAGAGGTGAATGTTAAGAAGGTATCAAGGCGTCGCACATAACAGGCTGCAGTCTCGGTCAGACACTGACATGATGACACAGCCGCTATTTGGGGATGGCGCACTATCGCAGACTAAGGTCTCTGTTAGCGCGATTCAGACACATGCTGCGTTCACGGAGGGCCCGATTACCACGGTCACGAAAGTAACCAACGTATCGGCGCCCCCACCTCTCTTAGAACGCGCCAATGCTCACCACACTGAGTGTAATTCAGCCCACCAAAGGTGCAGAGCTGAGCACACACAGGAGGTGAAAGGGAAAAAGATACCAAGGCACCGTCTTAGGTTATCTTAAAGAGACCTCACATTACAGACTCCAAGGAGTACTGTAGTGAGTGTCTCTCATAGCAGGTTGCAGTCTCAGTCAGGAGACAGGATGACGCAACCGTTGTTTGGGGATGGCGCATTATCGCAGACTAAGGTCTCTGTTAATGCGATTCAGACCCATGCTGCGTTCACGGAGGGCCTGATTACTACGGTTACGGGTATAACCAATGTATCGGCGCCCCCGCTTCTCACAGAACGCGCTGATGCTCACTACGCTGAGTGTGGCTCAACCCACCAGAGGTGCAGAGTTGAACACACACAGAAGGTGAAGGTTAAGAAGGTATCAAGGCGCCGCCTTGTGTTACCTCATAGAGGCCTCATATTACAGACTCCTAGGAGTATTGTAGTGAGGGGCTCTAATAGCGAATTGCAGTCATCTGGGATGATGACGCAATCGCTTGCTGGGGATGGTGCCCTGTCGCAGGCTGTGGCCTCGGTCAGTGCAATTCAGACCCGCGCTGCGTTCACGGGAGGGCAGGAATACGACGGTTACGGGTTTAACTGACGTCTCTGCCCCTCCTTCTCTCTCAGAGCGCACTAATGTTTCCTCTCCCTTTCATGGGAGGCCCGCCTTGGGCTGTTCCACCACCTCAGTGTTGGAGAACAGCGGCGGCAAGGGCCATAGAGGAATACAGGTCCTTCCTACTGAATGTACCACAGCTTCGCGCTCGCCCGCTTTCTCTGCATTGCTGGCAGTGGCAGCAAAGCTGCACCCTCTCACGCTGGCTAGAACAGACGTTGCAGAAGGGTTATGCCCTCCAATTCCATCGGACCCCACCCCCATTCAGGAGAATGGTGGAGACGGTGATGAAAACGGCCGAAAAAGTGGCCGCTCTGGTTTCAGAGATTACGGAACTTTTGGCGAAGGAGGCGGTCACAGTAGTTCCCCAGGAGCAAAGGAACAAAGGGCTATATTCGCCCTACTTCCTGGTGCCCAAAAAGACGGGGGGAATGAGGCCGATATTGGATTTACGCATTCTCAACGAGAGCGTAACCAAACGGCCCTTTCGAATGCTAATGACAAAACGTCTGCTGGAATGTGTCCAGAAAGGAGACTTTTGTACGAGCATAGACCTAAAGGACGCGTACTTTCATGTGCCGGTACAGTCGCGTCACAGGAAGTTTCTGCGATTCGCCTTTCAAGGGGTGACGTATGAATACACGAGGATGCCATTTGGGTACGCCCTGGCACCTCGCACGTTTTCAAAGTGTGTGAAGGCGGCATTGGAACCGTTGCGTCGTCAGGGAATACGGCTACTAGCCTACCTAGACGACCTACTGGTTCTCGCCCCGTCAGCAGAGCTGGCGATCACTCACACGACACAGACAGTGATTCATCTCACATGTCTGGAGTTCGCTGTGAATTGGAAAAAGAGCGCGCCCTGGCCCAGTCATCAGATTGTCTATCTGGGGATACAGCTAGACACTGTAATGATGAGGGCTTGAATTTCGGACCCCCGAAGGGTAGCCTTGTTGCTAGCCCTGAGGAAGTGTCATCCGAATCACACGGTGACGGCGCTGTCGATCATGTCACTTTTGGGTCTCATGTCATCAGCCCACTCTGTGGTTCCGCTGGGACTCCTGCACATGCGCAGGATGCAGCGATGGTTCGCCCAACTAAGACTAGACCCATTGCGTCAACGTCATCGGTTGGTGGTGGTTCCCCTCTCGCTCAGTGCAGATCTGAACTATTGGAGAAACACGCACGTTCTCACGCACGGAGTCCCGATAGGCAAAGTGTCCTCTTACATCCCGGTGTTCACAGATGCGTCTCTGATGGGATGGGGAGGGACATGTCAGACCCAAGCGATAGGAGGTGTGTGGCCTCTTTCGAGTCGCCACATCAACCTCTTGGAGTTGGAAACGGTTCGACTGGTTTTGACCCACTTCGCGTCTATCCTTCCGGGTCGCGATGTGCTGGTCTGGTCAGACAACCGGACCACAGTAGCTCACATAAATCGCCAAGGAGGAGTCAGGTCTCCTGCTCTCCATCGGGCGGCAGAGGAATTGTGGCTGTGGGCTCACGAGCACCTTCGCTCATTGAGAGCAGCACACAATCCGGGCTACTTGAACGTAGGAGCAGACCTCATGTCAAGAGGGGGTCTTCGAGACGACGAGTGGTGTCTGCATCCGAAATTTGGAAACAGTTCGGGAGAGCCGAGGTGGATCTATTCGCGTCACGCGTGAACGCGCAATGTCCCCTATGGTTCTCTCTGAGGGAACAGGAAGAACCGCCACTGGGAAGAGACGCTTTTGCGCACCACCCGTGGCCGAGAGTTCTTCTGTATGCATTCCCTCCGCTGTCCTGCATTCTCCCACTGTTAGCCAGGGTGAGGTCAGGAGGGCTGTCAGTGATACTGGTAGCCCCCGATCGCCCAGGGGCTCCTTGGTTTGCGGAGATGAGTCAGATTGTTACGGATACAGGTATCCTGTGTTTTTGTGTGTTTCTACTCCTTCTGCCCTAATTACAGGTGTCCTGTATGTTCCTGATTGGTGGTCGTTGAGGTGTCTGCTGATTGGACCAATCAGTGAACATTCCTGTGCATTGCACCACCTGTTACTCGTTTTTTCAATCACACATCCCATTATATGAAAACCAGTCACTTGTGTTAGTTGTGAGAGAGAGAGAATATTTC